GACTTATCTTTACTACCAGAAGTTAATGTATTTCCATCAGGAGAGAAACAGACTAAGTTGATTCCTTTACGATGACCATCTAATTTGGCTTTGTATTATCGTGTTTTGACATCCCAAAAACGGATAGAGCAATGATCACTACCAGAAGCTAATGTGTTTCCATCAGGAGAGAAACAGACTGAGTTAACTTAATTCCAATGACCATCTAATTAGGCTTTTTATTATCCTGTTTTGACATCCCAGAGACGGATAGAGCAATCACCACCTCCATACAGATCACCACCACCAGAAGCTAATGTATTTCCATCAGGAGAGAAACAAACTGAACTAACCCAATTGCTATGACCATCTAATTTGGCTTTTTATTATCCTGTTTTGACATCCCATAGACGGATAGACTTATCTTAACTACCAGAAGCTAATGTATTTCCATCAGGAGAGAAACAGACTGACTTGATTCCATTACTATGACCATCTAATTTGGCTTTTTATTATCCTGTTTTGACATCCCAAAAACGGATAGAGCAATCATTACTACTAGAAGCTAATGTATTTCCATCAGGAGAGAAACAGACTGAGTGGACTTAATACTAATGACCATCTAATTTGGCTTTTAATTATCCTGTTTTGACATCCCATAAACGAATTTCTTGATAACTACTAGATGCTAATATATTTCCATCAGGAGAGAAACAGACTGAATTTACCCAATACTAATGACCATCTAATTTGGCTTGTTATTATCCTGTTTTGACATACTATAGAAGGATAGACTTATCATCACTACCAGAAGCTAATGTATTTCCATCAGGAGAGAAACAGATTGAGTTGACAGGACTAGTATGACCATCTAATTTGGCTTTATATTATCCTGTTTTGACATCCCATAGACGGATAGACTTATCATCACTACCAGAAGCTAATGTATTTCCATCAGGAGAGAAACAGACTGAGTAGACAGTACTAGTATGACCATCTAATTTGGCTTTTTATTATCCTGTTTTGACATCCCATAGACGGATAGACTTATCATCACTACCAGAAGCTAATGTATTTCCATCAGGAGAGAAACAGACTGAGTAGACAGTACTAGTATGACCATCTAATTTGGCTTTTTATTATCCTGTTTTGACATCCCATAGACGGATAGACTTATCATCACTACCAGAAGCTAATGTATTTCCATCAGGAGAGAAACAGACTGAGTAGACAGTACTAGTATGACCATCTAATTTGGCTTTTTATTATCCTGTTTTGACATCCCATAGACGGATAGACTTATCATCACTACCAGAAGCTAATGTATTTCCATCAGGAGAGAAACAGACTGAGTAGACAGTACTAGTATGACCATCTAATTTGGCTTTTTATTATCCTGTTTTGACATCCCATAGACGGATAGACTTATCATCACTACCAGAAGCTAATGTATTTCCATCAGGAGAGAAACAGACTGAGTAGACAGTACTAGTATGACCATCTAATTTGGCTTTTTATTATCCTGTTTTGACATCCCATAGACGGATAGACTTATCATCACTACCAGAAGCTAATGTATTTCCATCAGGAGAGAAACAGACTGAGTAGACATAACTAGTATGACCATTCAATTAATATAAATCGTTTATTTTCAATTTTTTCCAATCACAATCAAACATTTAGGCTCCGCTTAAATTAATTCCATTTATATTTACATTTTGTAATATATATCTTGATAAATTGCATTTTGCAAAATTACCTCCAAATAAAGAAGTATTTTAAATTCTTATATTTTAGAAATTTTAGTTTGTTAGATCCACTTTCATTTCAACCAATATATTAATTGCATTGGATCCCCACATTATAAGAGTATAATCTATTTTGGTGAGATGAACTAAGAATTTCAAAAATTCTATTATTCTTGTCTCTTATGATATTTTTTAAATGAGATATTATCTTGTTTCAGCATATATTTCAGTGGAATAATTAAGAAAACTAATTTCGTTTTTTTTTATGGTTTTGATCAAACGAGTAATTGAATTAACATTCTATGAAACAGCATCACTTTACATTTATTTTTCCATAAGTGATATATTTTCAAGTTAATTATAATTTGTGGAATTTGTTACGAATACATTTGATAGAAAATTTTAGCAATCCTATTCTTGATTATTTTCTTTTGACAACAGTTCTACTATAGTATTCAATATTTATATATCAAAATCTTTTGATTAAACTAACACTTCATATAAATCAGCAGCAATTAAGAACTCTTATATAGATTTATGGAAAAATTAAAAGTTAGCTCCATTTTATTAGACAAGTGAACAACTTCGTATATCTTTTCTATAAGATCCAAATTAATCATCATCATTAAAAAAATCATTTAGCCATAATTTTTCCTTTTCTCCTTCTTCTTTGTACAATAATCCATATAATTAATATTATACTTAAGTTATTTCATTCATGCTCATTTTTTTCGCAAGGTTGGTTGAATATTTTTTTTAATCATGCAGAAAACGATCATTATTTATAGATTTTCCTAATTTTCTCTACTTTTCTATTTATTTCTAATAGTGTTAATTTATAAACTCTTCGTATAAATCATAACTTGTTAGATTTAAGTCTTTTAATGCATCAATAAATACATCAATTATTTTTTCATTTTGAATTGTGACTTTAGTTGATAATTAATCTAAATGGTTTTGTCCAAATATTTTCAAAAGTTAGGACTTTAACATACTATTTTCCTAGCAAATCTAGTATTGAATAAGAATTGAATTTTCTTCTATTTTATCCCAAAATTTGAATGCCATTTCTTGATAGTTTAGTTTTTCTATATCAAACAATTTACNAATTGCATTTTGCAAAATTACCTCCAAATAAAGAAGTATTTTAAATTCTTATATTTTAGAAATTTTAGTTTGTTAGATCCACTTTCATTTCAACCAATATATTAATTGCATTGGATCCCCACATTATAAGAGTATAATCTATTTTGGTGAGATGAACTAAGAATTTCAAAAATTCTATTATTCTTGTCTCTTATGATATTTTTTAAATGAGATATTATCTTGTTTCAGCATATATTTCAGTGGAATAATTAAGAAAACTAATTTCGTTTTTTTTTATGGTTTTGATCAAACGAGTAATTGAATTAACATTCTATGAAACAGCATCACTTTACATTTATTTTTCCATAAGTGATATATTTTCAAGTTAATTATAATTTGTGGAATTTGTTACGAATACATTTGATAGAAAATTTTAGCAATCCTATTCTTGATTATTTTCTTTTGACAACAGTTCTACTATAGTATTCAATATTTATATATCAAAATCTTTTGATTAAACTAACACTTCATATAAATCAGCAGCAATTAAGAACTCTTATATAGATTTATGGAAAAATTAAAAGTTAGCTCCATTTTATTAGACAAGTGAACAACTTCGTATATCTTTTCTATAAGATCCAAATTAATCATCATCATTAAAAAAATCATTTAGCCATAATTTTTCCTTTTCTCCTTCTTCTTTGTACAATAATCCATATAATTAATATTATACTTAAGTTATTTCATTCATGCTCATTTTTTTCGCAAGGTTGGTTGAATATTTTTTTTAATCATGCAGAAAACGATCATTATTTATAGATTTTCCTAATTTTCTCTACTTTTCTATTTATTTCTAATAGTGTTAATTTATAAACTCTTCGTATAAATCATAACTTGTTAGATTTAAGTCTTTTAATGCATCAATAAATACATCAATTATTTTTTCATTTTGAATTGTGACTTTAGTTGATAATTAATCTAAATGGTTTTGTCCAAATATTTTCAAAAGTTAGGACTTTAACATACTATTTTCCTAGCAAATCTAGTATTGAATAAGAATTGAATTTTCTTCTATTTTATCCCAAAATTTGAATGCCATTTCTTGATAGTTTAGTTTTTCTATATCAAACAATTTACAGATGAAAATTATTTCTCAAAAATATAAATTGAAAAATTGAATTCTGTCAATCTTTAAAATTTTTTAATAAATATCTAATTCCAAACAATTTTTATTGCAATTTAAATTTGAGAGAAGCATAAATTTTTTGTTTTGGAACAAAATAAATACTTATTGGTAAAAGACTGAAAAATTGATGGAATTCTTAACTCAAGAGGCTAAAAATATTCCTTTACTTGACTTTTACAAAATCCAAACATTATTTTAAAATACGAAACACAATTGTACATGTATTAAGATTCCAACTGCAAATTGACTTTTTCAAATTTAAAAAAAAATATAATTCTGAAAATACAACTACAAAATTTTATTTTTTTGAGTATAACTTCCAATTTTTCATCATAATCAACTTTCTAAGAGTTTTCGTATCCAATTTAAAATGCCACCAGTTTTTTCTATTTTTGATGATACATTTTAATTAAATATTGACTTTTGTAGAATTCTTTAAGAGCATGAGAAAAATTCTTTATAAAATTTTATTTCAAATTATTTACCTCAGTTGCTTTAAATATCATTTGGGGCAACACTTAAACTACTACTTCCATCATATAAGGAGTAACCACCAATTTATTTAAATTTATTTACCTCATCATTTTGTTGTACTTTTCAGCGCTCCACAGTTTTTGAAAATTTATGCTCAAACTTCTTAAAGCATCATAACTTTTTAAAGATAGAAACTCATCATTTTTCAAAAACGATTAAATAAGGTTTATTTATTTTTCCTTTTGTAATCCTGATATTTCTTTTTTTAGAAATTATTTCAATTTTTCCCAACAAATTTCAAATTTATTGATATCGATAGTACCTTGATTTAATATTTGTGTTTACCATTCAAAAATTTCAAAAATCAACATTTTAACACTTTAAATTGTAAATTTTTCTAGATATTCTTGCATTTATTTAGAATCAAATTTTTGAAGTTATACTTCTTTTAATTTATTCTTATCTTCTGATTCAAACCATTGAGAATAGTTACTACTTTGAAAAATTTCACTCCTTGTAGTAAAAATAACAAGTGGGTTTGACCAATTCTATTTCAGTTTATTATTAATATATAAGTTTTTCTAAATATTTTCTAACTTCATCTCACCATAACTGTCCATTATCAACAGAAATCGGAAATCTTTCTTTTCTAACATCTCTTTACATTCTTTCAATTAAAGCTCATCAACACCATACTGATTTTGATGAAGTGCTTCCTCTACTGCTTAAAACACAGGATTTTTTAAAGAGGGCAATGATATATAAATTAGTATTAGCAGTTTATTCCCAATTTTTTAATTATTGTCATATAATTTCCAAATAAACTCTTCTATTTTCTTAGCTGCAGTACTTTTGCCTGATCCAGCTACCCCATGAATTAATAATACTTCTTCTTTATCATCTAATAAAAACTCATTGACTTTTCCTTTTTTATCATATAAATTTTCCAAATTCATCAAAATACTCTTTTATTTATTCTTTTCCCCTTCTTCTAATTGATGAAATATTTCCAATGTTTTTAATGGCACATATATAGACCTAACATTTTTCTGCGCTGCTTCTTTTAATACTTTCGATTTTCTAATATCAAAAAGTTCTTCAACAGATTTTCCCATAAGAAATTTTATGTCATTACTCAAGCTGTTTAGTTATTTCTTCATCTCATTTATTTTTCCCTCAACTCTAAATAAACCTTTTCTTATATGATTAACGAAGTCGGTTATTAATTTAAGTTATTATCCCATTTCACTGTTCACCTAGTTGTTCAGTTGTTTCATCTATTTATTTCAAATATAAATCTCTTTTGTTCACATTTGCCTCTTAAGAAATTTATACTTGCAAAAAATCGATTCGACTCAACATTTATTACATTTCTCCTGCAATTCTATCATTTTAAGTCTTCCAGTCTTTCTACAAAATTTACATCTATAAACTTATTAAGTTTTAGTTTTTTAATAAATTTCTAACTCTTTAATCTTTTTCTAAAACCCATAATTAGATTAGAGCTTATTAACAAAACTAAATAATTGTCTCTGTGAAGCAATTTTATGAAATTTAAATTATAGTAAAAACTAGACCCTATTTAATTTTCCATTAGTCATTATTTTTATAATCTTTATACTTTTGGTTCAAAGACTAAAATAATTCTAATGGTTGGTTTGATTCTATATCATTTACTTCTTCTTCTAGGTTTTCCCATAGGTATATTTTTTTTATTTATCTAATTAGATATTCTTAACCAAACTAAATTTTTGAGCTCATACACTTAGTCTAAATTAATTGTAATTTTATTTCTCCCATTGCCTTATTGAGAAAATTACAAATATTTGTTTATTATTAAATAGGTTTATCATCTTTTTCATTTTTAACTTACAAAATATTGATTTCTATTCTTTTAAAGTAATCTTGGAATGATTCTTTTTCCAATTATTATAAATTGTCTGTTGTCACTTGTTATTTTTCAAAAATTTAAATCTATTTTTAGAAATAACTATGAAATTTGTTATATGTATTTGCTTATATAATTTTATTATATTTTTGAATGAGATGAAGTTTATTAGAGAATTGTTAAGTTTCTTCAAGTAATTAGCATAATTACTGCTTATCTTTTTTTATTTTTGACTTCAGAACCGTAGTAATATTTTATAAATATTTTGCATATTTTTCATCACATTAAGTCTGGATATTTTTTTGTTCACAATAATCAAATTAATTTTCTAGAATATCATTTTTTTCACTAACAAGAATTTGATCATTTTAATATTACTATTTATTAATAAAATTAAGCTTTTTTTTATTTGTTTCTAAAAATTCTATTTTTAAATTTTTTAATTCCTTTAACAATTCAGTAAAAGGTATTTTTAAATTTTTAAATTTTAACCCTATGAATTTCTTAATAGCTCAACAACAATCTCGATATGATTGATGAATTATTTGAAATTTTCTATACTATCACAATTCTCAAAAATTCTTAATTATTACCATAAGTTCTCATATTTTTCTTTCTCAATATTCAATTCTGATTGATTAAAATTTTCATTAGTCACGGTTCTTATAGAATTGTCAATTGAAGCATTTTCTATTATTCTCATAATTCTTTCTGTTAAAGTGAAAGAACATGATTCTTCTTTAAATAATTATCCAAATTAATTTTCAATTAATTCTAAATCTATACTTTATGAATCAATCATTTATTCTTCTAAACTTAATATAAAAATTATGTATTCTATAATTCCTTTTTATTTTGATAACTAATTTTAGTAGTCTTGTTCAGTAATTTACAAGTTAGTTAATTCGGCAATAGGTTGATCTTATAAAGAATCGTCGCAGCATTTTATTGTTTTTGGATAATCCTTAATTACATCAAGTAGATACTCATCTAAATTGATAGCATCTTGTAATTATTAAAATTCTCCTGATGGTATTGTTAATATATTTTTAAAACATTCTTGGAAAGCAATTAATTGTAATTTAAGCTTTAAAATGTTCAACCTTTACTTTTTCATAAAAAAAAACAAAAGCTTGCGAGAATATTGTTATTTAATTTCTTTAAATTTTTCAGGTTCAAAAGCAGACTCTATTTCATTTTTTAAAATTAGAACTGTCTTAAAACTTCCTAAAAATTCATTAAAGCATTTTTGAAGCTCTTAGATCTGGTGTTCGTAATGCTAATTTAGATTATTTAATAAACTTTAACAGTATTGAATTAAGTTACCTTTTTGAAGAAAAAACATTTCAAGTTTTGAGACTTATTTTTCAGTTTGTTGAATAAGAGTTAACATGCATTGAGCTTCTTTCAAAAAATTATTCTAGCTAAGAGACGCATTAGATAAGACTAGTATCTTTTACTTAAACTCTTGGGCAAATGAAAATTATTAATCTGTTAGATTTAAATTTTATAATGCCTTCTAAATCAGAACCAATTCTTACTAAATCATTATGCTTTCATCAGGTTCATTTCTATTATCTTTAATATCTTAAATTGCTTATGATATTATTTATTCTAATAGTCTCATAATATATTTAAGTTATTAATATAAATTGAATTCATTAATCTTTTTCTATTCAAGTTATTTTATCTAAACATTTTATTTCCTTTTACTAAGCTTAATAATTTTAATGATTTTTAAAGTTTCTTGAAAATATTCTTTGAAGTTAAAAACCATTTTTTTTAATTAGGAATTATTTGTGGCTTATTCTATCGTGACATTAAAATACTTATTTTTTTTGATAAAATTCTTATAATTGTAAACTATGACTCGCAACCTCTCATCATTCTCTTGAATTAAAGCAATTAATTTATTTGAAATTATGTGATCAAAAAATTGTTAAATTTTGCAAATAGTCTGGGTAGATTAATTTTTTTAGCATTCCATGCTTTCTAATTCTAATTTTAATTTTAGATAAGAGCCAATGTGAAATGGATATTATCATTTTTTTCATTCAGTAAGAAGTCTTTAAGTACCATGAGGTTTTCCCATCCTTTGAAAGTTTCTTCTAGTATTAATTTATCGATTTAAGTTAATTCGTTATTTTTAAATTAATTAAGTAAAGTTAAAGCTTAGTCATTGCTATGATTCATTTAAATTAGAAACCCTCTTTTCAGATATTCCTTCCATATTTACATTGATTTGGCTTCAAGATTGAAAGAGCTAGTCAACTGTTTTAATTTTTCTTTTGTTATAATTGGGTGATAAATTAAGATTTTTCCAATTACTTGAATTTTTCACAAGTTTTTCATGTATTTTCTCAATTTGTAAGATTATCTATTATAAATCCCTTTAGCTATCATTTTTTAAATTAAGTATGATCTCCCATTTTAACATATCTATTTAAAAATAAACTTCATATTATTTTCTATTTTCTTTAATTTTTTACATTTTGTGAATTTAGCAGGCTGCCAAAAATAAGGATTCAAGTAATTCAACATTAGGTTTCATTTTTATTAAAGAATCAAATATACCGCTTACAAATCCATTTAAAATATCTTCCCTTTTTTTTCTGTTATTTGGAGCCGTCTAGAAAGAAGTTTTTATTAAGAAAGGATACAATTCCATTTAAATTTAAATCAACTCATTCTTCTCTATTTACATTGACTATTTTAGATCATCAGAAGCATCCAGAAATTCCTTTTATAAATCAATTTTCATAAATCTATCCCCATTCATTACATGGAAACTAAATATGACTTTAGATAGAGATGCTGTAATCTATAAAATATACAAGCATTTCAAAGAATCTGTTCTAATTTATATCAAACAGCTTTTCAATAATTTTTGGATACCCTCTATAATTAAGTTATATGAATTTATGATATGTTAGGTATTCTTACTGAGTTTGTAGATGTTTTCCTCTTAAAAAATAAACCATTGTATGGCTATCATTATCTCTTAAGATTCTATTGAATTGATAGCAACAGCAGCTTTAGCACAAATTATTTCAACAAAAGAATTGAATTTGGCAATAAAATTTTCTATATCTTAAATATCTGACTTTAAGCTTTCATATGTTCTTGGATTCATTTTAAAAGATCCACAACCACCTCCACGTAATGAAGATATTGCCTTATTCTCTAAGGCTAACATTTTTAAATAAATTTTAACTAATAAATCCATACCGGTATAAAAATATATATAAACTGATATTAATTAATACTAAAATATTTAATTGTCATAATATAAAAAAGGAAGATAATATAAAGAATTACTAAAATAAATTATGACATTAAATGGCTGGGATTATTTTTGGTGAATTAGCCATCTTAAATAACTACAAATGTAAGCAGTTCATAATTTATCACTTAATCAATAAGAATTAATATTTGTTTATTTGACAAGATTAAATCGAAAGGTCAGCTTAAGTAATATTTATTGATCAATTTTTGCAAATAAAATTCTCAAAAATAACTCTAATTTATAAAAATAAACTAACCTTTTCTTGATTATTTTATATTGTTCATTTGATCTAAATAGATTTTCTTAAAAGAATATTTAATTGTAATTATATAAATTTGATATTAGATGTATCATTGACCTATCATATTTAAAATTCTATCAACTGCTGCTTCTACATTTCCCCCAGTTGCAATTAATGCTTCTAAATTCACTTATTTATTAGTAAATCCTAATTCTTGCAATTATTACAATTAAGTAGCATATTTCTACTCAGAAACTTCTGGTGTTAATTAGGCTCCTCCAATACCTCCAACTCCTCCTATTTAATTTAAACAAATAATAATACCTCCCATCATGCTCATTAGACTCTGTAAATCAAATCCACCTAATGGATTTTAAGTATTTAAATTAGGTGTACTTTAGACAGGGGGTGGTACTTATGCAGTATTTGGGTTTGATGGAATAGGTTGATCTCCAACTCCGCTGAAACCTCCCATACCACCAAAACCTCCCATTCCACCGAGGCCTCCCATTCCTCCCATTCCTGATAGAGCCATTTAAATTGCTTAAGGGTTCATCATCATTTACAAAAGTTAAGGATTATCAAATATTTATTAAAGCTATGGGTTAGCTTACATCATTTAAGAAATCATTGGATGTTGCATGATTTGCTATCTCACTTGTGGATTTTACATCATCTAATAATATTGAGAAGAATTTGGATACTTATGAAATTTAGGCCTGATACATTGGGTTTTATAAGAATTACATCATCATTTATGGATCCATTCCCATACCACCTAATCCACCCATTCCTCCAAGTCCGCCAAGGCCTCCAATACCTCCCATTCCACCAGTAGCTCCTAATCCTCCAAAACCTGGAAGTCCGCCTTATTATCCTCCTACAGGCTATTAGGGCTATTATTATTATGGAGCTGGAGCTTATTATTAAGGTGGTTATTAAGCTTATTCTATTTGTTATTTGAATTTTATACATTTGGTAACAACTAGATGCATTGTTGAATCAGCCTTTACATTCACAATTTAGAGAACATCAATGTCTTTAAGGATTTTACCTTAAAATATAATCTTCATTAAAGAAGGTTCTGTATTAAACTTTGGAGTGAGTTTTTCTTTTAATTCCTTCACTGTTATATTAGGGTCGATTTCGATAACTTCTATCTGATCTGTTCCATGTTTGATTTTAATTGAAATTGTAGTCATGGAATTTAATTTATGTTTAAATCTAGAACAATCTATAATCTTCGATAATTGATTTTTATGAATAGGCAATAGCAATCAAACCATTCATGATAAAATTGCAAATTTACCTTAAGCAGTCAAATCAAATAGATTGTTAATAATTAATTCTATTTAAGGTTGCACATTAAAAATATTGGTTGATGAGATAAAAATAAAGAATAACCTTAAATTAACAATAATAAAATTAGTACAATTATTAGCAATAACGATAGCCATAATCAAGAATTAATAATCCTAATAATTTTTAGTGAAGCAATTCTTTTTTTCAGTGATCAAATGAAAATATGATACATAAAATGAATGAGGTTTTCAATCTAAAGTTAACCTTCAAACATAATTTAGTCTAAATTTTGGTTCTCATTTACAAACTTAGGAAACTTAAGATAATATTTACCAAAAGAAAAATAAGACCATTTATAATAATGAAGACGATTAAGAAAATTAATTTTATCCAGATTAAGGGCAAGAAATTTGATAAAGAAGACAAGCATAACAAATGAGGTTTAATGAAATAAAAAAAACAATATCATTAAACAATTAGCCTTTCTTAATGTGTTTACATTTGCATTTATATATTAATGCATACAATGCTATAATAAAATAAGCTGGTTACTAAAAACTGATTTGTACATCATAATGATATTTCTAAATTACAATTTATAATAAATTTAACTAATTTATTGATAAAATAATAAAAACCTAAAAGTAATAAAATAACCCATAGAATTTTTAATTTTATCAATTCAGTAACGCAAATGAAAAAGAGATAAATGGCTAAAATAGAAAGGAGATAACCCTGTTTACAGAAACTATTTATATTGAATAATTGCACTAAATTACACATAATATCAATAAATGAAGTTTATTAATTTTTCATAAATGTAAACAAAGTTTTCGAACATATTATCTTTTGTTTCATTATCATCTTGATGAAGATTAATTTTAGCAAAAGCAAACTCAGGATTCAAACAATTCAATAAGTAACTAAAATACTTATAAAATTCTACTTTGTTGTATCGCTTCCAAATAAAGCCCCAACAGGACCTAGGGAGTTTATTCTAGTTTCAATGACAAACAAGATAGCTAAAAATGCATCTGAGTATGTTAAAGGGAGTGTACTCATTTATGTTATCATATATTAATATAATCCATCATTATCATCTATTTGACTATAAGCAAAATATCTTATCATAGAAATAGAAGAACTAATTTTAAGTAAACTATCTAACGTATGTTATGTGCAATAATAATTTTACCTTAATTTAAGATAGAACTTTTTAATTAATTCTAGTGAACTACTATCTATAGTTAACAATTTATTAATCCAAGTTTCAAGATCTGAGTTATAAATTTTATCTACTGTTCTCTTTTATAATAAATAACATGAAGATGGAGCATGAATAGATCTATCTGCTGTTGGTTATTTTTTTATTGTTGTTGAAAATGGATTTGAATTATCTGTTTGTGAACTTTTAAATAGATATTCACAATAATCAGCAATCAAATTAAATCTAACTTGCTTATAATTCAAATTAGAATAAGCTAAATCTAATACAATATCAAATGAGTCAGTGGCATGAGGGAATTTCTCATTTAAATAAGTGAAATCAGATTTTTTCACTTTTAAATCTTAAATATCAAATAAGCACCATATTGAACAATTGATTTCTATCTTTTTATCTTTCATTATAATAATAGGACTCCCTTTAAGTATTTGTTTAATCTTTTCCTAAACTCCTTTTGTTGGCATTCTTTTCAAAATTAAAATTCCATTTTTAGCTACACTCATTATTAGATAATCAAAAGTTTCCTCATCACAATCCGGTAATACTAAACAATTGTCTAAGTTTTGAATCATATTTTAAATCAAATCAATTATTATTTCATAATCTTCATAAATTATTGCTATATGTAGATGTCTTTGAATTTGTTCTTATTCCAATCTCTAAATCAATAAATTTGATTTTTAACATAGATTTGGAGATAGATAATATTATAAACTTGAACTATTCTCTAAAAATATACTACAAAGTAATGACAATTTTAACATTATTAATGAATTTGATAAGGTATGCTATTTTAATTATTAATAATCAAAGGATATGATGATATAATATATTGTATTGAGTATTTCATAAATATAATTCTTGTTATCTTTACCATAATTGTAATGTCTTTTACTTTTATCCAAGAACAGTTTAATGTCTTCATTATAATTTTCATCAGTATCAATTTGTTAAGATTGTTTAAACTTATAATTTAATTTCAATTTTTAGAAGTACTTCTTATTTTGAACAGCAGAGTATTAATCAATAGTTACTGCATAACAATATTCATTTGCCAAAATAAATGTATTATTTTATCTATACTGATCAGATAAGTTAAAAGTATAATATGCAAGTGAATATATTTAATTTCCAACATTAAATTTATTCACATTATTACCTTCAACATATATATCAAGCAATTAAAATGAATGTTTATATTTGTTATTTAGATTTTATCTTAAATTATTATATTTTCTATTTAAAGGCTATAAATCTGAAACATATAACTAGAGCTTTTGACATAGTTTATATTTCTTCTCAATTTCATGTCTAACTCCATTACATTCTTCACAAACATTCTCTTTATTCATTTAATTTTATAACCTTTAGATTAAATGAGCCCCTTTAATTGAAATTTTATCACTACATTTACACTAAAATTCTTGTAAAAATAAGTAATTTTTTGGTTTATCAACTCCCACTATTATACAGTTCTTCAAGTGTACCAACGATCCACAATGTTTCTACATCAATAATAGCTTATATTAAGGATCATGTATTGCTGTCTCAAAAGTTGGGACTGATATAAATTTAGTTTCACATATGAAATCATCATATCCAATGTCCATCTATTTCACTATCGAATAAATTATCTAATGTATTGATATTAGGAAGTGAGGGTAAAAATTTATGATCCATGATCCTAACAAAGGTCGAGTATCAATTATCAATGATAAATCCATAGTAAGTGTAATTTAGTATATAGATTAATGCTTAGGACCTTTAAATTGCTCTAATACTGTGTGAACGTAATTGTTTATTATAAATTACCTTAGTTCTTCTTTGAACTCTTCATTTACATTTTTACTCATTTATACTTAAAATTTAGTTATAGATTATTAATAATAAATTATTCTCTTTAAAATATTTTTTGGAATTTCATATCTAAAATTAATAATTCTAATAGTATGCAATAGATAATCTTAATGAATAAATCTTCCTTTTTTTACATTCATTTGTATTGATTTTGATCATTACCTCATTTTTATTTAATCAACCTTAAAAAAGCAAAGTTTTCATTTTAGACTGTGTTTCTTTTGGTTAAATATTATTCTTTGATTATTATTGTTATCTCTAAGGCAGAATAATTTCTTTCATCTTTCAATTTAGGAGTGAAATTTATTTTTACATTTTATAAATTATCTTACTTGAAAAGCAGAGTAATCCTATCGAATATTCTACTGAATAATCATATTATTGTAATTTCGTTCCTCTATTAAATAGAGTTTAGTTAATAAATTATTTTAAGATAATTAAAAATTATTACCAAAAATAATATTATCTAAATTATATTTATTTTCTCTAAATCTTGTTAAGCCTCTAATAAAAAAAGAACTATATATGAGCTAATAATTAAATTTAATTTATTAATTAATAATAAAATAAATGATGATTTTTATTCAGGAAAACTTTTTAGAATAATAGAAACTAAGACAAGAATAAATATTTTATAATCTACAATTTTTTTCAATACTATATACAAAAGAATTTCTTAGGTAAAAAACTTTCAGAAGTTTTCCAGGTGTATTACTAAATCCTAATTTTTAAGTATTTTTTTAGAATTGAAATCTAGCAATTTTTTTTTGACAATTGGTTGCCTAATTATTAAATACGATTCCTTGAAATTGATTTCAGAATTTGTGGAGAATTTTTTTTAATTCAGTGTTTTAAATTATTTAATCTGAAGAAAATATAGATGTTAGTTCTAAAATTTTTAGTTAATTTTTGTTGTCTATGTATATTTATATTTGGCCTGTCAAAAATTAGTTTAGTATTACTCTCTTCATTTTCATTAATTTAATTATGTTTGATAGATTTGTTGAGAGTTAATTATTCTGAAATCTCATAAGGAATTTTACTCTGAATTCCATAACTCCTCAAAATCTCCTTCATGTCAATTTCATTTGGAAGAAAATTAATTACTCTTTTTGATTTGCTTAAGACAAATGACAAATGAACTTTGTTAATTTTTTAATTCTTAATCACCCATATTAATAATATTAATAACATTTTGTTTAATTTATGAATTTTTGTGTGAAAATAAACTTTTATGATAAAAACTAGTTATGATATTTTTAATAAATTATTTTAACCTCATATTATATATCTTCCATCCTTAGTGTATTTTTTCTTCCTCTGATATGTTATTTACAGAAAAATATTGAAACCATTCTTTTAGTTATTTTTCCATAAACATTTTTTTCACAATATCTTAATTGAAAGTAATTTTAGAGTATAAATTCAAGAACATTTGTTTATAAGGCGAAATTGAATTTTTGAGCCTAAAATAGTATGTATTAACATATTCCTCTATATCAAGAAACAATTAATTTATTTTTCATACAATTCTATTTAATTATGCTAATAATACTTTTATCAAAAGATTTATATTTTTATGTGCTTTAATTATTATGGCTATAAGAACAAATATTATGATAAAGATCGCTGATCGTATATTTTAAGAGTGTTATAAAAAATAATCTAGTTTAATTAAATTTAACAATTAAATGAAACTTATGATGAAGAAAAATAATCATCAAAGATTATCATTTTCATTTGATCAAACATTTCGAATTTTTATGTTACATACTTAATTGCATTCAACCTTGTAATAGTTCTCTGCAATTCTCTTTCCATTTTATCTATAATTAATCGTATTTAATTGTGCATTCTCTCCCATTTTATCATGCTCTCAATAGAAGGAACAGAAATATTTAAACATAAAATTCTCTAGGTATATTAAATAGACTTTAATTATTTAATTCATAATTTCAGAATTCATTAATTAATTGATCATTCTAATAATGCAAGAATCACAATTACATTGTGGATAGTATTTTTTAATATATAGTATACAATTTCATAGATAAGATGTATAAATATCCTCTAGATTATCTAGATCTAATTTAGTTCTATATATTTTTGTTTTATTCAGACATATTGATTGATATTGACACAATTTTCCTAAAAATTTAATTGTTTTCAATAAAATCCATTTAATTATTTACAATTTTCCTATTCTTGAATAAAATTATTAAAGCTCACAATTCAATTGGATTTAATAAAAATTCTTTAATTGGATTTAATTCAAAATAATACTAATTCAATAAATGATAGATACTTTTGTACACTATTTTAAATTAAATAAAGGATAAGATGTCACTAGAAGTAACTATTCCAAGAAAACTAAGAATTACAATAATATCCTGTAATCCACTCTGTACAATTGTAGCCAGTTTTATTCTATCGGCGATGTGGATAGTTAATGGAAATTCTAAACATTTATTCTCATATAGAGAAAGATCAACTAGTCAATTTATGCAAATCAATCTTTCAGCCAAAACTCTAACAGAATAAAAGAATGATTTATAGAAGAAGAATTGAAAAAATTGTTTTGCAATTAAAAAAAAAAAGACATAATTTTTCTTTATCTGTAAACTAAATATATGAAGAGACTAAGGATGTAATCAATTTATTAAAAGTATTTTATTAAATTTGTGAAAATAAATAGAAATATTTATAATGGAATGATTCAAATATTCACAAGAAATCCTTATTTAAAGAATCAGCTTTAAAATTAACTATCAAGGTTAAGAGATATGACTATATTGAAACTGTAATGATTTAAATGAGATATAGTTAATGATGATAGAGAAATAAGAATTGATTAATTAAGCATCTTTTGAAAAGGCAAGTTTATGAAAGGCTTCTACTAAATTTAAAGATGAATAAATAATAATAATTGTATTATTATATAACTATAAATTAAAATGCCATCTTAAATTGATGTCTTTTAATTAACACACTCATCAACAGATGATGAAATATAATTATGTGTTGAGTGGATCAAAGTTTAATTGAGAGCGAAATAGACTGTTACCTTGCTAGTTAAGAAATGTTAGAGACAAGAATTAATACCATAAGTAACCGTAGATATTGTGACCATGATTTAATAAAAAATTAAACAATTGAGTTAGGATCCCTAAACTCGGTTGAGTGAAGTTTAAGAATTACTATAAATCTATAATTAGAAAGGGGTCAAAAATCAATCTATATTGATTTAGTTATATGTAGAAAATTTTGAATAATCTTAGATTGAGCTTGCAAATGCCAAATAACCGGAGGCTTAAGATAAAGCACTTGAGTTACTATGTAAAGTTGATGAGAAAATTAGAAAGCAATTTATGTCTTAATTTTCGTAATTTCTAAAAGAAAAAATTAAATAACTTATAGAAAATGGGTAACAAGAAGCAAACTAATAAAATTATAAAGAAGCTTTGGCTTTATATTAGAAAGCCCAAGAATTAAATAATTATTACGAAGAAAAGGATACAACCATATAGTTAAACGTAAAAATATCATGAATTCTAGATTCAATTAGGAAATGCCTATCATTCTTTAAAATAATATGACGACGCGTTAAATGTGTGGGAAAAGTCTATCAAATATATTTAAAGTCAATCATAATAATCGTAATTCCAAAATGAATTAATTTATATGTATAATACTGTTGGATAAATTTATTATGATAAAAAACAAAATAATAAAGCTACCTAATATTGGGATTCAGCTATAAGCATTTTGGAATAATAAAACGAACAAGAAAAATTGGAACAACAATCAAAATAGTTATTAGGACACTTATTAAATAATGTAGGGATGATATACTATTAAAAGGGGGAAGTAAAAAAAGCAATATAAAACTTTTAAAAAACAATTGAAGTTTATGAGAGTATTTACGGAAAGGGACATATTAGTGTGGGCAATAGATTAAATAATTTAGGTGAGGCGTATAGAAGTGATAAATAATATGATAAGGCTTTGGAGATGTTCAATAAAGCCTTAAGTATAAAAAAAGCTGAATTACAAGTGCAGCCTTCAAAAAGTTTAGCAAGTACTATAAATAATATTGGAATGACTTTACAAAATAAGCAATCCTATGAAGAAGCCATTGATTATTTCAAACAAGCTTTATAAATGTATAATGAACCAGGAGTGTTTAGTGATCCAAATGCTGGAGATGCTGCTTTGCAAAAGAGTAATACAATGCATAGTATTGCAGAATGTTATCGAGCATTGCATAATTTAGATTTGTGTATTTAGTATTTTAGGGAAGCATATAAATATAAAGCATAGGAGTTGAAAATATTTCATAAATCAACACAACACACAGCTATTTAATTGGCCTCAGCTTTATTTTAAAAAAACTAATTTGAGGAATCTTTGAAGATATTTGAAGAAGTCTTGGATGGTTAGAAACAAGTCTATGGATAAGATTCTTAAATAGTGGCTTAGACAATTAACAATATCGGAACGGTTCTATCAGAATTAAAGTAATATTAAAAAGCTTTAGAGAAAGTTCAAGAAGCAATACGAATATTCGAAAAGAAATTAGATAAAGCAGATCCTTATCTTCAAAAAGCATACGATAATATGAAAAATATAAAATAAAAATTACTGGAATGAAATTGTTAAATAAATTTAATTATAAAGAAAATTAAACTACTATTTGCATTAACTTATCTTCTAATTATTTCTCACTCTTTCAGTATAAAATAAGGGGGACCAAAAATTTGTATTTAATGCTTCTGTTTATTTATATCTGACAAAAGCTATTGGAAAGGTTGCAATTTTATTCCCATATTTTATAATTGAATGCCAATAGCAATAGTGATCGAAATAGAATTTAATGGATGAAAATTTATTTGCTAATTGTATAACTGATCTAAATTCAGATAAATTGTCTGAATTCGATTAATACTTATGAATATCTTATAAAGATGTGTATCTAAGAATATAAACATATATATATATTCTCTATTACTTAGTAAATTGTAATGATTAATAAAAACCAAAGCTTTTATTTTCAGAATATTTATATATTGTCTAGTTTTTTGATTAGGCATTTTTTAAAGTAAGTTATTCACAAAGATTATATCACTTTAATCCACATTATTGGCTTTAAAAAATGTAAGATTTCAACTAAGATAATCTAAATATCTTTATAATCCCTTCCTTACAGATTGAGATATTATATATTTTAATAAAAAACTTCCTTTACTGATAGTCCTAGTTGTTCTAAATATATCAACCTCATTTTATTGATTGGTTGATTGAAAAATTAATAATTACTTATTTTTGAGTTTTTCAAGTCCTTATACTTAACTAATAGTTTTAAAACACAATTTATGTTCATTGTAAGAGATTAGTTATATCAACTTATATTTATACTTGTATAAAATGCAAATAGAAAATAAATATTTTTTCTTTATACTCTTTAACTAACACTATTTGAAAAATACAAAACATATCTAGAAATTGTATTTTTTGTATATTAAAATGGAATATTCAAAAAGATGGCAAATCAAATTAAAATGTTCATCCTATGAACTATTAAAAAATTTATTAATAGCATTATAATCTATTATACATTAATCCAACATCATCGTTATTGAATCGATGCACTATATTGGAGATCTGTATTGATAATTTTTTCGATATATATACGATTAGAATTTAATTCAATCATTTAACAAATATTTAATTTATAATGAATTAAACTGATCAGAGTCAATAAAGTTAAGAAAGTCAAGCAACGATGTTTTCTTATGATCCTAAACTATTTCAACTATTATAAAAAGCTTTATTACTTGTGTCACAACAAAAGTAATATATTAAAAATAAGATAGACCTAAAAACCCAATTTAATTTGTTGCAGATTATATGAAAAAGAATCGTGAATTGGATTTTTGATTAAATTTATATTGATTTTAATTTTACATAAATTCTCATCAATCATCTTTCATTTATTATGTGTTTATGAGATAATAATTAGTTTTTGAATAGACAAAAAATATGTTAGATAATTTAATATATAAAAATTTTACTTCAAATTCTAAGTCTTATTACGTTAGCCTATTTGAGAAATTACTCTTGTTTTTTATTTATAAAATTGTACAATAAATTATATTTTTTTTCAAATTTTATATTTGATATGAATTATATTTAAAATAATAACAGAATATGATTGCAAAACTAAACAAGAAAGGATAAATCAACTTGAAAGTGTTTTTATTGGAAAGACTGCTTCATTTATATTATTTTGTAAGTCTTTAAAAGATTATATTTTATTTGATTAGCGTTTTAGGTGACTTATAATTTATTACATTTTTATGGGTTCCTATTTTTGAATCATAGAAATTAACATTTTTTTAAAATAAAATTAATTATGAGTCATTTATCATATACTTAAGCAGAATTGATGAGTTGATAAATTTTCAATTTAATTCATCTTTACAGTATTATTTTATACCACTCATAATTTAAATTTTTATGTTTATTATTCCTTTACTCATGTTGATTTGTTTATAAAACAAGTAAATGAATCAAAGACTTACAATAATTAATTATTACTTGAAGATTAGTTCAATATTTTATCAAATATTTATAACCTATTTATTTGTTCCATTTTTAGTGTTAAGCACTCAATCATTAATTATATCCTTTAACCAAAATGATTCCATTTACAATATAACTTTTACTACATTTTCTATTTTTTTAACAATAATCATACTTATGGTGAATTTATTGCTCAACAGAGAGACAATTGATTTAAAAGTAAATAGATTCTAAAAATTCAATTAAACGTTTTTGGATTATCTGTAAATAATACTTTAGATTTTGTAAATATTTGTTTATGGTATCATTAAGGGTGAAATTAATGGATAAACTTTATAAAGTGTTTTAGTCCTAACTATGTCATTTATAAATATTTTATAAGTCTTCTAATATGAATATACTGATATAACAAAAGCTAAAATCAGTTTGATTACCTCTTCTTTTGGATGTATCACATCAGTTTTTTAATTAATTAAGAGTCTAAAATAAGATTCGAGTTCCTAATTTACAAATACTGGAATAATTATAATTTTTATATCTTTAAGTAAATTATTATTAATATTCCATAATCAAAGGGAACAGAGTACTTTAAATAATATTTTATATATAAAATAACACAAAATAATTAAGTATTATTTATCAAGACTTATAACTGATGATTTAAATAAAAGTGAAAAAACTGTAAATAATTCTCTAGTATTACATTGGATGAGAAAAATGGTTGATCAAAATACAAATGATACATAAGTAAAATCAAATTATGTAAATATATTAACATCTCAAAATTTAGATGCCTTTATTTAAAAAAAACTACAATAATTTGTAAAAAGTCTTTAAAAAATAAAAGGATATGATTTACATTATATAGCCTTGTTATTTAATTATGGTTATTCAAATTTAGCATTAATTTAAATTAATTAATTAATCAATAAATCATTAAGTTTAACAACTTATAAAGGTTTTATTGGAGATGCTGATATTTAAAGTAGTGCTATAAATAGCACTTAAAAATATTCAGTTCATTAATCAGCATGTAGCAAAACTCTTAAATCTAATACAGATGAAATAAATGACATATCAAAAAAAGATTAGTTTAAAAAAAGTAAATTATTATTGATTGGAAATTATTAATTATCATCATTAAATACTGCAAAAGCATTATATTTAAAAAGACAAATAAAAGAAAATTTATAGTTCAAATTTTATGCAAATAACAATTTTAAATCGCAGTAAAATAATATGAGATTGGGAGTTGAATTATTTTTAAGGAATGAAAAAAGAATTTAAGGATTAAGAAGTGCAATGATTTATATGATTAATGAAAAAACCTAATTTATGCTATAATTTACAACGAAAAAAGCAATTGATGCTGATTAATTATATGACAATGCAATAAAACTTAGTAAAATAACATAAAATCTAGAAAACAAATTAAATAATAGGTATTAATAATTTCCAAGTTTAAAAATATAAACAATGATGGTATTTTATTAAGGAGAAATTCTAAATAATTATATAGATGCTTAAAAATATAAAAATTTAACATCCATGCCTGAAGAACAACTAATAAATATGGATATTAATATTAAAAAAGCATTTTTCTCAAAAAAAGTGGTTTATTTAAATATCGAACTTGAATATAATTAAAATTTATTGATAACAGGCAAATCTGAAAATGCATTAAGATTTTTTTAAATATCAGCAGAAGATTCAAAACATTTTACTAATGTTGATTATCTCCTTCCCTTGGCTATTAAAAATGAACATAGTTTATTAGTGTAAAGATATATATAAACAAGTTAATCTAGATTTTACCTAATGTAGAATTAAACTTTTTTTAAATTTAATAATTTATTAATTAAATAGTGTTTACTCCTATTTGATATTCATTTCGATAATTTAAATCATTACAGGTTTTCAACTTTTTTTGAGGAATGCAGAAATCAATCAGCGTATTTATTAGTTGATATTAATCAAAAACTTGGAGGTATAACAGAAAGTTTCTTTGAGAAGTTAGGATTAGATGAAAACTATTAGAATTAATTTAATAAATAGGATTCAACACTATTATAAATTGATTATCTTATACCAAATTTTTAAAAATTTATAGAAGATAAATAATAAAATACAATAACTGAAATAAGATTATTAAAGGAAGAACATATTTAGTAATTTTAAACAGAGATAAATAGATCTTAAAATAAATAGTAATTATTAAATTAAATTAACTGGTCTAATATTGAATAAGTATATATTTTTGAAGCAGAAATAAATATTTAATATAAAGATATTTTTGGTTATGATTATTTTATAATAGAAATAAAAGAAATTAAATAATTAATAAACTCAAAAAGATCATAAGTATCAAGTAAAATTAGAAAATAGGAAGGTTTAGAAGAATTTTTTGAATTATCAGAATTGTCTGAAAATGAAGCAATTGCATAATCTCCTAAGATTTCTAAATAGTAAAATAAGTTCAAAATATGCTATGATTAAAATTCAGAAGATATTAAATTAATTAAAAAAATTGCATAAGATATTGAGGATAAATAATAATAATAATAATAAGATATATCTTTTCTTTAAATTAATATTCTTAGTCCCAATTATAGTAATGCTTAATGGTAAGATTAATCTTAGATACCTTTAAAAATATAACAAAAAAGTATGCAATAGGATTACTTTCATAAAGATAGTGATAAATCAATTTCAGTTTACTAATCAAAAAATATAAAATTAGAAGAATTAGAAGAAGAATTTAAAAGTAGAAACACTAAATAACAGATTAGTGCTCAAAATAAGGAAATCTAAGGAGAAAAAGAATAATCTTCCTCTAGTAATGCATTTATGGGAATTAAAAAGTCAATATTTTATAAAAAATATGAAACCATAATTCAATTAATTGATCCAATAACTCCAAGAACTTTGAAACTGTTCATATTACTTTAAGAACTCACTTATTTAATTGGATTAACTTATTTTATCATTATTCTTTCTAGTGCATAAGAAGATCTAAATAGATTCATAGGTGAAATAGATATGATCTAATTGCATGCAGGAATAATGAATCCTCATGATTTGTATCTCTAAATAAGATAACCAATAATTACATATAATTCATTTCTAACTGCAGGTAAAATCACATAATTAGAATTCAAAGAACTCACTGATCCCTTGTTTGAGAATGTTGGTATTGGTTACTATGAATTTAAAGAAGGTTTTATTTATTGGTTGGGCAATCAATACTTGACTCCATTTTTAAAGGATAAAAATATAACAGTATACTATATGATGGAAAATGGGTCTCAAACATAACCGATAACTTAAAATATTAGAGAAGCATTAATGGCTACTTTATCATATTATTATGACTTTAAGTTGAGATTTGAGGCAAGATTAAGTACAGCTAATTAAACATATTAAGTATATCAATTTGCAAATATATATAATTTTCATTTTTGGTTGGAGGATTTAACTATGGAAGTATATGAATACTCAAAGAATAGAAGTATAGAGGTAAGCAATAAGTGGAATATGATTTGGATTATTTATTTAATGGTCAATATTTGTCCTTTATTTGCTAGTTTATTTTATTATAGAATATTTAATTCAAAATTAGATTAATTTGTAAGTCTTTTTAAATATTGTTCATCGTATAAAATGGAATTAGAATTGGAAAGATTAAAATATATATTTAAATGGTTAAATAAAAACAGTGATTTAGTATTTAATTATTAATTTAGTATAGAATAGAAGGAAGAGGATATAATAAAATAAAGGCAAGAGCATGAATAATAAAAAATTAAGGATATTAAAATTTAATAGTAGTTTAAAAAGATATCTTTTGGCATCAAATTTATATTTATTATAATTGGTTGGATGGTGTTTTTTGGGTTGAGTCTAGTATCAAATATTTAAATAGGAGAATATTTAAATAAATATTCAGCCACAGCAGATGCCTATAAATTAATATAAGATATGTCTTTATATGCTGGAACACTTTATCGAAATAGAGATTTTGGTTTAGCCTTTGCAAATTATCCTTACTTGAGGCCTTTTGATAAAGAGAAGTTTTATTTTACAATCAATACTGGTTTAGAAACAATATCTAAATTCTTATAATTCTCTTATACTTTTGATTCTAGTTAATATTAAACATCTGAAGAATTCTTTATTTTTTTTTAATCATTGCAAGAAAACAATATATGTATAGTATTAGGAGATCAAAATTTGGGGTTTTTAAAATAATATTGTGAAAAGTCATTGTAAGGTAGTTTATTATTAGGATTATTTCCAACATTAAAATTCATATCAAACTCCATTTCAAGTCAGATGTAGATAAATAATTTTACAAAAAGAGTGGAATATAATAAATATGAAAATGAGGGTAGTCTTATAGTATTAAGAGCATTTTAGTTGATGAGCAAATAATTTAAATTAGGTATGGTCAATGTAACAAAATAATAAATTACTATTTGCAATACAATCTCGATTATTTTTATTGTTTATTCATTATTACTGATGGCCTATTTTATATTCATTTTGTTGTAAAATTTAAGGAATGATTTAAATTTAGCCAGAAGATTTATTTTATTAATACCATCAACTGTGTTATTTTTGGATGATTAATTTGATAGGCATGTGAGAATTCTAATTGCAGGACAAGATTATTGATATTCATTTTTTTTATGTTCTAATTCAAATATCTATTTTTCATGTAAATTAATTAATCAAAATTTTATATCTATATTAATTTAATGAAATTGCTATTTTATTTTAATATTGTATTAATCTATGTTATTTTTTTTTGGGAGACTTTACAATCCTTGAAAAAGAATGTATTTACAATGAAAAAAGTTGTTCATATGAGATATTTATAAAATTTTTACTAATGATTAACAAATTCTATTTTAAAGAACATATTATTAATTTTATTGAATTATTAAAAATAAATGATACTCTAATTAGGAAAATTGATTAAAAATTGATTAACTATGATTTAGAAGATTTATGTGAATAATTTTCTCTATACTCATAATAATAAGAAATAAGATTTTGATGAGATCAAAATAATGTTTAATGAAATGAGAATACTCTTCCATAATTAAATGAACTATAAATTCAATGAGTTGATTCTTCCAGTTTTTCTAATATAAACTATTTCTTTTTTAATCTTTCCTAAACTAGTTCCTATTCCGATTTTTAAGTACTTCCTTTATCCTAAAACTATCAACATTTATAAATACTTATTCTTTAAGATTTTCATCATACAATTCTGTTAATGAAGGCAACACATCATGGGGATTCTTCTTTTTTACTGATAAAATCTTTTCTATTCTATCATGATTGTCTCCTTATAATTTATATGGTTCTGGTTTATAATTGACTGGTAAATCCTAATTATTTATCATTTAGAATGTAATACAGCTCCATATTTTTTTTTAATGTAAAACGAAGTGTAATTTTATTTATGAATCAAGACTTTAATTTCATGTGCTGCTCTATCATATTTAGAAAGGACAGCAGGGGATCTTGGAGATGAACTGACTGTATCTTCATAAGTTGATGTGTTTAATTATTAGGGTTTAGGAGTCATAGTTCTTTTAGTCTCTCCAATAATAAAATTTTATATTCTAGCTCTTTCTTTCATTCTTTTAAGTTCTCCTTCTTTTTCTCCTTTTCTAATTGCATTCTGAGTAGCTGAAGATTATATTCTATCAATTTCATTGCTATGTAATCCAATTTATTTTAATAACACATTATATTCCTTTTTAAGTTAAATAATAAGTTTATGTTCTTACTCTATTAATTTTGCTTTTAATTATTCCATTTGTTTTTAATGTTTACGTTATAATTCATCCTTTTAACTTTCGATACGTTTTTCTTATTCAGAAGCAACTCTTTCTTATTCTGCTTTTTCCATATTTTTTAATTCTCTACGAAAATCCATGGCTTCTTCTACTCTTTCATCTAAAGACACTAATTTTTCCTATGTTTATAAATCTTTTAGTTTTCTTTTTGGTTTTACTTTTAAAAACTCTGTATTTTTTGATAATTTATCTTCCAATTGTCCCATTTCTTCTGATTATTTCTAAATTTACATTTATCTAAACAATTTCATAATAGTCTATACATTCTTATTTTTTTCTAATTTTCAAATTATTAGAAATAATTATAGTATTTCTCATAGAAGTCATCCAATTTTTCAAATCCAATTTCTTTATAAGTTGAAACTTCTGATTTATAAATCTTCTATCTTAAAATGTCTTAGTATTCACAGATATTCTATTCTAGAGTTCTTATGGCTTTCATCAATTATTTGAAAGGAACATATTATTATATTTATAACAATAGATTTGCAACTTATTACATTTTTTCTTTTATAATGCTGAATACTAAAATTTATTCATCTTCATTTAAATATCTATATTTAAATATAATCAAATTACCCATCATTATCTTAATCAAACAAATCAAAGAAATCCTTTCCACTAGAGATTTTTAACATCATTTAAAAATCCTCTTTACAAGCATCAAAAACTTAAAGAGCTGTTTTATATGGTATTTAAACTTATGTAAAATCATTTCTTCTAAATTCTTTCCAAATTTTTGCACATTTTTAAGGAGCTGCCATAAATATTTCACCTAAACGATTAGTAAAATATTGTTTACCTTCTGCTTATACTTATCTAATATATGTTTTTGGTAATGATGAAAGAGCTGAATAATTTGTTTGTTAAATTAATTTTGATGCGTATAGAGATGACTTTGTTTCAGTCTAATACATTTATTATCAATTATGATGAAATAATATAACAATAAAATAAATTCTAAATTATTAAAATCATCATATTATATAAAATATAAGAGAAAATAATCTATGAAATATCCAAAAATGATTATTGATAACATATTAATTATAGTTTATTCAAGAAAATCTAAATCCATTACACATTAAAGATTAGTTTGTCTAATTTGTTTAATTTGTTCTATATTCAACTTGGTCATCCCATGTTGATTTCTATTCACAATAAGTATTTTCGTTAATAGAAATTGAATGATTTCTAGATCGCTAAACATAAATTTGTATTAAATACATTTTTTATTTTTTGAATTGATTAACGTATAAATGAAGTTTCTTATTCTGTAGTAGTAGTTAATTTCTTTTTTGTATTATATAGTTTATTTTAAATATCTTTCATTTATCTTTATAGATTTGGATTGATTCTATTTAAAAATCCTGAAATATCATTTGAATCTTGATTTGTGCATGTAGATTCATCAAATTTATTGTTAGAAATTTATTATTATTATTATTATTATTATTATTATTGACTCACTCTTATTCTTGTTGTTGGATAAGACGGGCTTTAATTTCTTTTTCTTTATTAAAGAGCTTTATCATCTTCAAATTATTAATTTACTTAATATTCAATTATGTTTTAATAATTAATGTTTTCTTTATTGCAAGATAAATATTCTAATTCTACAATCCTTTTTTGCAATTTCTCAATTTCTTTTTCATAATTTTTTTAAATTTAATTAATTTAATGTTCTTTATCAGCCAATTTATCTTCAAGCAACTTTATTTAAATTTATTAAGCATTTATAATTTCTTATTATTTATCTATCTCATTCTATTCATAAGTTTTTTAGAACTTTTAAACAAAATTATCATTTTATTGTTGATTCAATGTACTAATAAAGATTTCATTCATTTTTCTTAAGTTCTCTTCTCTTTCTTTAGCTTCTTATATAAACATCTCTTAAATTTAAATTTTCTATTGTAAAATTGCTTTTTCATTTTTCCATTCTAAAAACTAAATCCTTTCATCATTCATTTCTTTTTAATTTTGAATATTTATATTAATTTTTTTTTACTGTTATTTTTATATTTAACTCAAATGTGCAATAATCAAGTAAAATCTTTAACTAATAAGGAAAGTTTAAAATTTGTTATAGTAGTATATATAGGAATATTCTTAATTAGTTTATTTTAGAAATTATAATAATCAATTAATAGCAAAAATGAATGATCAATTTCTCAATTGTAGATTATGCTCTATAGAGTTCGATTAAGTCATCCATTTACCAAGGTTGTTAAATGAATGTGGACACACCGTCTGTGAAAAGTGTATAAAATAATAAGAAGGACATTTCAGATGTCCTGCAGATGAGTAATGTTCATTTTTACCATTCCAGAACACTTTATGAATATTCGATCGATGGCTTTCCTATCAATACAACCTTATTTAAATTGATCTAATTAAAATAAAAGCCAAAATTGAATGATCTTTTTGAAACCCCATAGCTAAGTCTATACAAAGATAATTCATCTTCGGATTCTACAATTTCTAAAAATAAATTTTAAGATTCTTAACTAACACCTATCTCTTTATAAAATACAATATCTGATAGCTAAAAACAAAGAGATGAGTTGTTATAGAAAATTGAAAATAAATTTAATGATCTAATAACAAGATTAGAAATCCGAAAAATGGAGTTATTAAGTCAAATAGATATAAAATATGAATAATCTCCATTTTGTTTATTACAGGTTGACTTTTAATTTTAAATGGATGTGCTTGTTCCAAGATATGGTATATTAAGAGAAGAATTATATAATGATATTCAACTAAACAATTCTCAATAGAAGGAATAATTTTTAACCTTTTCTAATAAAGATTCTATTGATACAAATAGATAAAGATCACCATCAAAAAAGATATTTGAAGAATTGAAATAAATCTACATTCGTCCAGCATTATCATAAGAAAAAATGAATGAATTAAGAAAAATCATTAAAGCTATGGATAGATCAGAAAATCTTGAGATAATTAATTTAAAATCAAGAAATTTAATAGATGATGATATTAAAATATTTTCTGAAGCATTATCAAGAACAATTTCAAATATAAGAGTAATAGTGTTATCAAGAAATTAAATTACAGATTAAGGATTTTAATATCTTGTTGATGCATTATGGACAAATAAAACAATCAAAACATTAAGATTAAAAAATAATAAATTAACAAATGAATCTTTAAAATATTTAATCGAAATTTATGAAGATTAGAAGTATAATTCTTTATAACAAATTTATATGTAAGGGAATTAAATTAATAATGATGACTAAGTGCAAATTTTGACAAAATTGGGCTTATTAATATATAAATGATATTAAAGTATTATAAAGGTATGATTTTTTTTCTAAATTTTAATAAAGAATTTCATATAATTAATTTATTAATTTAATAATTGCATGGGAAAACTACACGGAACATTAGCAAAAGCTGGTAAAGTCAGAAAGTAAACACCTAAAATTGAGAAATAAGTAAGAAGACACAAAATTCCAAAAGGTAGAGCCTATAAAAGAATATGTTTTAATAGAAGGTAATATAATAGTGGATATAATCTAATAGATTTGGATCAGCCACAACATCTGCTTAAGGACCTTAATAAAGGAAAAAGGGTCCAAATTGGCATGCTGGAAGAAAAGATCTTATTGAAGAGGAAAGGAAGAAGTAGGTTGAATAAAGAAGACAAAGAAAGAAATAGGATACTAAATGATGATTTACATGTCCTGAACATATAAAATATTCAAATTTCATTCTTTTATTTTTTTCAATATTATTTATTAAAGAATATATTAATAAATAAGAATATTGATAATTAAAACACATTTTACTAGATTATTATTCTAGAATCAATTCTATAAGTAATTGAATGATAAATTTAAGAAGAAAATATATTAAAGGATGTGTGAATTATTGTTGAAAATATAATAATGTAAAATAATAAAGAATATGGAATTGTTTAATTGTTTGTATACTTTGTTATTTATAACTCATTAGATAAGATCGACATACTCTTATCTTAAGTTTTCTGTGAATTTTTAAGTAAATCCAAAAGTATGTTGATGGACTTATTTTACTTCAGGAATTGTAAGCATATGTTTAATATATTGATGAAGATGTGGATAAGGAGCAAGATCAATATTTAACATGAATATTGTTGCTAATTCACAGATTGCACTAAAAAATTTATATAATTATTTACCTTAAATCAGCTATAGTTGGTTCGGCAAATCCTAAGATGTATTGATGTTTTCCATTACCTAAGAAGATCTCTTCAAAGGCCTTAAGATACCAATCTAATTCTTTGAATCTTTCATCTTTATTTTCTGGAGCTGGCTTTCCAAAGAATTTTGGATAGAATACAAAATCTCTGGCTGTTAGTGTAATTTATCTTGTTCCTGTATGATGCCAATCAAGATATTAATCAAGTCTGGCTTATTCAACAATGTCAGATGGGTAAAACTTTTCTAGTTTGAATTTCTTAGCTAAATATTTCAATATTGTATGTGATTCAAACAAGACAATATCTCCATCAACAATAGAAGGCACATTACCAGTTGGTGAAATTTTTCTATATTCTGGAGTATTTTGCTCTTGTTTCATCAAATCAATGTTATGCAAATCATGGGGGATTTTACCAAGTACCAATAATGCATGTACAGCTCTTGATGGTTATGAGATTGGATTGAAATATAATTAAATTGACATTTTATTAATGAATCATCTGACAATTATTTCAACTTAAATAATGATAAGAATTTCTTATATCCGAAAATAGATATTTATAAAAAGAATGTATTTATAATATTATATTTAATTATAAAAATTAGTTTAAATTGTTCAAAATACATTAATAATAGTATAGACAAAAAAAATATTCTAAAAATGAATTAAATTCCATAATTTTATATACTAATTAATTTGAAGCTTTAAAATTTCTATATAATTCTTACAAAAATTATTTTATATTAAAATCTAAAAAAATATTCTTTAATATGAGATAATTAATTGGCTAAAATTTTAGTTATTCAAGTTTGGGCAAGGATTTAAATCAATTATTAATCTTTGAATATACATTTTATAATTCAATTTAATCTAAGAAACTACCTCTATATGAAATATAATTTAATCAATTCATTTTAACATATAAACTTTAATATTTTCGTTATTTTTTTCACAAATGGATAATTAAGCAAATTTTATATGTCTTTATAATTGACCTGACCAAAAAATTATGTTTTTAAAATTTAAAGTTTATCTCAACATAAAGCATGTTTTAATTTCAACATTATTTCATGACTAATTGATTATATACTAATAATTTTTATTATTAATTAAAGTAGAAAGTTTTTCAGTTTATTATTTTCTAATTCTCAAATAAACACTTATAAATGGAAGATATAAATAAAATTTTTCTTTATTTAATATTATTTTATGGTTAGTCTGTTGTAAATGAGTCTTAATAAATAAAGGTCTTTCTTAATTAGATCATATATGTAGATATTGCTGATGAAATCCTTGAAGAAGGATAACAAGTTATTAATTAATAAGCCATTATACCATTAATAAAAATATAAAACATCCAAAGATTTAAGAAAATGAAACTAAACATAAAGTAGTTAAGGTTTATAGTTTGCAAAACAGGATGTAAGATTTTAATTAATTTAAACTATTTAAATTAATTAAAATAAAACATTAAAATCAAAAATAATAATCTCCATAGCAATATGTTGTTAATAGAATTTTAATTTATCACTATATATTAAAATCAAAAATTTAATTCTCTTAATTTTTTTACTCAATATAAAAAGTATTTTATTCTATTTAGTTTTAACATCATTTGTATCATTTTATATTATTATTCAAATTTTGATAAATAAGCAAACATTTCGAAGATTAATATTGATAAAACTAAATTATTAATAGTATATATATAATAAGAAAATGAATATCAAACCATCTTTCTGAAATGAATAGAAAGTGAAAATGTTAAAAAAAAGATTTAGATAATTTTTATATTAAAATCAAATAAAATATTCTTTTTTATGAAAATATATTTTCTTTCTTTTTTTATCAGTAATTAATGTATATTTTTAATAGCATAAAAGTACACTAAAAGAAAATAAATTGATCTAATCCTAAATCCTCCTTTATCTCAACACCCTAATAGATTTTATTAAAATGAATAATATGAATAGTAAAAAAAAAATTAGATATTCAAATCTAAAAATATATTCTTAAAGCAAATTAAAAGTAATAGAAATCATAACAATATAATCCAAAATTTTATTCTTTCATACATAAAGAATACTTTTTTATAATTAATTTATTCAATTTTTTAATATAATTTCAATTTAAATAAATTTTTTTACTTTATATAGATATTTATACCAATTGTTTAACTAAGTCTTTCAATGGAACATTTTTAATCAATACACAGACTCCTTGGTTACTTAAACTAAGACATAATGAGATTTATAACATATAATTTTTCAGTTTTCGAAATTTATCAAAAGAAGTTAGTAAAGAAAAATGGATTTACAATTCAAAAGTTAAAATAACCCAAAAAATTCATTTTAATACAAAGTGTAGGAAAATTAAAAAATAAATAATTGCTTTATAAGAATTGAGAACTTTCCTCAAATCTTGATATTCAAATATTCTTTTCATCTATTTGAATTTATCAATTTGAAAATGATAAATGAATCGTTCTACAATAATTAAATATCATCGCTTATAATTATTAAGTTGAAATTAATTCTTAAATTGCTATTTCATTAAATAAATTTCATTTTTAATTTCCATCCCAAAGAAAAAAAAGTAGAGTATATTATATTATTAGTCTATTCATTAATTATTTCTAATAAACAATCCTTTATAAAGTTATTTTATTCTTTAGTAAATCTTTTATTAGTTTTAGAGAACTACTCTTAATTTTATTTGAATTAGTTTACTCTTATATTATAATTAAAGTTTTAGTACGAATTTACATAAAACTTATCTTATTAGGGATAACTTATTTATTTTCTAAATATTCTTGTTAGGTCTTAAAATATAAGAATTGAATCATAATAATTAATATTTATATAAGGGGATAAAAAAAGAAACAAAAATAAAGAAAATAAAAAAGTAACAACACCTAATCATTATATTTTTCCATACTATTGCCTTAAAAAATCTGTCTAGTATTTAGTAATTACAATATGTTTTTTAGTATTTTTATTAAGTGGTTTCGAAGTTTAATTTTGATTAGTGGATTTTAAGGGTTATGATAAATACTTTTCGGGTATGTTCATATACTTCATTCTCACTTAATTATTCTAAAAATTTTACTTTATTCTACAATTTTTCTTAATTCACTAATTTCTATTAAATAATCATCTTCATTTTCAATAATAATTTTTCTAGGACTATCAAGTTAATTTTCTTCTTCAATTTATTCTTCAATAGCTGAGAGGCTTAAATTAAGTAATTTACGTGATTATGGAAAATATAATGCTGTTTTCTCATATCTAGGAGATATCACTATATCTGTTTATTAAGATATCAATTATTTATAAGCTAGAATTAAATCTGAAGCCACTTTTGATATATTTGGACCGTCTTTCTTCATCGTTAAATTCTAATATAATAATTTTAATTAATATGATTCCTGAATAATAATAGGGAATAACAGAAGAAGAAAAAGAACTCATTCTAGTTGAAGAATTATCTTAAAAATTGGAAGGTTTATATAAAGACATGGAATAAATAAGAAGAGAAAATCTTTTATTTGAATCATATATAATGCGAAACTCCAAAGATTTACAGAGAGAAGATGAAGCAGAGGATAAAAGATAGAAAACAAAAAAGAAAAATTAACCAGTTGATAAAAAAGTAAATTATATTTAGATTGTATTAGACAATGTAATTGACAAATGAAGAGAAATATGAGATTGCTCAATTTGAGAGTGATACATTAAAAAAGAACATTGAAGAAGGCAGAATTAGATCAGATTAAATATTAGAAACATTAAGAGTATTAGATTATTAAAAAGTATTTAGGCAATTTTAGAAGAAACAGATAAAGCAATTACTGAAATTAGAAAGGATGCATTTGATTTTTAAAGAGAAATATTATTTGCTGGTGAAAATACAAGAACTGGTAAAATAGAAGCAGAAAGAATAGATAAGTATTTTAAAGAGAAATTAGTTTAAAAAGTATGAAAAATTAATTGTAATATAAATTAGGATGCATAAATAGAAAAATACAAATAAAAAAAAGCTAATATTGAATAATAAATTACTAAAACTAGCAATTAAATTTAAAAGAAAGAAGAAATGGGTGATGATTTAAAGTTTATTGATTTTCATCAATTATAAATTGAAAATAAAAAATATGTTAAATAAATAGATGAAAAAAATAAAAAATTACTTGGATTAAAAATAGCTACTGGTAGAATATCCTCTGTTTTAATTGATGAAAAAAATTAACTTTAAACTGAAATTGATTAATGTAATAAACTTATATAAGAAATTAATGATAAAAATAAAAAAACAGCTAAAACCTAAGAATAAACAAAAAAAGTCAAAGTTTAGATTACATCATTAACAGAAAAAAAGAAAAAATTTGCAATCCAATTAGAATAAGTAAATAATGCTACTAATGAAGATATTCCAAAAGTAAATATTTATATAATTAATATTTAGTCAATGACTTATGTATTATAGAAACAAAAAGAAGAAGAATTAGTATATAAAATTAGAAATACTAATCGTAAAATAGAAATAGCAGAATTAGCTTATCAAAAAGCATGTAAGACATTAGGAATTAATACAAAAAAATAATGAAGCAAGAATAATTTTAAATTAAAAAGTACAAGAGTTTATCTAATAATTATTTATTACTTTTAAAGACATACCCAATATTTAACACATTTCCAAAGAATCATTGCCAAATTATATAATCATCAATTCTATTTTCCATAAAATTATTAGATCAATTTTATTCATTTTTAGGAAATTAGCATGATTACTTAAATTTCTATGTTTAAAAAGGTTACCATCTTTATTCATTTAATTAAAATCTTTACTTATTTCAAACAAATTAATAATAATAATAATAATCTTTATTGTTATACTAATAATGAATTGAATTCATTAAACTTTAATATATGAAAACATTGGATGTATAATAAAAGTTTAAATAACTTTTGATCATCATGGTATTTAAAAAACTCAGAGTTTACTAAAGGAGAAATTATTAAGAACAATAATAAAAATAATTTAATTAATGATGAATAGAAATATTTTATTATTAATGTTAGTTTAGATTTCAATTATAGAAGAATAAAAGGCAGACTATCAAAAGAATGATAATTATTAAACAAAATAAATAAATTTGGAATATTAATATTATTTTTTTTATTTATTTTTTTCATAATTTCTCAAATATAACATTCAAGAATCTCATAATTGTAATTTAATAATTATTATTATAATTTCTTTATATGATGAAAAAATTATTACCTTTAGCATTATTTACTAGCTACAATAAAAGCTTTATAAAAAATGTGAAATTAGAAATTCTTAATGGAGCTTAAGATGATTATTAATGTTTCTAAATTGAAAAAGGTCATTACTTGAATCAATTTTTAAATAATATTGAATAGTTTACTACAAATATAATAGAAACAATAAAAGATTGTAAATCTAAATAAATGAAAGCTATTTGGATTCAATTAGATTCAAATTAATTAGCACTTGCTGAGAAATTAATTGAATAAGGATTTTAAATGCATCATTGTACATAAAATTATTTATTATTATCACAATGGATTATTGAAAATGAGAAAAGCAGATTACCAAATTATACTACTCATTCAGTTGGTGCTGGAGGTTTAATTATTCATAACAATTAAATATTATTAATACAAGAAAAAAATGGAACAAAAGAAGGACTATGGGGTATACCCGGGGGATTAGTTGATGATGGAGAATTAGTTGCAGAAGCAGCAAGTAGAGAAGTAAAAGAAGAAACAGGTTTGGATGTTGAACCATATGATTGTTTTTTCTTTAGAGATTTACCAATAGCTAATTAATATTAAGGTGATATTTATTTTGTAATTTTCATGAGATTGAAGAATTAATAATAAAAAGTATAGATTTAGGATTAAGAAATAAAGAATTATCAATGGGTTGAAATTAATAAACTTTAAGAAGTATATAAGTGATGACATTTAATTAGTTTTTAATTTAGAACAAATTTGGAATTACTTAATAAAGATTAATAGAATCTATTATCCAGTATTAAAAATCTAATCGTTTTGGCACACAACTTTGTAATATGGATATGAAACCAAGAGTTATGTATGGAAAAGAGAAAAAATATTGTTTATTTAAGCCTAATTTATGATAATATTAATAATATAAATATAAATGAAATTTACAAAATATCTCCTTAGAATATTAATTCCTGAATGGGTTAAGTTTTATGTTAATTTTAAATTGTTAAAAACATATTTATCTATAATGACAATACTGAAGACCTTTTTACTAGAAGTAAAGTAATAAAAGCAAAGAGATGAATATCTAAATATTAAATAGGATGTTTTGTAAGATTGTGATCTAATCGATAAATTGAGAAGAGATTCAGTAAAGTTTATTGAAATTTTAGAGTATGAGATAAGAAAAACAATATCCTTCTCTAAATTTAGATACATAGATGTAATAAAGAAATATGATAAATTAAAAGAATAAATTATAGGGATGTAGTAAGAATGGATTTCATTACCAAAATTATTTAATTAACCTACACTAGCAATAACATGGAACATAAAATCAATGACAGAAGCAGAAAAACATTAATTAAAGTTAATTAAATAAAATAAGCCTAAACATAAAGAATACAGAAGAAAATGTGAGGAATTGTTAGATAGTATGTTTAGATTTTATGTGGAAGTATAATAGTTATAATCATTCTTAAATATAAATTATGAAGCTACTAGAAAAATAATTAAAAAGTTTAAAAAATAAGAGATAAGAGGAATAATGGAGGTAAATGAGAACATTTTTTAAAAAGTTATTGAATTTTAAAATGAAATTCATGAATTACCTAAAAGATTAAAAATGATAAAGGACGAAACAGAATCAATAATTATTTAAAATTTCTATAAACATGATAAGTAAAAATTATTATAAAATTTATAGTCCAAAAAAGTGTCGAGAATTTTTGAGAAGATATACAGAACAAAATCAATTATCAAATGAAAGTATATTTTATTTTGGATTTTTTGCTGGATTTGCTGCTTTAATGATTATAATTCTTTTATTAATGAGATATGATGGATATTTGGATCCAAACTCTGATAAAGTTTTTAATAAAGTTTTTCCTTGTTTCAGAGGAGTTGCATTATTTATATTTTACTTTTGGATGATATCTCTTGATGTAGCAGGATGGAATTACTTTAATGTTAATTATAAGCTATATTTGGGATTCAATCATCATTATTCAACATTATCTGAAATATTAAAAAGAGTTACTATTTTTAGTACAATTTATTTATTAATATTCATAATTTATTGTGTTTAAGAAGAAGATATTGGAAAATTAGCTTAAGAATTATAAGTTTTTGATGTAAGACTATATCCTCTAATAATATGGGTATGCTTGTTGATATATGTTTTTTATCCATTTAAAAAGATATTTAATCCAGAAGGAAAGAAATATATGTTCTAAATGTTTTATGGAATGATATGGGGATTTATATTTAATTATGAATCAAGATATACATTTATGGCAGATTAATTCGCATCNGATACATAGATGTAATAAAGAAATATGATAAATTAAAAGAATAAATTATAGGGATGTAGTAAGAATGGATTTCATTACCAAAATTATTTAATTAACCTACACTAGCAATAACATGGAACATAAAATCAATGACAGAAGCAGAAAAACATTAATTAAAGTTAATTAAATAAAATAAGCCTAAACATAAAGAATACAGAAGAAAATGTGAGGAATTGTTAGATAGTATGTTTAGATTTTATGTGGAAGTATAATAGTTATAATCATTCTTAAATATAAATTATGAAGCTACTAGAAAAATAATTAAAAAGTTTAAAAAATAAGAGATAAGAGGAATAATGGAGGTAAATGAGAACATTTTTTAAAAAGTTATTGAATTTTAAAATGAAATTCATGAATTACCTAAAAGATTAAAAATGATAAAGGACGAAACAGAATCAATAATTATTTAAAATTTCTATAAACATGATAAGTAAAAATTATTATAAAATTTATAGTCCAAAAAAGTGTCGAGAATTTTTGAGAAGATATACAGAACAAAATCAATTATCAAATGAAAGTATATTTTATTTTGGATTTTTTGCTGGATTTGCTGCTTTAATGATTATAATTCTTTTATTAATGAGATATGATGGATATTTGGATCCAAACTCTGATAAAGTTTTTAATAAAGTTTTTCCTTGTTTCAGAGGAGTTGCATTATTTATATTTTACTTTTGGATGATATCTCTTGATGTAGCAGGATGGAATTACTTTAATGTTAATTATAAGCTATATTTGGGATTCAATCATCATTATTCAACATTATCTGAAATATTAAAAAGAGTTACTATTTTTAGTACAATTTATTTATTAATATTCATAATTTATTGTGTTTAAGAAGAAGATATTGGAAAATTAGCTTAAGAATTATAAGTTTTTGATGTAAGACTATATCCTCTAATAATATGGGTATGCTTGTTGATATATGTTTTTTATCCATTTAAAAAGATATTTAATCCAGAAGGAAAGAAATATATGTTCTAAATGTTTTATGGAATGATATGGGGATTTATATTTAATTATGAATCAAGATATACATTTATGGCAGATTAATTCGCATCATTTACTACTCCAATCAGAGATTTAGACTATACAATCTGTTATTATTATTATATTGTAAATTATCATTTTATTTTAGATATTCAAAGGTTATGAACATGATGGATAATGTGAACCTAGGACAAGATTTACTAGTGCACTTCCAGCAACAGTTCCTTATTTAATTAAATGTGCTCACTATATAGTTAGAGCAAAAGTTAAAGGTAAATTATTTGGAACAGATGAATGGTATAACTTTTTAAAGACTGCAAATGCTGCATAAGTTGGAGTCTGGTCATTTTTGGCTAGAAGAAATCCTGATGTTACTGAATTTAGAATCATTTGGATAATTGTAGCTATAATAAGTACATTTTGGCAATATTATTGGGATTTAGCTAAAGATTTTTTATTTTTTGAAAAAGATTCAAAATATAAATTCCTTAGAAATGATTTAGGATATAATAGTCCAACAATATATTATATTTTTGCTGGTGTAAATTTAATATTAAGATGTACTTGGGTGTTATCATTATCACCAGATATTTGTAAATTATTTGGTATCAAGAATGAATTATTTATTTTATTGGTTGGATTTTTGGAAATGAGTAGAAGATTCCTTAATAATTTTTTAAAAGTTGAAAAAGAACATATTGTTAATTTACGTTCATTGAAGGTTGTATAAGATCTAAAGTATCCATTTTAAGTTCATAAGGAATTAGTTGAATTTAATAATCGTGATCATTGGTCTGTTTCTTCATTTCTATAACCTAACTCAGGATTTCAATCTTTAAAAGATGATGTAGAATTTGAAAATAGGCCAAGTTTTGTTTAAATATTCAAAGGACTAACTTAATAGATTGATTAAGCAAGATAACCACCACAGAATAGTAATAATGAATAAAGAATCTCATAATATACATAAAATATCAATAGAGTTACAAATGTGAAACTACCACTTAAAAAATCTGAAAGCAAATAAGAAATTTATTTAGAGTATCAATAGAGAGAATCAAGATATTCAAATGGAACATAATTTTTAAAGATACCTCTTATGAAAAATGTTAGTTAACTTAATTATTAATCTGTATAATCTTCTTATAATGATAATTTATCAGATGTTGAAGATAAAAATAATGCTGATTAAGAGAGAGACACATTACATGATATAAGATTGGCAACAGAAGAAAATTAAATAATTGAAAAAGGTAAAAAGAAAGAAAGTTTAGAGAGATAATGGATTAAAGAGTTAAAATAAGAAAATAAAAAATACAAAAAATTAATTTATAAAAGATATGAAATATTTAGAGTGTAAAAAACAACTGAATGAAATGAATTATTTAAGATATTATTTATAATATATTCTAGAGGATCTTTTATTCATAAATAAATGACAATTGTTAATTAAAATCAAATTTAGAATGAGTAATGTTTTCTTTAATTTAATGATTCTCCATTATTATTAGGTTTAAAAACTACTCTACTAGTTAATATTTAGTTAGGTTAAACGACATATATCTAATCTAAATCAATAAATTTTTGGGGTTTCTTATTTCTTATTATGTTACGATTACTTTAGGGTATGACGATAACATCTTGGTGACGTTTTATAATTTTTGATTTAATAAATTAAACTTCATCATAAGCATGACTCATATCTAAAGAATTAGGAGTTAAGAGATTATGTAAATCATATATATTCTGATATTCTGGCCATTCTGTATTGAATATTTTATTCTATTTATCTTCTGATTGTTATTTTGTATTTTAAATCTAAATTGTATTTTTTTATTATTAACTTTTTGTTAATCTCCTTTTTGATAAAACAGAATTAAACTTATATGATCTTAAGACTTTGTTATTTATTGCTATTTAATTCTTATCGAATTCATTTATTTAATATTGTTCATTAAATTTGATTAATTTATTGCATAATTTTTGACAATCAACATTTTATAATAATGGAATTCTACATTTTAATTTATGTGAATATTCATTTTCTATATTTCCTCCTTTTAAAATTTAATGAATTTTAGTTTAAATATTTTTAACTAATTTGTTATCATCCTATATTGAATTAGAAGTAGTATATAATGATTAAGTTATCATTGTAGTATTAAAAGAAACCTTTTTATTGGTATCCATTTTGAACTGTTAAAGTATATGTAAGAAAAATAAAATTAAGTTGTTATATATAATTTTAATTATATAATATTAAACAAATTCACATAGTATCATGTTGATGGTATTCAAAATTGGGAAGTTAATCAACAGTAGGTTCATCAATTGGACTAATTTCACCTGAAGAAGAATCCTATTATAAATTATCAAATTTTAGATTTTGTATTTTATGATTAAATCTTGGAGATGCTGCATTAGAATCACAATTATTTAAGCTAGTCATTTAAGATTCATTTCTTTCTAATATAGGTGCTAGAGTAAATCTTGAAGGTTTTTTTGGCTTATTCATATGTTATTATGTAGTTGGACTTGTTGGAGCAGATGAATTAACTTTACAAGGTTCATTTTTATTATTAATCATCATTAAGGATTCAAAAGTACCTGTTTTATCTTTAAGTGAGATTTCTGAAGTTGCTGTTTATTCAACAAGAGGTTTGAATACTTCTGACCAATCAAAATTATAATCTTATTCTTATCTACCTAGATATTAAATAAAGGGTTATTTTAAAATTTCATAATTAGGAATTTCTTTAAATCCCAATTTGAATACATTTTAAAAGAATTACAAAAATGGTTCTGGATATTATTTCAATTCTTTTTCTGGTAGAAATTATCTTTTGAATTCCATATAAAATTTATCTCTGATATTTTAATCCTTTGTTTAACATTTATTTGGTAATTTCCCTTAACTTAATAAATATAATATAAGATAACCAAGAGATTCTAAATCATCTCGTGGAGATGGTACTAACTTATTAAATTATTTAATGTACTTTATTGTAGATGTTATCCAATACTACTAAATTTATTTGTTTTTACATGAATTAATTTTGCCTTGTTTGATATTTTACCTTCTTTATTAAGAAACTCTACATGGTCATCAAAGTTAGTGATTAATAAATTTGAATGGTTCGTTGTCATTATACAAGATAATCTCAGATTTCTATGTAAAATGTTTAAATTATGAATTTACTATAAATTAGTAATCTTCATGCTGATTTTTAAATTATAATTACCATTTTAAGTGCTACCAACATGATAGTTTTCAGAGAAAATTTATATTTCATCAATTTAAAACATAATTTCAAAGAAGGTCCACTCTTTTGCCATGCAATATAATGATAAGTAATGTCTTAAACTACTATAGTTCCCATCTTATAAATCCTTGGTATTGGAATGAATCTTGACATTCTGTTATGATGATCATTAGATTTGTCTCTACAATCAATCACTATATTTTAATAATATAACAATATTACATTACTCCAATCGTTTAAATAATTTACAAATACATAATGAATCAGTTATCTAATAATGATATTTACTTCATAATACTATTTATATTAAGATCTATTTTTATTCCTGTTATATATCTACAGCATTGTAAAAGTTAGAATGACGTCCTTGATAATGAAGAGTAGCAAGTAGATATCTATTATCAATAACAACTGGATGATCCTTGTTCATGTGTATATATAATATATTTAATTAAATACAATACACTTACAATTTTCTAATTTGATTAAAAATTTTAACTTTGAAATAGTATATTTTAATATAGAAGCTGATAATAATATAAATCAATTTATAAAAACTAAATAGAAACATTTATAAGTAATTTCATTTTAGATCAAATCAAATCTCTTAATTTCAATTACAAAATTAATTAAAAAAACTAATTATAATAAATAACATAAAATTATACTTTTTATATATTAATACATTATTATTTTACTTTAAATATATATGGTATATGAACTTATTATTAATATTTTGTTATAATTATTTAGCTCAAAATATTTATGTATTTATATAAATACAATATTTCATAAGAAATAAGGAAGAACATTCTTTGGATTAATGCTTTTGCCACTTTCTGGTACCTCTCTGAATGTTTTCCAAGTAGATTACAAAGAATTGTCCAAACAAAGAATTGAAGCAATATTTCCACATCTATAACAATAATTTGGAGCTGACCATACAGTAACCAAATTTTAATCCTTCTATTATTTATAAATAATTACAGGGAACCAATATTTATATCCTTCCATTACTAATTAATGAGCTCTACAAATTAAACTAAGATCATTCAATCTACAAAACTCTTTTGTTACTTTTGCTCCAAATAAGTATCCTGCTCCTCTTGAATTTAAAGCCCAGTATTCAACTTCTTCTGGATCTGACCACATTAAATCACAAAATGGACCTTCATGAGGAATTTCAATCTTAAATATAGATTATTAATTAACTTTTCTATCAATTGTTCTTATTTGATCCACTGTTCTCATATCTGGAGACAAACCTCCATGAACACATAATATTTAACCCTCTATTAAGGCAGCTAATGGTAAACAATCAAAAACATCCATAAATAATCTCCATGGACTACTATTTCCATACTTTCTCAATATTTCTTCATAAAATCCATATACTTAAGTGCATTGTCTTGATTCATGATTTCCTCTAAGAAGCACTATATTTCCTGGATATTTTACTATTATTCAATATAATAATATTCTTACCTTTCAAACATAGCAAATATTCCATTGTTTCAACACTATTATATCCTCTGTCAACAAAATCTCCAATGAAAATGTAATTATGTTCAGGGATATCACCTCCTTCTTTAATCAAAGCTTATAAATCATAAAACTGACCTGCATAAGTAAATGTATTCTTTACCATGAATGTCTCCACAAACATTAACAGGTGCTCTTACAGGTTAAACATTTGATTCTTCAAGAAAGATTTCCTTAGCTCGTTCACAGACAAGTTTAAGATCTCTTTCTGGAAGACATCCTCCTGAAAGAAGTGATGATATATGTCGATCGATATCCATTAATAATTAAAGATTTTACTTATTTTATGTAATAAAAATTTAAGTCAAACCTTTAAAATATAATTACCGAATGTGAATAACTTAAGGATTAAAATGCTAGTTTTAATTTGGAAATATCCAACTTTACCACTAAATATAGAATAAGATTTAGCAATATTATAAAAAGAGCTTAAACAGAGGAATCTAAGAAAATGCAAGAAGAAAAATCATTGAAGTATGATTATCAATACTTTTCAGAATGAATATTAAATTACATAATTACCTTTGTAAATAAATTATTGATTCGACTCAATATAATTTGTAGAGGCCAAATAGGAAGGCCTAAAAATATAAGTTATAAGAAGAAACATTTTTTGATAGGAATCCGGTATTGTATCTCAAATAACAATTATAATAAGATAAATAAAGGAGTCTTAAATTATCATTATAAGCTAGACATTTTTCTATTCAATAACAAAAATTTGTATAAAAATTAGAAAACTATAAAGACTTTATAGGATTAAAATGAGTTTTTAGTATAAAATTTTATTAATTTTTTATTCAATAATCAAATATGTATATTGAATTATTATTTAATCTTAAAAATAAGGTATTTTCATATAGAATTCTATATTGATATTTTTTATATTAATTCAGATTAGAATTTATTTATTCATTTATTACAATACAAAGAGATTAGTTTTATTACTACCTTTTTTAGTATTTAGACAAAGTTATAATTGAAATAGTTATTCAATTAAAAAGAATTTATGAAATAATAATAAGAAATCTTAATTCATTATCAAAAAAAATGATATATCTTATAAATTTAATCTGATTAACTTAATTCGTAAGATATAATAATTATAGGAGATTTAATATTTTTGAAAGATCTTTTAACTGCAGTAACTGTAGAATTAGTGATAATATGTAAAGTATAAGATATAAATATAGAAACAGCTTGAATAAAGCGAAGAATATTATGAAATATACATTTTCATCAATATTTACATAATAATTAAAAATTTGATATTTTATATGGCAATCAGAAAAGGAACATGAATAGATGTAAATTATCTGAATTATGCGATAACTTTTGATTTTTCAATACAAAATTTGAACTTACTATGTTTATTGGTATGAGTGAAGAATAAGATTATATAAATAAAGGCAAAAGGTAAAAAGTGTTAAAGATTTTAATATTTTGAAGCTAAGTTAGATTACAAAAGATATAATTCAAAGATTTAAATTAAGATATTTTGGATTGATATACTATTATTAAATCAGAAAATTAAATGAAATTATTATCTCACTTATTATTTAACTAGAAATTTTAAGAAATCTTTGATCTTAAATAAATAATCTTTATATTTTATTCATTTGAAACTATGTGATGGTTTAATTGTAAATTATTATTTTTTATAGTATTAAACCAAATTTTTGATGATTATTATCGATAATAATGATGATATTAAAGTCATTGCTTGATATTAATTAAAGTTATAGTTTTCTTCTTTACTGCATTTTAATGTATAAATTGAATTGAATCCAAAAAATATAAAAATATTAAATAATATATTATGAATTTATCTGAAGAAGATATTGAATAATGCTAAAGAGCGTTTAATGATTTAGATGATGTAACATTGCTAGTTTAATAAATTATATTAGAGAGGAGAAGGAGAAATCATGGTTGACGATTTAGAGATTGCCTTAGAAATGGTAGGATTAAAGTAGAAACCTCATAAAGTCCATAAATTAATAAGTGAGATTGATGATGGTAATCGTGGAAGAATCAAATTTAAAGAGTTTTTGAGTCTCTTTGCCAAACTTAAATATGCTGGGTTATAAGATGATGATTAAGATATGATTGATGCCTTTGTAGCAATGGGAGGAAATGAAGACACATCAGGAAATGTTGATGCAGAAAAGTTGATTCGAATAATAAAGAATGAATTTGAATTAACGATTGATATTGAAGGGTTAATTAAAGAAGTAGATACTGATGGATCAGGAGTAATAGAATTTGGAGAGTTCAAAGAACTATTAAAAACTAATTACTTGTAAGAAGATGAAAATGACTATCCATGATTTGATGCTATATGTTTAAATATATTGCTATTATTCTAAGCCTATAATTATAAATAATATTTATATTCAACTAAATCATTCAGAGATAGAATTATGTAGTTCTTACAATGAGGTTTATACATCTAATAAGAGAGTTCTTACAATTTAATTGTAAATCTAATAAATTATCTATTTATGAATTATATTATACTATATTTATAATCATATCCTTATTAATTGAAAACTTAGTTATTCATAATAAATAATTGTTAACATAAATGTACTTTAAATTTATATGATGAAAGATTATAAGTTTGATTTTAATAAAATGATTATATTATTTATATTTTCAAATTTCTCTTTCTTTCTATAAAAATTAATAAAAATTAGAATATATTTAGATTATTTTTTGATTATTCTATTCTCATATATTTACTTTATCAATTGAATCATAAATTCTGATATATACAAACAATAAGATTATCAATTTTAGCATATGAACTTTTATTAATTATTATATCTGAAATCATTAAATAAATAAATTGTATTTTAATTCATAATATTATATATATTAACAAATTATACTCATAGTATGATTCAAAATTTGATAATTCTATATTAGTTGTTTAGTATAATAAATCAAAACATAGATTAAAGTCATTAAAATAGATTAAAAATTATGTTTTTTTAAAAAATTTGATCTAAACTAATTATTAATGTTAAATTTAATATTTAAAACGTAAACTAGAAATAAAGTTATCTAATCCAGATAATACTATTTTTGTTATAAGAAAATATAAATTTAGAAACCTTTATATAGGAAAAATCAAGTTAATCAAATTTAAAAAACTTTCTTGATTAATTCATCAATAATTTCTATCCTTTATTTAATTGTTATTATTTTTTGTTTGAATGTAGTGAATTAATAAATAGATATTAAAATTTAATTATAATTATTTATGTCTATTTATCATAAGTTCATTTCTAGCATTTCTCTCTTTAATTTTTCAATTACCTTCTCAACCAATTAGACTAATGTTTCTTCTGTTTTTTCTCTTTCTCCTCTTGTTTTTCTTAATTATTCTTAAATTCTTCCTGATATTTCCCTCAAACTTTCTACAATTTCTTCTTCTTTTGCTTCTCTTTCTTTCTTTTCTCTAAATTATTTAATAAATATTTAACCTTTCAAATAATTCTCTTAGATCATTAAGTTATTCAACAAATTAATGATATATTTTTTCCTCTACATCTTTTCTTTCTGTAATTTCATTTTATAATTCATCTGCTATTTTTGGTAAATCTTCATTTAAATAAGAATCTATATATTCATGAGATGTTGATTAAGCCTATTATATTAAATATAATATTATTACTAGACCCTCTTTTATGACTTCTTATTATAAATTCTCAATTTATTGTCCAATTGAATATACTATTTTTTTCTCTTATTCTACTCTATCTTTAGAATTCTGCTCTATCAATCTTCTTGCATGTCTTTCTAAATCAGTTATCAATTTATAAGTTTCACTCTCTTATCTTTCACGACTACAGAAATATAAATGCAACTTTTACTCTTCTTATTCTTATTCTAAAAATTCAGTAATTTGTCTAACTTTTTATGCAATATAAACAAATTTTTCTTCTTTTTAATCAGATTGATGTTATAATTATGCTTCAAAAGCCATAATCAATTAACTTATAGCATGAAAACGATTATTTTTTCTATTATTTATTATTTGTAACTTACTCATCTTAAACACTAGTAGATATGTTGTTTAGCTTTTCAAAGATTGATGAAACTCTATTTTAGATATTCTCAGACATTAAATTAATAATAATTTTTATTTCTGTTTTATATAAATATATAAATTTTATTTATGAAATAAACAATTATAAATTATAAATTAATTTTATCACATTAAATGATCATTAATGTCAAAAGTATCACAATTCTTGTATTTTCTATGAATCTTTTAGTAATTTACATGTTTCTATTATAAAGGTTCTATCTAATTTAATTAAATATTCATATCTCTTTAACTATTATTACATTCTATAATACTAGAATCTTATAAATTCATTTAATTTAATTCTTATCTAGTTTATTCAAGTAATTATCTCAATTAATCAATATTATCATCAAAAGATAATTCATTTTTAGTAGTAAAACAAACCTTATCAAAATTTAATTTCTATTATACAAATTAATTTGGATGTTATTCTTCTATTTTCATAATATCTTTTTTAAATTATTCATATTTAGGTATATCATTTTTAGGAATCTCTGATTGATTTAAATTACTAAACTCATCCTTTTAAATACGAGAATTAATAAAATCATTCTCTTTATTTTGAAATTATAGATTTTATTATTTTGTATCTTAATTGAAATTCTCAATACTTTATTATTAACCTAAGCAATTATCTTCTTTAGTATAAAATTTATTTTATGTATTATTTACAGAAAAATTAGGAATTTCTGAATATATGGTTTTTGTATCAGTCAAAGCTGCATTACGAAAAGGATTCTCTTCTTTTAATTATGAAATTTAGACTTCTTAAGAATGTAATGTATTTTCTAGAAATGAAATTACATTATCTAAATTTTTCATACCATTAAATCCATAATTTTCTTAGTTCTATTATTTTTCTTCATATATTTGATTTTATTTGATTGTTTATTTTTTTATCTCTTATTTGCTTTTATCAATTGATTTTTCTTATTGTGCTTTTAATATTTTTTCTGGTTTCTTCAATCTTTAAGCCTATTAATAATAAATATTATAAATTATACTTTTGCAACAAATGATTTTGTTTCCTCTAAATCTTACTTAATTTTATGAAGAAAGTTTGGATCCTGATTTTATTATCCTCTTTCACTTTCTAATAATAACATTTTAGCTTATTCAAGAATATCTGGTTTAAATTAACTTTATGAATGGGCTCTTTCAGATTTTTCCCATTCAATCATTTATGTTAAATTTCTTCTTTTTGAAGTTGAATTATTTAAACCCTTAGAATGCAAAGCAGTTAAATAAATCTATTTTAATCAAGAAAATTAAACCTTTTAAGTATCATCATCCATAACATTGTTTTTCAATTTTTCTTATACTTATTGCCATTAATCTTTAGCTTCCATACGATGTTTTGACATTAAACTAATTTTCTTTTACATCAATTCAGCCTACGATAACTTATAACGATCCTAATCTACAAATGATGAAACCCATTCAGGCTTTCCCTTTTGATTCTTTTATTTCGAATACATTGATTTCAAATTAATAACTGAAAAATATTTTGCTAAACTTAATAAAATATTTTTAATCATAGTATTATCATTCCATTTTTTATTATATCGAATCCAAACTTTGATATAATTTATATTTAACCTTTCCTCTATTTATAAATTATCATTTTCTAATTCATATCTCCAAATTTTTATTAGAATGAAGATCAATTTTATTTCCTTTATTTTGATAATTGTTTATACAATTTTTTAGTGTATTATTGTATTGCAAAATTAATATAATCAAAGATTATATAGTTATCGATTTGATAGATAGAATATAATATATTATATTTATAATCCAGTAATCAAATAATTTTAATATATGGATATTATAGTTTAATACACACTATTTTATCATCCTAAGTAAAACTAATTGTTATTTATTAAGGTTCGATGTTGATTAATTTAAATCATAGGATAAATTAAGTATTGAATTCTTTTAATTAATTAATCATTTCGTCTAGATATCACAATTATTCTATTAGTAAAAGTTTATTTTAATTTTACTAATTGATATTCAATATAATACATTTTATTCCTTAAGAATTATGTCTTAATAATCTTCTTATGAATTTTGATTACTGTTTTTGTATCTGGATTTCAAACAAAAATAATGAATTATCAGTTTTAAATTGATATTCTGTATCTATAATTAAATAATTATTAATTTCTAAGTTTTTGAGTGAAGATTAAGAAAAGTTCAAATGAAATTTCAAAGCCAAAAAAAAAGATTAGTCTATCAGTTAAATTTATCAAATTATTAATGATAGATTATTGAAAAAATTATTATTTCTATATTTATACACCTATATTATCATAATTTTTAAATTATTCAATAAGTTTTATAACAAATATATGTTATTTTATCCAAAATTAAATGGAAATTAAATATTAATTATCATAATTCTAAACTTTTAGATGGAAATATATAATGAATCACAAGCAGGAGTTCAAATAATAAAATAAAAATAATGATTTCATTAAATAAACAAAATTTTCACTATATTTCTATTTAAATGGGTTTTTATTTTTTCTTTTTATTTGATTTTATGCAAACTAGAGGTTTAGATAAAAAATATTATGTTATTAAAAATTTAGTCTATTGTTACTAATTAGGATTTGGAGTTTCTGATTTTTATTATTAAATAGTTCTAAATTGAGAAAGTTATATAGATTTATGGATTTAGCCATCTAAATTAGATTTAAGTTTCCTTGAAGTTAGACAAGCAGGTATTCTTTTTTTTTCTGACATAAAATGTTAAGTTTTTTCTAATCTTAATGGTAATTAAAATCGAAAAGGAGAGATATGCATTTACTAATCCAAATATGAATCCATTTTAACTTAAGGGCTTTAGACTGATTTTCTTATTGTTTCTATTGTATCGTAATTCATCTCAGTTTTTAGTTATTTTGATATACTAAGCGAACTCTCCTTATATTTAGAAACTGATTTTTATGAAGATCGACAAATTTTTCTTGCTTTTTACACAAAATCATCAAAAATGCTAAAATCATTTGGTTTTGGTTATAAGAAAATTTTGCTTTAGTAATTGTTGTTTAACATTTGATAAAATTAATATAAAAATGAATTTAGTATTAATAATATTCTCTTTTTAAATTAATAAAAGGTATCAGAAGAGATAATGACTTACAAGTATCTAGTAATATTCTTCGAATAAGTTAATTAAGTAGATTGAGATATATCTATGAATATACAATATAAGAATATTTTGGAATAGAATTTGAATGATAATTTAAATAGATATCATGAGGTAAAGTCTAAATGGCTATTAAATTTTAATAAAGTTTGTAATTGTTAATTTTATAAGAAATAGAATAATACTAATTCTTTAGTATTTTTGCTGACTGATTCATTATGTAAAAATATATATATCTATTTGATAATTTTCGAAGATTAAAAGAATCTTCCTTTTTCTTATTTAACTTTTTAAGTAATTAATAAAATTATTCATTTACAAGATAATAAACTAGTCTTCTATGTTATATAAATCGATTAGGAGTAAAGTATGAATTCAAATAATAATTTTTTGAGTTGAATATCCTTTAACTGAGTTTTTAATTCGATTCTTAATAAATATAATTTATTTTGGAATTATCATAACACCAAAGATGTAGCAGTAAACATAATCATAATTTACTTAAGTTAATTTGCATGTCCATGTACATATTGTAAGAACAAAAAAGAACAATAATAACCATCTGTTCATGATTGTAATTAAATAGAAAGAGAAAATGAAATATTGAAAGGTGAAATCGCAAAGCTATAATCTTTTGCTAATTCTAAAGGTACAATATGAATAATTATATAATTATAGTCCCTGAATTCTAGTAATTGCTTAGAGATAATTAATAGATGAAAAAAACATTAGATTAAATGAATTAATAGATTAAGGAATATGAAGAAGAAATTTAGAGATAAAAACAAGTTATTGATAGATTAAATTTTGATTTAGACAAATCAAAAAGAGACAATGAATAATTATTATAAGCTTTGAATGATATCAAATAAAGAGGATTATCATAGGAACAATCTATTTTATAAGATAATCAAAGAATGAAATCTACAATTGATTCACTGAATAATGATTTAAGAAGTTTACAATAAGAAATTTATAGATTAAAATCAATTAATGATAAATCTAGATATATCTAAGATGAATCAAACCGTTATTAATAAGAAAATTAAGCTAATTTAGCAAGAATTAGATAATTAGAGATGTAGATTAGAGATTTGATGTCTAAAGAAGAGAGTTATCAACTCTAAATAACTAGAGCAACATAAGGAACAAATTAAGAAAATTAATTATTGAAGGATCAAATAGCTTAATTAAATTAATAATTGCATATGATGTAAAAATAATATTAGAAATAATTGGATGATGTAAGATAGGATTAGGATAGAATGATTACAGAATAAAGAAGCACAATTAATATATAAATAAAAGATTAATTATAAAGAGATTAATAAAAATGGATGGATGAAAGAGAGGCTTTGCTTCATGAAATTTAGTTATTGAAATAGTAATTGGCTTAGAATGAATTATAAGTTACAAGAAAAAGATAATTATTGGAGGATGAAGCTAATAAGAATTAATAATTTATTGTAGAATTGGAATAGGCAAATAGTTAACTATAAAATAAATTGAGAGATTTATAAATGTAATTATAATAGTCAGAGAAGGATAGAATGAGAACTGAATAATATGTGAGAAAAATTGATGAATTATAATTGTAAGTTGAATAATTACAAAGACAATTATATGAATTAACTAATAAATATAATAATTTATTGAATCAATATGAATAGAAGAAATATTAGATTGATTAATTAAATGGATAATTGAATGCCAATTAGGATAATGAAAAGTAAAAGATTATGAATTTGGAAAGATAAATTAGAGAATTATAAGATTAATTAGCTGATATGTAGAGATTAAGATAATAATTATAATAGATGAATGAAAATTATACTGCTTTATAAATTACTTTTAAGAATTCATAAAAATAATTATCAGAAGCAGATGAATTGAGATAAGAATTAGATGCTTTATTATAAGAATTGGAATATTATAAATAATAAGATATGAAAAATAAATAAGATTTAGATAAATATAAATAATAATTAATAATAATTGAGAATAAATAAAGTTAATAAGCTAATTATGAAATTGAAAAATTAAGATAATAAAATTAATAATTAATTGATGAATTAAATGAATTAAAGAATAGAAATAAATAATTAGAAAGTAAATTATAATAATAAATTGTTATTATTAATTAAGCTTAAAATGATTTATAAGCTCATCAAGCATTAAATGAGAAATAATAATATGCTATGAATGAAAGTAATTAATTAAGAGCTAAGATAAAGGAACTTTTAGATTAAATTCAATATTTAGAAATGGAATTAAATAAAAAAGATAATCTTATTTAAGATTTATAAATAAGTTTGGATTAATTTGGTAAATAGAGAGATTCATTTATATTAATAGAAAAAGAGAAAAAAGATTTTGAATATCGTATTATTTAATTAGAGAAATAATTATCAGAATTAACTATATATAAAACATAATTTTTGGATCTTTAAAGTAAATATAATAATTTGGGTTCAGAATATGAAAGTTTAAGAAAAGATTATGAATTAATGAGATATAAATATGATGAAATTAATAATTAATATATATAATCTAAAAAATAGATTAATATATAAATTAATAGTGAATTAGAAGTATTAAAATCAGAAATGTAAACTTGGATAATCAAATGTAAAACTTATGAAAGTGAAATTACTTTTTTGAGATCTACTATTAATGATTATTAAGATATAGAATAAGAATCAGAAATGTTGAAATAAGATTTAGAAACATGGTAAATTAAATTTGCTGAAGCAGATAGAGAGAGAATTTAATTTCGATAAAATATTTAAGAATATGAAAAATACAAATTTAGAATTAGTGAACTTGAAAGGGAATTATAAAATTATAAGTATAAAATAGAAAGTGCAGAAAAAGAAAGAGATGGTACAAGATAATAATTAACAATATTTTAATAATAAAGAATTTAATTTGATTAAATCAAAAAGGAATATGATTCTATTCTATTTAAATTTTAAGAATTAGAAAAAGAAAATTAATAATTACGTAATGAAATTGAAAATCTAAGATAATAATTAAATACATATTAATAATACAAATAATAATTAATATTATTGGAATAAGAGAAATCATAATTATTATATAAAATTGAAGAATTTGATAGGGAAAGACAATTATTAAAATAATAGATTTCAGGTACAAATAATATTAAAATGGAATCTGAGAGTTTAAGAAGAGAATATGAAATGCTTAATATGAAATTGGAATCAAGTGATAGAGAGATATCTACTATGAGGTAATAATTAACTATAGCCAATAATTAAAAATTAGAATTTGATAGATTGAAATCTGAATATTAATAATTAAGAATGAGTTATGAAGATTCAGAAAGAGAAAAATAAAGTATGAAATAATAATTGTAAATGGGAAATAATTTAAGAATTGAATTAGATTAATTTAGAAAAGAATATGATTTAATAAGATTAAAATTTGAAGAAAGTGAAAAGGAAAAAAATTAATTAAGGATATAATATTAAAGTAGTCAAAGTAATTTTAATGGATATAAAATTTAAATGGAACAATTTAGTTTACAAATTAATTAATATTAATAATAAGAATTAGTAATGAAAAGAGAAATAGAAATGTTAATTTAATAAATTGATGTTTTTAAAAAGGATCAATTAAATAAATAATAATAAATTTAAGAATATTAATTCAAATATTAAGAAATTATGAAAGAATATGAAAATTTATAAAATAAATAAAAAAGTATAGATGTAGATGCTTTAATGTATGAAATATATGAATTAAAGAAGTAATTAGCTTAAAAAGATAAATAATATGAATATGAGAGATAAGAAATTAATGAATAAAAATATTAATTAGAAAAAAGTGTAAAGATAAGAGTAGAATAAGAAGTAAGAATTTTAAATGAAAAATATAATAATGATTTGAATGAATTAAGAAGATAAATCTAAATTGAAAAATAAGAGAAATTAAAGATGGAATCAGAAATGAGAATTAAATATGAATAATAAATTATGCAACTTTAATCATAAATTAAACCATCTGTAGATGTAGATGCTTTGATGTATGAGATATTTGAATTGAAAAAATAAGCAATTACAAAAGAATAATTAATAGAATAAATGAAAAAAGAATAATATTAATTGAGAGTCTAAATGGAACAAAGATTTAATGAATAAAAATTACAATTTGAATCTGAAATTAGAATGAAATTAGAAAGGGAATTGAGAATATCAATAGAATAAGATCTTAGATACTAGATTGAGAATGAGTATAACTTTGAATCAAATGTTTAAGATTATATTCTATAAATAGATAAATGGAAATCTGTTTGTCAAATGAGAGATGAAGAGATAACACATCTTAGAGGATTGCAGTAAGCTTTAAAAGAGAAATTAAATTAATACACTTCTGAAATTGAATCATTAAGGACATAATTGGCTTTGATGTAAGGAGATAGAAGAACAGTATATTAAATAAAATGATATCATACAATATTTTTATTAACGAAATATTAGTAAGAATTTTTATAATCTAATTCTATAAAAATATTTTAAATATAATTAAAAATTGTGTAATCACATGATAAACAAATTAAATTTTCATGAATTAAAGTGGTTTAAATTATACAAATATATTAAATGAGAAATATTTTATTTATATTATTTACAACAATCGAAAATGTTAAAAATTATATATATAGCAAGATTATCAATGTAATAAGAATAAATGAGATAAGGAACACTTTCAAAAATAAATAAGAAAAGAAAAAACAGAAAAAGTATGTAAGAATATAATAATAATAATAAATTAGATAAATATGAAAAATAATAAAGTGATAAAAGTAACTTTAATATTATAATTAAAAAATACAATTAAAATAACATACTAAACTATTTTTAGAAATTCATTCTAATACTTATTATCAAAAATTACAAATACCAAATGAAAAATACATACCATATCTATATCCATGATTATTAAAATTATAATAATCTTGTACAAGTTAAAATATATAAATAATTATTTTATGAAAGAAATTGATAAAAGGATTAAATGAAATCTGAATTTAATGGTAAGACAAGTTAACTAATCAATTTTAGTTTAATTTTAAAACAACTCATAAGGCAATTCAATAAGACAATAATATTTAAAAATAATAAGTTAAATGTTGAAATCAAAAGGTACTCTCTAAATATCAAATATAACTAATATTAATATAAATAAGAATACAAGGAATACATATTTAGATGATCCAATTGATTTATTATTATTATTTTGAGATATTGATATTTAATTGTACTGAACAACTTTTTCTATTATTTTGGCCACTTTAATTTGAATTAAGATGTTTAGAACTTAATTTGATTTTTTTAATTCAATATTTTTAGTTGTCTTTGGATTCATTATGGTTATTATTTATTGTTTAAATTAAATTAAGTTTCGAAATAAATATTTATTTGTTTGAATATTTAAATTAATTATAGTTCATAAGATAAACTTGTTTTTCATGCATTACTATCAGAATCCCATTTAATTCTTTTCCCTTAATACCATTCTCCAGGTCTTTCAATTTCTCCATTTATATATACACCTTTGCCATGTTATTTTCCATTTTCCCATTCTCCTTCATACTTTCTACCATCACTCCATTAATAAATTCCATAACCATGTTTTTAATCATTAAAATAATGACCTTCATACTTCCTTCCATCTGGCCACACATAAATACCTCTTCCATGCATATTATTATTTTAAAATTCTCCTTCATATCTTCTTCCATCAGGCCATTATAGGATTCCTCTACCGTGTATTTTATTTTTATACCAATCTCCATCATAAACTTATCCATCTGCCCACTTATATTTCCCTTTTCCATGCTTCAATCCTTTTTAAAAAAATCCTTAATACTATGAACCATCTGACCAGGTTTCTACACCATAACCATGTTATTAATCACAAAACCATTATCCTTCATACCTTGGACCATTAAAATGTTAGTAAATTCCAAAACCATTAGCCATATCATTTTCCCATTCACCATCAAAAACATCACCATTTGCATGTTGAAATTTACCTTTGCCATGAGCTTTATTATATTTCCACATTCCTTCATATTTAGCTCCATCAGACCAAATTTATATTCCATAACCATCTCTTGCCTTACCTTTCCATTGTCCCGTATATATAGCTCCTCCTTTAAATCTTATAAGACATCTTTATACTTATGAGGTCCTCTCTCTTCTTGTGGAAATTCATCCTGATTCAAAGTAACACCAGACGAAAAGAAAAACTCGCTGGCATCCATTTTAGAATTATAACTATTTAAAGTTTCACGTTTCTTGAGTTTCATTTATTTCAACTTTTTTCTAATAATATAACCCCTCCAATATGATTAAATGACAATAGCTTTTTTAATTTTTTTTTAATGAACAGAAGAAGAATCAGAAGTTGCTAAAGTCACATTATCCTACTATCAAAATAAATTGAAATAGCTTACAGTTTTAAGTATCTCATTTTTAGTGTTGACGCATTTGCAATTTGTACATTGTGATCCCATGAAGATGAGAATTTCAAAAAAAAAAATATAATATAAATGAATGATAATATATAATTTTTAATTCCAATCTTATTATACCTATATCAAATGAAATCATCAAACTATTCTAAGAATTTTTAAGCATTTTCTTCAACTTTCTAATTCTTCACATTTTTTACTATTATTTTAAGTTCCTTTAATTTATCACTAACAATAATTTTATTTTCTTTTCCTTCATTTCCAGTAAATGTATAAATTTTTAAAAAATCTATTAACACTTATAAAAATTCAAATGATTCAAAATATTTCTTATTGTTAATCAAATATAAATAATCTTTAATGAATATTTCTTGACTATATTTATTAATCTAATAATTAACAACATCCTAAAAAAGATTTGCATATTTAGCATTCTAAATACATTTTGCTCTATAAATACTATTTAAAGCATGTATATTAATTGCATTGTCATATTATTTTAATCTCTAAATACAAATATCTGTAATTTCTGTTAAATAATGAGATGCCAATGTTATTTTCAATAATCCTGAAAACATTTTCCCTATTATGAAATCATTCATTGGAATCTTTTTTAAAATAGGAATAAAAATATCAATATATTTTGGTGTACATTAATTTCCTAATGTATTGAAAAACATAATAAATTATTCTGCCTTAGGTATATCATCTATATCAGATGATTAATTTAAAAATACTATAATCTTTTCTTCTAATTTTTTATTGATAATGATATTTAAATCTGGTTTTGAATAACAAAATTAAAATAAATGAGCTAAACATAACATACTTAAATTATTTGATTAAATTAATTATAATTCTAAAAATGTTAAGAAATCTTTATCAATTTCTAAAGGTAAAGTAGCTAAGACATTGTAAATCATACCAATATATTTGACATGTAATTTAAATGACTATTTAATCATATAGGGTTATAAAAAAACAAAAACTTTTGAAATTACTTCATCAAATTTCTTTGTTTTATCACTAATATGTTTAAATGAGAAAAATAAACTAATAGCATCTTTTTAATTGATATCCTTATTTTCTATATATTGTAGGGGATGCAATAATTTTCCAATTAGGTTTTCATTAAAACTTCTAAATTTTGATAAGGAATGCAATAGTTTACAACTAGAATGTGGAGTTAATTGATTTATGAGAGTTCCTATTAGTGCCCAATATTCAATTTCTTCATCTTCTGTAGGATTCTAATATTTTAGTCATCATCGTAATACCAATTCATTTATTTATGTGATGCATCGTAAAAGTACACTAATTTCATCTATATTACAATCTTTTAATCTATTCTCTTCTTTGATTGATTTTATAGCTAATTTGGCACTTTTTAAGAATTTTTTCTAATTTTCTGGTTCTTTAGATCTCTAAAACATTTCAACACTTAAAGACAATAACATGATAAACGATCTCTTGTGATCTGAAATTTTATCCTTATATTACAAATACTATTTATTATGAATCATGTCTTATAATTATTCCAATACTGAAAAAGTATGCTATATTTCAACTTCATCATCAACTAAAGAATGAGAAATCATGAAATCTGTATATTTTCTGATATAACTCACTAAATTGATTAAATTTAATGATGCTCCTTATTATGAATAAAATTTTAGTAAATCACTAGTGGTTTAGGCTTTATGAATAGTTTAATTTTATTAAATTTTTTGAAATTTGAAGTTATTTTAATTGGGAATGCTTTGAAACTTAACAAAATTGTATAATATTTTTCTAATCATAAATTAAATATTATTATTATATTTAAAATGAAATCTAATCATCTTAGATAATTATCTTAATAAAAAGAAACTATTATTAAATAATAAATCCTTCCAAAAAGTCATAGATACTAAAATCGTTCTTTTTTATTACATAAAATAGATTTATAATAAGAAAGGATATTATTTTGGATGATATGAATAAATTATGATATTAAGTATTCAAGGGAATTAAAACTTATAATTCTGGCATACAAGATAAAGACAAAAGAGAAATATTAATTAAAACAAAATCCTATTGTGTTTATTACAAATTTAATTATTTTTCTGTATAATTGAATATAAATATAGTAATATCTCTATTCTCATTTCAATCTGAAAATCTTGATTGTTTAGATTTAATACTGAGTATATCATTTTGCAAAACTTTACTCTCAAATTATAGATTGTCTAAATACTTTTCCATTTTTTATTTTCCATTAATTTATTTAGAAAAATTAACAAGATTGTCAATTTCTAATACATTTTATTTTCTGTGATCTTAATTACCAATTACAATAGATAAATTATCTAATTTTGCTTATAATTTACTATAATAAAGGCCTTATTCTTCATTCATTATTTTATAGTATTTTGTAGAGTATTATTTAATTTAATTTTACTCCTCTAAATAATCCTATTATCTATAAGTATTAGAGTAATCAAACTAATTAAGATTTGATTATTAGCTTTTAGTAGTAGTACTGTAATATGATGATCTTTTGGGATTTTTAAGAATTTTATTTTAACCTTAATTAGAGGAACTTATTAATTTATTTTTTTTAGACACTTAGGAATTTCTTTAAGGTGTTAATGTGATATCTATTGATTATTATTACTTTTACTGTTAAGTATCTATTTAGAATTAAGGCAACTCAAATTATTGGTTAACGATTATTTCCGAAGATTAAATAGATTATTAGGTGTGACTATTTATTGGTATTTGTTGAGAGTAGAATTCTTAATTTTGGTTGAAATCTACTTTCTGAATTCTATAAATTATGAGGATATTTCATAACTCATAAGAGTTAACAGATAAATTTTTATTTATATATATATGAATTAGAATTAAGAATTCTTATGCTTATATGTTATATTAAATGTAATCATTTATAAATTTTATTAAATAATATAATAATGAAAACATTGGTGTTCATCATTTGTGGTACTTAGAATTTGTATTTGATTTGGTTTAGTTGTTTATACATTTGCATCACATGCTTACTTGTATCCATTTAATGAAAACAAAGCATAAGATCTAGAAGGGCTTAATTAGAAGTAAATTGCACAATTGATCAAATATAATATTGGGCTAGTTGAACATGTTTCACAAGATTAATAAAAAGCATATGAATAATTGATAATGTATAAAATAAGATTTTATGTTATAGATCCTTTGGTAAGGGTAATGTTTTGACTCCTACAGAAATGAATTATTTGATTCTCATAGAGAGTGATAAATTGTATTAAGGACAAGAATCAAACCAATAAAGAATTACTGAAGGATATGCTTAAAGTTTCAAAGTATTAGAGAGAGAATAAAAATCCATAATGGAAACTTTATTTGGATAATAAGGTATTTTGTAATATATTAATACAATAGCTGATACATTAATATCAAAAGCTAATAAATTATTTAATAATAATAATTTAGGTTTCAAAATATATCAAAATGAAGATGATTTAGATATCAATTATTTATAATGGACAGTAACACTTTATCTAGGCAAAAATGTATATTATAGTATAATTATAGAATGAAGTTTATTTATATGAACCAAAAAAAGATAAATCTTATAAGGTTGATTAATCATTAGAAAAGTGTGTTGATAACTTCTTTGGAACAACATTTGATTATGCTCCAAAAGACAATAAGATCTATAAATACAATACAAATGAAATGTTAGATATAACATAGGATAATTAAGATCAAGTTATAGGATTTTTAAAAGATATTTGTGCTATGAACAAACTTGCAATCAACTTTAAGAAGAGTATAATATATATATATTATTAAATCTTAGACAATTCACCTAATATGTTATCAATCATTAATAAATCTATTGCTAAATTAGAGAAGATTCTAAATGAATAAGAAATTGATTTGGTCTATGATATGATGAGAATTGCTCATAAAAAAGTAATAAAGAAGAGTTATCATAATTTAGCTCTCCAAAAATTTTAGAAATACTTTTGAAAGTGAAGATTTATTCGGTTTGATATTAATTGAAGAAGAGAAAAATCCATTAATAACTACAACCAAAGAATCTGCTAAAGTTTAAAGAATACTGATGGAAACAAGAACAAGAATGCTTAATTAAGTCACTGTAATTTAAGTATATAATTATTCTCTAGCAAACTAATTCTTCAACCTACGTAATGAATGCAACAACTTATTAAATTTATGTATGGTTTGGAGTCTTCTTTGTAATTGTCTTAATTGGTATTATTTATTCTATGGTAACAATGGAAATTCAAAAGGATACATTATTATATGCTAAATTCTTAACAACAGATCAAAGAAATTGAGTAGTATATGTAAATATACACCATATATGTTTTATAAAAATTAAAGATCTTTCTCTCATTATTATCCTAATATTATTACATATTCTTCATTTTAGTATATATTCCTTTATCTCATTTATATAAATATATAGAAAAATGAATTCCTTTATACAAAATATGGAAATTTATCAATTAGAATAGTTAAAATATATTTTAGATATGATTTTTAATACTTATTTCTTATGATCATTGTCATTGTTATTTGACTGATAAATTAGATACAAGTATTAATATTAACATTAATATGATTTACATTAAAAAATATTCTAATAATTATGAATAGTTAAAATATATATGTCATTGAAAATATATTAGTTCTAATTATATTCTACAAGTATTATTGATATTTAATAAATTATTTTCATTTTTTATGAATAATTCTGATATCGAAAAACTTATTGAAAATTATGAAGATGATCAATAAGTTGAAAACAATCAGCCTGTTACTCTTGATTTTAATTAGGATAGACAAGGTCAAGTCCCTCAACAACATCGATTTTCATCTTCTAAATTTAGGGAAAGATTATCATCTATAGATCCTCTAAATTGGGCAAAAAATATTAAGATGCCATAAAATAATTATTATTCTTATCCATGTAGTCTATAGCAGGCTGAGCTACATAGATAATGTCATTATATTTAACCAGATTAAGAATTTCTTGATAAAACTGATGCTTAAGAATGTCCTTGTTGCAAGTAATATGATGTCATTTATTTTAGTAAACCATTAAACAGAAAACGTATTAATTTCCTTACAGTCAACATGTGGTAATTATTAGTTGATGATTACGGCATAGCTGCACCTTTATATTTTACTTTTCTTAAATTTTAGATGGCCTTATTTGTCATCATTTTTTGTGTATATGGCATATTCTTCATTTATGAAGTTAATTCAACATGCGCAAATCCTGATAAAATTTGTTTGCCTGAAGGAGATATGAAGATTGAGTATTAAAGTGCATGTGATTTAAATACCATCTACATGTTTGTAGCCATGGATCCTTTTCTTGAATAACTTGAATGCTCTGCTAAAATTGAGATAAATAATGGTGGAAGTGGCTTTAAAAAAACATATATTTAAATAGCAGCATTCATTATTTTTGTTATAAACATAATGCTTCCATTTGCATATGAAATTATAATAAGATACAAATAAATTAAATATTGGGATAAAGAACCAGTTAATCATGTAACTGAAAACAAAAAGTCAGTTTATGTAAGACATTTGCCATACAAAATGACATCCGAAGAAGTTCAATAAACTATTTGCAAAGCGATTGCTATGAATACTTTTGATGAAATGGCCAAAAAATCAGTATTGTTTTAAGCATAGAATGTTATCTAAGAATTGGTTTATATATATGATATACATGAAGTAAATGAGATGAATATAGAAAGAGAAAATACTCTACTTGAATTTATGATCACTTTGGAATAATTGAAAGAGTTATAGGAAACGGGAATAATTACCACTTATAGTGAAAAATAAGCCAAGACATATTAAACATTCACACTTGAAATGCTTGAGAATCTATTTAAATAATAGTTAAATGATATTGTGTATAAGACATAAAAGATTAAATCATATTTAAAGAATGGACTACCTTTTACAAACAAAGTTATCATTAAATTTGAAACTAAAGAACAAAGAGATGCTGCCTATTTACATTACAGGAAAAAATGGTATTAGAATGTAAGAAATTATATCTAAAATATAGTTATTAATCAGATATGAAGTAATGAAATAATAAACTAAATTAAAAGAATTGCAGAAAAATTAAGTTGCTGATACTTCATCTTATATAGATAGTCGAACTGTCTCAGTTGATTAGTTTTAAATACAAGATTCAGAGGCTGATAATCAAAAAGCTAGAATTAGTTTATTTAATTAAAATACTTACTTGGCTAAATAGTAGTTCGATTATAGTAATAAATATGTAGAATAAATACATTATTAAATGGGAGTTAAGAGAGGTTTCTCAATTAACGGAATCTTTTGGGAGAATTTGGGTATGGATACTTTTAAAAGATTAAAATTTCGTTTAAAAGCCATATTCACAGCTGCAATTGCAAGTTTTTTGTTAATGGGAAGTTTTGAATTAATTTATTTTTACTAAAATAATCCGAATTAAAAAGATAAGAAATCTTCTGGATCATTGTCTGCTTGGGAGAAACTATTTGCAAATTTCTTGGCTATTTTAGTAACATTTCTATCTAGTTATACTACATTAACAATATTAGGTTAAATGGCTAAGAGTAGAAGGAGTACATTTATTGAAGTTGAAGAAAGTATCATGCATTTTTTTGTCATTATTTAATACTTTCTAATTTAATTTTTCCCCTATTTTGCAACTTTTGAAATTTGGGGAGGTAGAAACTAAATTGTAGCTTGTTATGATTTAGTAACATTATCCTTACATAGAATAATATTCAAATAAGTTTTCCATACTTTTCACATAAGACACACTAGATTTTGGCTTAGAAAAAGAAAAGCATTGAAGAATTTTAATCCAAAAAATTTTTTTTAAGGATAATTAAATTAAATTATGACTCCAGCCTTTATATCATAGAGAGGAAGATAGTTTAATATGTTATTTATATTAACAACAGCTTTATGCCTAATATATATATGTCCAGTGGCAGTACTATTTTGTCTAGCATTTACAATTTATATTTATTTTTGGGATAAATATGCAATTACTCATAATTATTAAATTGATAAAAGATTTACAATTAATTTATTAAGTCATTAAATAAAATGCTATTAAATAGTTGTCTTACCATTTAGCATTTATTTATTCCTTAGATTATTTTGGAGATTTAGTTGGGTTATATATGGTGCTTTTAGTGCAGGACTTGTTATGATTGTTATTATTATCTTCAAAAAGCCAATTGTGAAATTCATTATTTTTAAAATATGTAGATTGAAAAAGAAAAGACCTTAGGTTGAATATCGAGAACAATCATTCTTTAAAAGTTATAACAAATTCTTTGAAAGTAAATAATTAAAATTTATAAAATTAGATTTAAGAATAGAATCCTTAACAGAAATTTTGGTTAATTCACTTAGAATGAACGAAACCGATTCAACAAAAAAAGATTGATCATATTATGTGCAATTTCAATAGTATAAATATTATATTGTATTAACTTTGATAAATAAATAAAAAAAATAAAGTAATAATGAAATTTCTATAATTTCATTTTAAACTAGAGCTTTTTTTAAGTTTGGATTTCTAATCTGTATCCATTCTCTTACATAATTCTATTAATCCTTATTTACCATTTTCTCTATTTTAAATTATAAAATCATGTTTTAACAATTCTCTTAATGTGGTTCTATTTTCATAATTCTAAAATTATATGAATAAATTACTTTAATCAAACATTTTTGAGTGAAATCTTAAAATAAAGTACTTCTTTGTTTACTAATCTTAGGAGCAGGTTAATTTACAATATTATACATAACTCTTATAGGATGTTCATCAAAATATGGAGGATCTCGTTCTGATAATTCATATGCTATGATTCCTAAACACCAAATATCAGAAGCTTCTTCTATTATTTATTATTCTATTATTTCTGGAGCAATCCAATAAGGATCTTTATTTTTTTTGAATTAATTCTTGTAATCCATAATCAATAATTTAACATCTCCTTTTTGATTTATCAATACTTTCTTAGAACTTAAATGTTTGTGGATCTTACCTTTAAAATGTAAATATTTTAATCCTAACAATATTTGATAAAGTATATATCCAATTATTGATTCATCTATTTTTTTATCAAAGAGTTTAATTAATTTTCTAAGATTTCCAAAATTCATATATTCTTATATTATAAAACTAATATTATAAGTATATTTTACAAGCATCCACTATGGAGATATGTTTCATGGTACTTCACAATATTTGGACATTCTAATTGTTGAACTAATGATATTTCTTTTTTTAATCGATAGCAATTAAAATTATCATAAAATTTAAATACTTTAGCAACCAAAACATGATTTAGTCGTCTATCAATAATTTTATAAAGCTTACAATTTACCCCTTTTTCTATCTATTCATTAAATATATATTTTTGAGCAGGATTTTCAATCAAAAAATCTGTTTACGTCATGACCTCATTAGAGGTTTATTTTGATGATAATTCTTTTCCATCATATATTTCAAGTATTGAGATAAAGTTTACTGTGTCTTTTACAATTTCATTTCTACTTACACCACTATTATATATTTCTTTTTCTATTTCTACATTAAGACCGATCAAACATAAATTTGCATCTGTGTCAATTTTCAATTATTGTTTCAAATTCTTTTAGTTTTCTATAGAATTCTTTATATCTAGAATACAATCTGGTAATCTATGAGTTCTCACTTCTTCAGGTAATTTATTTGTCTCAACAACTTATTATTGATCAGCATCAAGATGAGATGCCCATTCCTTTGGAACCCCAATTAATTTTCCAGTTAGAGGATCTCTTTTAATACTTATACATTTCTTAACATCTAAAGGTCTGATATCTGACTTTGACTTTGATAAAGATTCCTAACATTATTTGTTACCCATTTAATTTAATGAAATTGTATCATAATGAATTAATTCATATTAGTTTATATTAAATTGCAACATGTACATATAGAAATTAAATATCTAATAATAAATTAAAATTTCACAATAGAAAATAGAGAAAGCAGTTAGAATTTAAATTTTATTAGATGTCAACAAGTCTGTTCATTTGAAAATATGTAAATTAATAAGAAATAAATATTATTAAATCACTTGTTTAAATTAATTTCAAATAATTCAATAATTTTATCATAAAGTTACAATAAATTGGAATTACTATATGTATTTTTTTAAGGTCTTAATTAACTAGCTGAATGTTTAAAATCATTTAAATAATGTTAAGGATTTTCAACTTAATTTTTTTCTGCATCTTTTAAAAAAACACCTAATTTAGTAATGCATAATTTTAATAATTATTACCAATCCTTCTTATCATTTTAAACAAATGAAACTATAATAAAATTATCTTCTAATTATGCAATTTTATTGTCTCTTTTTATAGATGTGAAATTAATCAATTCTTTTAATAAATCATCATAAGAATCTAAATCTAATATTGATTAAGAACAAACTCTTTTAAAACTTTTCATTACTGTTGTAAAGTCTTCTTCATCATTTAATATAAAAAATAAATCAATTCTTAATTATTCAAGTGAAAAAATTGGTTATTATTATTTCAGATATTTTTAGAATATTTAATCTAATTCCTTAAAATCTTCTAAATTTAATTGTTTTTTATAATTATGTAAAAGATTTTTTACATTCTCCAATTATTCATAAAATATTCCATTATTTGGAATTCCTTCCAATGCTTTCTATAATGGTGTAAATTATGATGATTCATTTTAATAAAATAAAACTAAACTATGAATAAGTTCCATGTATTCTTAATTTACTTTAATAGAACCATTAATATGATATTAAAATTCAGTATAATAAGCAGCTATTTACATACTGTAAGTAGAATATTATTAAATATGTTTCATAGCTTTTAGAGTTCTTAATAAAAGTTCATCAAATTGTTAAGCAGATTCTAAATATGGTTATTTTTATTGTTTAAAACTAAATGGAGATTTTACTTCAATAGATTTATGTTCTTTAAGTAATAATTCGAAATCTTCTGAAAAGTTTTTCATTCTTCTAATATAATCTTAAGATAATGGAGCACAAATGATATTTCTTAAAAGATTAATTTGATTAATAACTGAAAAGAGATGCTGAGAAGCTTTAATCCATAATAAAGCTTCATTAAGTGGTTCTATACTCTCTTTATAATGATCATCAAATTTAAGAGATAATCTCAATTTCTTTAATTCACTAAGTAAAGAAGGATCTGGAGTTTTAGAATTCTAAAGAGATGATGAGATTATATCTAAAATATTAAAGATGAAATCATCTACAACTTTTACTTAATCTAAAAATTCTTAAAGTTTCATCTCATATTCTCTTTAAGCTCTAATTTTAGATTAAAATATTTCTTCCTCAAATAATTTACCATATTCTGCTGTGTTTCTAATATCTGGAACAATTACTTTATCACCTGTTGGAAGAAATCTAGATTTCATTTTAAATTTATTATGAAAATTAATGAATTATAATAAAGAATTTGTTTAGTAATATAAAAAGTTGAATTAAAAAAATAATAAAAAAAGAATTTTCTAATCTTTAAAGAAATAAAGTAAAGTATTATTAGAAGAAGCATTAATAATATGAAACCATAATGATTAATAAAATTGGTACTTTGAATATAAAAATTTAATATAATACTTCGTTAATTGAATATTATTTTTAATTTATCTGTTTGCAAATGTTTCACACTTATTTAATGCCAAAACTAGGAGGTATCATATATAAAATAATATGATAGACCCAATGAATTGTATAATTTAGGGTTAAAATGGAAAAGGAGGATTATATTTAGGTAATATTGAGAGTGCTGGTAATGGGAAACTATTAGGCCATCATGATATTGGTGCAATATTAGCTGTAATGAGCACCAAGGATTACACATATGATGCACATATTGCTCATAAGGTATAATATTGTTTTGTATAGAGTAGTTTATTAGAATTGATGATGCTGACTTTGTAAATTTAAGTAAGTATTTTGAGGAAGCTATCGATTTTATAGATATAAATCGATAGCAAACAAATGTATTGGTACATTGTCATGCAGGAGTATCAAGATCTGCAACTATTGTTATTGCTTATCTTATGAAAACTTAAAATATGTCGTTGGAATAAGCATTTAAACATGTTCAAAACTAACGACGCATTGTCAATCCCAATCCTGGATTCATGAGACAACTTAAATAATATGAATCAAAATTATAGGGTTCTAATTCTCTCAGAACTTCAACAGTGAAGTAGAAGGAGAGATAACATTCATAAACAAATCTTCGTTAAAGTTAATATATTTAACATCCTACTGATAATTACAACTCTCTCTATTAATAATATCAACCTCATCGCCAATATCAAAGTGCTTCAGATTTAATGAGACAATCTTAATACAATTACGAAAGACTTAACTCAAGGTAATCATTTAAATGATCAATATCATTAGATAAATGCATTATCCCTATATGCCATAACATTATGCACCATATGTTAGAAATTATAGTGTTCCCTATGGATAGAATCCACTAAACTTTTCTACTTATAGATAGGGATGTTATTGATTTTTATATAGTATAAAACTTAATAATATGTTCATCACATGATACTTTTGGAGAATACAAATTGTTTTTCTTGATTTGTCTTTTCACATTCTATTTGAGTTTTGAATTACTCAAACATTCTTAATTTCTCATGATTCTCTTTTGATGGTCTTTTTGATTATTAATTCTGCTCTAATTATTGCATTAATACTTCAATCAAATTATTTTCTTCTAATACTAATTGTTATATAAATTAATAAATTACCAGAATCCTCATCTATTATTTTTTATTATTTCTCAAAATTTTTAGAATATTCATTCTATTCACATAATTCTATTATTGTCTTTAATGATGGTAGATGCTATTTTCTACGTTCAATTTTTGGTTTTAATTTCTATTTGATATTAATAAACCAATGATGTTTAATTGCTTCCTCTAATTTTATTCTATGATCTTTTTTATCAAGCAACCTTCTCAATAGGTCTAATTGAGAAGCACAATAAACCATTTTATACTTATCTTTAATTAAAAAGTTTATACATTAAGTATTTTTATCAAGTTATGACAGATATTCTTCTGCTTTATCAATTAATTCCATTTAAATTCTATCCACTCTTTCATCTTTCCTTTTTTAATGAACAAAAAATGTCAAAAAATACAATACAATTCCTATTTAATACAAATCACTATTAATTGATGGTTTAGCAATTCCTTATTATATTTCAGGTGCTATATAACTCTCATGAACATTTGATAGGTATTAATCTAAAGGTTCTTAGTCAATACGACTTATAAATGCCATATTAACTAAGAATAGTTAAAGAAAGGAAGATTGTGTATTGATAAGGATGTTGTTTGGTGTAATGTTACCATGATAGATGTTATTCTTTCTTAAAAATTTGAGAGATTACAATAATTGCAAAATTATCTAAAATTAAGTAAGGCAGAATTACTGATGCTAATTGTGTTTGATCCAAAATCAAACCTTAATTAAGGAGATCCAATAGTTTCTCACATCTAAAATATTCAAATATTAAATAGATGTAATGGTTATCATCATATACCCATTTCAAATCTAATAAAGATGGATGTTTTATGCTTCTCAAGGTTTGTATTTCACTATGCAAAATATCGACTGGTGATGTAGCTCTTATAGAATGAACATATGATGTATAATATTTTTTGGTTTTTTTGTGCTGGACAATATAATAATCTTTGATGATCTATTCCAATAAGCAAAACTTGTTTGAGAAATTTGTTAACTTGCAAAAGGATTTCAATTTAGGCATCCATTCTAAATATTGCTATTTGTTGTTAAAGAACATTAAAAGATGCCCTGTTGAACTTGATAGTTATATACCATAAGCATCAAATTTGTAACATTATTTCAACTTTGTAATTTTACAATTAGAGAGTACTAAGTATTAATCAGCAATCACAAGTAAATTGGGTATGAACAGTACAGTAATGTTGAGGAAGCTTTCTTAAATGCTATAATAAATAGTTAATTAGGATGTTAAAATGGGGGTGGTTTTATTGATTTCATCCATTTATTTCTCTGGTAATTTAGTTAAGCAACTCTGCTTAAAAACTTGAATTGGTATTTCATTTACTAGATTGAGAATTCTTGAAAAATCAATATTCATAATTAAATATTATTAAAATTACAGATTAAATTGAAACAAAAACTTTTAATAGTTATTCCTGTCTAGTTTAGAAATCTAAATGAATTGACAAACCAAATATAATAAATCTCTTATTATAAAAATTATATATTATATAGCTTAGAGAGGGGGGAGTACAGGGGGGAATACAATTTGGTTTTTATTAAATATATTATATGCATTATGGGGTGCAAGTAAAACACAGAACATAATGTATTAAATATGAATTAATAAAAATGGTGGTATCCTATTGTGTTTTCATAAATATTAATTTAAATAAAAATATGGACGTGAAGAAGAGTAAAAAGAAACCCGAATTGAATGAACAGTTATTTGTCGGGAATTACATTGATGTTTTCCATCAAGGAAGCAAGTAACATAAGTTGGCGTACATTTTGTAAAAAAGTGAAAAAGAAATTGAAATCACATATGATGGGTTATCTAGGAAGGAAAATGAGGTATAATGTGTATCCCTTAAATATAATAGATAATCAAATTATCACAAAATAGGATCAATTTTGCTCGAAGATTCACATTAAGTAAGTAATTATTTACATTAAGACTACACTGGAGATGATTATCGATAAAGCAAGACTTCACGTGATTACCTTAAATATTCAAAAGAGGAATGTGAGAAAAATATAAAGGAACTAAATTCTATAATGTAAAATAATTTTCAAGGTCTTTCACCAATTGAAATATGTTAATCTGTGCGTGTGAGATAATTCATTTGGTTGGACATGGTACTCTCTAGTGAATTTTAATCAAAAGAATTGCCATTAGCATTGGAATACATAAAAACTTATTACAACTTTATTAAGTGGTATTTCGAGTAGTTCCCCAAGTACTTTGCAGATGTAAGCTAATATTCTCACTAACTCAGTATATGAGATTCCAAAACAATTAAGAATTGTACATCCTTGATGAACGAGTCTCAATAGCAGCTTGTCTTTAAGAAGTATGTGAAGCCTTCTGTATGCTCTTTGGTTCCATTTGGAGATTATTGAAGCAAGAAAACTCCTTCTTCTATGTACTTCTATTCAAATTAAATTTAAGCTAAACTATGATAATCTTTAATAGTATTTTGAAAAATTCTTTCCAACATAAAACTTTTAAAATTTAACTTTGAATCCCAATATTGATGATTGGAATCTCTATCAAGGAGCTTCAGACATATAAAAATGCATCAGGAAGACTTGGCCATTTTATTTGAGAACAATGTTATACTTTAGATAAATAGGAGGACTTTAAGCATGGGAAGGATTACTGAAACCTTAAGATAATACTGAATACAATTATATTCCATTAAAAGCCATGAATAGGATAGTACTAACATAAAAATATTTGTCCTAATATTTTCAATAATCAGATTAGGCATAAATGGCAAAGAGGACATTTGAATGGTTATAAAATAGAGTGAATAATATGACAATTTAAGATATTAAAGACACAGATATTGATTAAGTTAAAGATCTCACTACAGATCATTAATATTATTTTCAAAAGGGATTCACAGAGGATCAACTAAACAGATTAACAGATGAAATTTAATTATAGTTATCACTGAAATTTTTAAAATCTTCATTTTTAGAAAAGAGAGTAAAAGGCATAAGTGAGATTAAAGATTTTACAGAGAAATTAAAATTTGATTAACAAACTAATCTAAAATTTAGGAGTTCAATCAATAAAGATGATTTAATTAAATGGATTTCATAAAATAAAATTCTAGATTACACATTATTGGGAGATTCTGTACATCCAGAATTGATTAAAAGATCAAGTGATGTTGCAGTATTTTTATGTCGAAATTAAGCATTTCAAATAGATTACATTGATAAAATATGGATTAATAATTATGATAAACATGAAACTACATAATTAGCATTATATGAATTCTTTAAGATAGTTTCACCATATTTAAATTTTCAAGGAATTGAAAAACTATATAATCATATTTCTCTTATATCCTACTCTAAATATAATGAAAATATTGTAAGTATGATCAAAACATTTACTGAATCAGCATTATCTTAGAAATTTCATGAATAACAATTATAACTGAATCCAGAAAAGAGATTTATGACTTTTAATTAACTTTGGGAATTATTACAAGATAGGGATGATCAATTAACAAATAGTGTTATTTAAGAATAGTGTTTTTCTGCAGCCAGATAAATTATCTCATAAGTTTAATAGACAAAACAATTTATTTCATGTTATTTTGGCAAGTGTTTTGAATTGATTGGTAGTCATCAATCTGTTTATTAGGCAATTAGTTTTGTACATTATTTCCTAGATAAATAATTTAAAGATGATTTCAATGGCAAAAGAGAACTTATTCAATCTACAGATGATAAATATAATATTATTGAACTCTTTGTATAAGATATTGAAGTCTATATGGAAAAGGTGAGATAATATTTTAAAAATGAAATTCCCTAAGATATAATCATAAATGGAGTCTAAAAATTTAGTTAAAATGTCTTTTTTAGATTATAAATGTTACATTATCTACTTTAATAAACTCATCTTAAGATTACTTATGAATAAAGTGTTAGACTTTGGGATACTTTATCTACAAAAACTAAAGGAGGCATATAAAAGAAAGAATTAAATAAGATATTTATAACCAATTATTAAATGGATACAAATTCATTTAGAATATGTCCAATTTATTTTGATAAAGAAGGAGAATCTAAATTCTTTAAATAGATCTTATGTAATCCAGAAAGAAATGATTACGAAAAGTAAATATTTTTTATATATTATTAGTTATACCATTGAAGATTTTGAATTATTTTAAGTGTTCTTTAAACAATATAATCAAACTCGTCAAACATTAAAATATTTTAATAACTTATACAGATTTTTAGTTAATGATCATAATTTTGAGGGTAAATCAGCCATTTGGTAAATCTTTGCTAAAGTTAAAGATCAACTATTATTAGAATAAATCTCTTATTTTATTATTAATCTGTATACTTAATTAAATTAAAATCTTGATTAATAAAGTGATAAAATTTATTAGGAAATGATGGACAAATGTTTAGATTTGATTTAATAGCAATGTCCAAGTTTGACTACAAGATCAATTAATCTATTATTGCAATTATTTAACTACTTTTAGAGTGGACCTCCTTCTAAGAAGTCTTCTAAACCTATAAATTATACTACATTCAAAGTTTAACTATAATAACCAAATAATTTGATTAAGTACATGGAATTTAAAGAAGGAGACAATACTACAATTAATCAATGGAAATAGAAATTAGCTGAAGAATTATAGGTTGCATATCTATAATTAGATATTACAATTGAAAATAAACCAATTGAATAATAATTTGATGTGGTTGAAACTTTTGTCAGTTAAGCCTTTTATTAATTAGCTACTGTGAAAGTGAAGATTAACAATAAGAATCATCCTAAAAATTACCTTTCTTAAGAATAACGTACATTTGAGATTTTGTTTAAATTGTTAGATAAATAAGAAAGTATTGAATTTTTAAGTTAAGTTTGGGATTTAATTAATAGGTTGCCTATCAATATTATAAAAAAAAGGTAAGTAGAGAATTGTAAGGATTGGAAATAATACTTAGATCATCAATTTTTTGATATGTTTTATGTATTATAAATCATATAAGCATTATTAGAAAATGAATAATGGTGTGAATAATTTAATAATAGTGATGGTGTTGATTTGATAACTTAAAAATTTTTAGGGTAGCCATTCTAGTTTTAATAACGTCCTCTTGAAATTAAATGTTGTTTAACTTATTTAGAAATTTTAAGTCATCCAAGAATTAGAATTAAAGAACTTTATATAATAGAATAAATTAAGTCAAAAATAATAGAAAGTATTCAATAATTATGTCATTTCATTAAAAATAAAAAGAAATTAGAAGTAGGATAAAGGAAATCTCCTTAATAAAAAGAAATGAATGATGTGGAATCTCGTCTTCTTAGAAAATGCTTTTTGTATTTAGATTAAGATGGATGTAGATTATATATAAAAAATTCTGAATTAAATTAATAACTTTATACTTTTTTTGTTGAACATGAAAATCATGAATTAAAGAAGGAATATAGTTTATAATTATTAAATCTAAGAAACACTTCTGAAAGTAGATTACTAATTAAAATTGTTTTAGAAGATGTTTTAAAGAATGTAATATAAAATAATAAATATAAATGTGATCATTTTTTTGAATTCTGTTGTAATTTAATATAACAAGAATAAAATTTGGCTATATAAAAATTAAATTTTGAAGAATTATTGGTTTATATTAGATAGAAATTAGAAGAGTTACCATTTAATGAAAATACAGTAAAAGATTAAGATTAAATTTTAATTGGTTTATTGAAATTGTTAAATGTTTTAATTGATAGAATTTAATAGTTATCAAATCATTAAGGATTATTTGAATAAATATTAAGTTATTTATTTGAAAAAGAAGGAGAAACTAGATGTAAATGTAAATCATAATAATCTCGAACAGCTGGATTCAATTGTTTCTTTACTTTATTAAGATCTCCTCAAAATATGCAAAAATTCTTAAATGAGGTATCTCATCTACATTATACGCATACATGGAGAACAAAGAATTTTAATGATTGGAATATTTAAAGTAAATTTCATGAGAAATCATCAACTGGTTATGTTGGTTTATATAATTTAGGTTGTATTTGTTATATGAATTCTTTACTTTAATAATTATATATGGTACCTGCTTTTAGAGAAAAATTATTATAAATTGAGGATAAAAGTACATGTGCATAAGAAGAGAATTTAATACATTAATTGAAATGTTTATTTTTGGCTCTTAAACATTCATAAAAATAATATCACAATCCAAAGAAATTCTGTCATGCATTTAAAGATTTTGATGGAAATCCAACAAATATATTTGAATAAATGGATGTTGATGAATTTTGTAATTTGTTAATGGATAGAATAGAATTAAACATAAAATCAACTACTGATGAAGATTTAGTTAAAAGAAACTTTGGTGGAGTGATATCTAATGAAATTATAGGCAAGACTTGTCCTCATTATTCAGAAAGAGAAGAACCATTCTTTGCTATATCATTGCCAGTGGCTAATAAAAAGAATTTAGAAGAGTGTTTATAAACATTGGTATAAGGGGATTTATTAGAAGGTGAAAATGCTTATAGTTGTGAATAATGCAATAAAAAAGTAAGTGCTTTAAAGAGAACTTGTATTAAAAAATTACCTGATCATCTAATTTTAGTTTTAAAGAGATTTAATTTTGATTTTGATTTAATGGCAAAAGCCAAAATAAACGAAAGAATAGAATTTCCATTTGAATTAGATCTTTTACCTTATTCACAATAAGGATTAAGACAATAGGAGAATAGAGCAAATCCATAAAATGGATAAGATAATCCAGCAGAATATTATTAATATAGATTAACAGGTGTTGTTATTCATATTGGTTCTGCTGACTCTGGACATTATTATTCATTTATTTAAGATAGATGTGATTTTAATAAATGGTATGAATTTAATGATATATTTGTATCACCTGCAAATATAATTGATGTAAAAAATGATGGTTTTGGTGGTGTTGATAGATTGTTAAAAACTAAATATCCTAATTAATTTAAGGATAAATCAAAAAGTGCTTATATGTTATTTTATGAAAGAATTTAACCATTAAATGGTAAAGAAGAATTGATGGATATTGAATTTGATTAGAAAACTTCCCAATTTTTAGATGAAATTAAAGTTGAAAATAGGAAATTTTAAATTTAGAGATTCATATTCAGTCCTGAATACTTTATATTTATACAGAACTTAATAAAATTTGAATTATAATCTAATCAAGTTTCAGAATAAATAGTATAAACTTTAGTATTCTTTTATTTGACTTGTGCAGTTAGAGAAAATGATAAAACTTTTATTTAAAATAATATTTTAGATATTTAAGAGCTTTTAAAAAGAGCTCCAAATACATGTGAATGGTTATTAAAATGTTTTAATTAATATCATTACATAAGAGAATTCTAATTTGATTGTTCTAAGAAAATGGTGAGAAAATTTGTAATATCTTTGATTGTGACAGCAATAGATACTGTATAAAAAAAGGAAGGATATAAAATCTTATATGAATATGTAGATGATAAACCAAAATCATTAGTTGCTTCTTTAATAAATTCATGGATTCGATTGATACCAGATTTAAAGAGAAGTCTTAAAAATTCTATTGAATATTATGATCTATTTTATAGATTTGCTAAATTAAATTAATAGAATTCATAATATTTGATTTCTAAAAAGATTGTGGGTAAATTTTTGGATTTATTTATGGATACAATGTAAATTAACTTTAGCAAATTATTAATTCCATCTAAAGAGAGTGTGAGAAAATTAGATGATCTTAAAGTTAAACAATTTACAGAAGATCCAAATAGTTTCTTAGGATATTAAAATATTTAAAATGTAGATATTGCATCTAATTATTATGATGAACTTCTTGAAAAGAAATTTGAAAAATCTATGAATTCTGGTCCATCTACAAGCAGAGTTTATATGTGGAGATTAATAGCTTTCTTACTCAAAATAGAAGGAAAGAATGCTTTGAGTTTAGAAGAATAAAATCTATTATAATTTGATAATCCAATTTTGATGGGGATTTTAGAAGAAGGTGATTGTAAATTGGCTATTAGGATGATATCTGACATTCTTTCAATTCTATCCTAAGATAATTAAAAATAAACTGAATAGATCATTTAAGCAATTATTAAATAAATAAATGATAAAGAATATAAGGAATATAGAAAATATTTAGTTGTTTTAAAAAGATTATTCACATTGAAGGATTCATTACAATAAATGAGAGTAAATATATATATATATTATATTTTTAGATTCATTAAGGAATGAGTAAATTATTGGAAGTTATGTAAAAATAATCTCAATATTTCTTTGAAACAGATGTGTGTTAATAATATATTCTAAGAGTATTTATATATACTAAAAATAATTTTAGATAATTTTTAGAAATCAAGCCGTCTATCAATGGATGATTAAGAATTAAAGATTATGGTAATGGATTATAGAAACAAATAATACTCAATCAAATCCAAATGAGAAATTAATATCAAATAATTCTAATTCTTAAAAGTGTATTCATAGATTACATAACATTTACTTACCTATTACATCTTAAGCATATGTCAAATTTTTGAATTGGAAGAAATTATAATTTTAGAATTTAGCCAAGGAACCATTTAAATAAAATGAAGATTTTGATAGTGATGATGATTTAACTGATAAAATTGTTAAAGTTGATGATAAAATAGATTACTAGTAAATATATATATATATATAATTTTTTAGTGATTAAAATTAATGGATTACTGCAACTATTAGTAAAATTATGGGTGATTATGTACATCTTACTTTTAGTGGTAAAATGGCACCACAAAATATTGATATAGAATTAGATTGTGAAAGACTTGCTCCATTTAATACATTGTCATCCAATAATAAAATTCCAGGTATTATAAATATGTGATATCATTAGGATATAATAACTAAGAGATGGCAATAGAACATTAATCTGACCATGATAATGATACTGAAGAGGGTAATAATAATTCCATTAATTAAACTGATTCAGATGAAGAGTGAAATTAATAATCAATAAAGTATTATAATAAACAATTAATATAATTATATGTATTATTATTAATATATATATATATAAAATATTTAAGATGTCCAAATCTTGGCAAATTCATCAAAGTTTACAAGAAAGTTTATGTTCTTAATTAAATAAAGATGAAATCCTTGAAGAATTTTTATAAGTTTGTAATCATATTGCAATTGAAGATTAAAATAGTATCAAAAGTTTGAATTCAAAATTATAAACTATTAAAAAACATTATGCATAATAAAAATGTAGGATTGATCATTAATTTAAATACATATAAACGTTATTGGAATAAAAAAGAAAAGATTTAATCACTTAATTAAATAATCATGAATAGGAATTAGATAAAACATTCAAAAATCTAAGAGATGAAGTTACACAAATTCAATCAGTTGTCTTTAATATCTAAAATGATATATTAAGTAATAGATAAGAAATTCTATCAGAAGTAGATGAAGAAACATTTTAAAATATTCTCACTCAATTTGATTAATAAATATAAATGGCATAAAATTATAAAAAAGAATTATTATCTACAAAGATAACATTAATTATAATAGAAGAATGGACTGTTAGTCATTAGGATGTAATAAAACATTTATTAAATTAATCAATTACAATAAAAGATTACTAAAAATAAATAGAACCTCATCATTCAGAAATGAGTGCATCAACTTGTAGTGATAAAATGTATTCATCTAACAGATCAAGTTAAGATCTTCCAATTAAATAAACTCCTTTAATAATTAGTTTTGATTAAAAGTATTATATGCAATCTAAATAAAATGATATAACAAAATCTGAATCTGATATTCATGATAGTTGTGAATCAGATTTTTTAGAAGAATGGGCAAAATAATGATTTCCTTACTTAAATATATATTTTTGTTTGTATTATATAAAATTCAATACTAAAATTAATTAATTCATTTTTTTTATTTTATAATAAAATCTTTTCTACCACTTTATTTTGATAAATTCACTCCTGGTATATTTGGTCTAATAGCTTTTTCAGCTTTTTCTATTTTAGATATATTAATTGCAGCAGGTACTTATTATTATTATTATTAATCATTATCACCTTATTTTTCACCAAATCTTTTTGTTTTTGAATTCATTTAAACAGCTGTTCTTTCATCTCTAGGTGGTTTCACTTCAATTTATAAGACATTGTTATCAACCTTAGGTTAATATCTAGGATCATCTGCTCTTTCTGGTTATTTTTCAAAATTAACATTTCCAATCACTCTTTTTTCAACTTAATCAAATTTAGGTTCAATAATAGCTTCTTAATCCTTAATCTAAGGTCCTTCTGGTCTTTCTAATTATTTTTCAAAATTTGGAATATTTTTAACTCTAGGTTTTATTGGAGCATAATCAACATTCAATAATAATTCAACTTCTTTTATCTCAGGTTCAGGTCTTGGATCTGATTATTTTTCAAAATCTAAAGTAGGAATATGTGGTTTAGGTTTATCAGGATTCAAAATCAAATTATCTCCATCTAAAGGTCCATCAGGTTTTTAGATTGGATCATGATCAATTTCTATATATCTATTGAAATTAACAGTCTTAAGATCCTTATCAATCTATTTAAATTGGACATCATATTCACCTATTTCTGGTTGCTTATTTCTTCTCTACATATATTTCTTAAACATAGTCATATCATCAAAATATTGCAGCCATTCTTTTAAACCTCTACCTTTCTTACCTGCTAATTGAATATCTTAAACTAATTATTCTCTGATTGCATCCATATTCACATCATAAAATCTATGTTATTCTGGAAATAATTCTTTATCTGGTGGATGTATTGGTTTTACATCTGTATCTTCATGATATTTAAAAGTCTAAATCTATGGTTTTACTCCATCTAATGTAGGATAAAGTTGCTCTTCATAATCATTAAAGTCTTTCCCTTTAGTAGGATCGATCACATTAATCCTATCATTTTTTTCATTCAATGGAGCAATTTTTACTCCTTTAATTGCTGGATCCACTTAAACATGAGATGGATCATAATATCCTGGAGCTACCTTGTCCTCGATCTCAAAAGTCATTCTTGGTTTAGTAGGTTCAATATCCCATCTAACAGCATCAGGAGCTTTTGTTTTTATGGGATCTACATTTACTTCAAGATTTGGTCTCATATCCAAATCTTCCTTCTTTATCTTCTTAATTCTTTCTTCTTTTCCAAATTTCACTTGTATAGGATTGGGTTTAATATAATCATCTTTAGAATAATAATAATCTGGTCCAGGTACAGGTCTATCAGGAGGGATTCTTCTTTCTGTAGAATGACTTTTGAACACAACCATACAAGGTTGTTTTTCTTCATGAATCTCATATTAGCCTGGTCCTACTGTTATTGCTTGAATATCATCTAATAATTTTCTAATCAAAAATCTTCTCATCTTTGATCCTTTTGGATGTGAATTAAAATCATTATAAGCTTATTTAATAACTACTCCTGTTATATTTTATCTAATTGCTTTGTCTAATTCTAATGGTCTTCTTCTATATTCTTCTAATCTTAGTTGTTCATTCATGCGATTAATTTCATCTCTTTAAATTTAGTATTTGTTTTTCTTTATAGGCTTACTAATTTTTGGAATAGGAATATTGGGACGGATAGAATTGTAATTTGGATTAATCGCTTCTTGATTATTTGCTTTCAGTTTTAAAAATCTCTCATCCTTTGCAAATGTACGATTTAATTGTTTCTTCTCCTTTATGTCCACTTCGTAACTTCCTGGCCCAACTGTTATCATGGATGCCTGAGTTGAAACATCATCATCTCTAATCTTTGAATCTGAAATGACTACAGAACTAGCTTTTCTCTTAACAAAATCATAATTTGGTTCTAATGGTGTAGTTGGAATCACCTTTGTCTCTTAAAATCTTTAACTCTTAGTAAATGTTACACTTGGCTAAGCTTACTTGATAGTAGAAATAACAAATTTACTTTGATGCTTGATATTGAAACATTTAAAGGAAGTTCATTTATTAAATTATCTTTTTAAGGTTCTCTAAATCTAGAAGTCTTGGTAAAAGAAAAACTAGGTGCATTTTAACAATTTTAATTTGTTTATGAATAAATGACAGTTTGATATGTTTCTTATATGGATTCTATTGTTATGTAAGAAATTAGTACTTATTTCATATTTTCCTAAACATTTATTTAAATCTCTATCATATTCTGACATTGAAGTCTTGCATTCAGAAATCTCTAATTCTAATTGATCGAATAATTCATCCATTTTTTATAATAAATATAAATAACTTCTCTTATTATAAATTATATGATAATATCAAATCATTTATTGTTTCTAATAACACTAGTTTGCTATTACAACTAAATTCTTGTAATTTAATATGATTTTAATAAATATTTAAATAAAATAAAACAAGGCATGCCAAATCACTTATTCAGAACACACCCAAGAACTTACGGTAAAGATTCAAGAGGTAATTCATTTTTAAATACTTTAGAATGCAGAGTATGTGCAGCTAGATAAGGTTTAATCAGAAAATATGGTATGAATGTCTGTAGAAGATGTTTTAGAGAAAATTATGAATTAATTGGTTTTCATAAGGTAAATGTATATCTAAATTCAGTACAATTGATCAGATTTTTGATATATTAATAAAACAATGCGTACATTTATATACTTACTAAAACAGTCTTTATTATTATTAAATAAGCAATTTATTTATTTCATTCTGTTAAAATTTTTACTAAGAAAATAAGAACATCCTCCAAAGTCATTAAATTTATTAAAGAAATAAACACAAACTACATTCTTTATTAATGTTATATGTATGTTATCCAAAATAAATAAATGTAATTTTATATTTTGAAAATCATTAAAATCATATTATATATTGATCATCAATCCTTTTCCAGAAAATATTAAGTTCATTTATTAATAAATCTATAATTTTAGTCTTTTATATATCTAAGATAAAATTAGAGATTTGTTTTTATAATAGGGATTAATATTATGGGAGTTATTACAAGTATCTTATGAATTATTATGTAGAATACAGCATATTTACTAAACCTAACCTAACGTAAGGTTTATTTTGATATTTAACCTTTTCAACATAAATTTATGATAAGTCAATATAAAACTATTCTCATAGTCTTATATTATATTTAAATGAAGAGATACATCGAAATTTCGTTTAATCCAAAGCTCTGTTTATTATAGCTTAAAGAAAAATACAAAATCAATGATAATTAAGGGTAAGAGAATATTTTAAAAATGCTTAATACTTAGGGTATTTAATTCATTTAGTTTAAATAAAAATAAAGATTTTGTGTATTCATTTTTATCAAATTTATATATTATTTTATTGTTAAAAAATCATGATTAAAGGCGATTAGATCGTCCCTTATTCAGCCTTATATATTGATATGCAATATAGACATTTATTTAATACTTTATGGGCGTACTTAAAGCCTGTGGATTAAAATAAATATATTTAGGAAGTAATTGTTTTTCTAAAAGCTCTTTTTTTTGCAGATTGAAGAAATTTGGTTGGGAGGATTGAAAAATTAAAAAATATTGATAACTTTGTGTGTTAGGGCTTCTACAGATTTAGTTTTACAAGTAAACTTAGTATGAATATCAAGGCATTAAATTGGCCACCAGGATCAGAGGTAATCATTACTGGAATTAATATACCAGATATGATTTAAGTACTTAGATTAAATGGAATAATACCAGTACCAGTAGAAGTAAATGCAGATACTTTAGGATGTACATTAGATTAATTTAAACAATTTTACACACATAAGGTAATTATATTTTTCTATATTAAAAGACAAAAGGAATAATGATTTCATATGTTTTTGGTGCAAAATTTGATGCTTCAGAAATTATAGACTGGGCTAAGTCAAAAGGACTATTTATAATGGAAGATGAAGCTGAGAGTTTTGTGGCTCCTAATGCAAAATGTATATGATTATTAAGATGTATAGTAAATCCTAACGTTGACTTTTCTACATTTAGTTTTGGTTCAATAAAAACATGTTCAGCTTTCGGTGGGTCCATAAGTGTGATCAGAAATAATGAAGCTTTGTATAGAAAAATGAAGGCATTGTAAGAATCATATCCAAAATGGTCTTAAAAAAAGTAAAGATGAATTAATCTTTTAGTTATTTTAAAAGGACTCTAAAAAATTTAATACCTATGATATTATTAAATAGCCAAAAAATAAATAGAAGTTCAAGATGGATATTTATAAATCTTTTTCCAAATTGGGATTATAAAGAATTTGTAGTGAATAGTATAAGAGGATTTTAAAAGAATTCATCAGATGTTCTTCAAACATATAGATTTAGAGTTCCTGATCCTATGTTAGTAATGTTAGCATTAAGAATGAAAACATTTGATGTTGATTAATTCAATATGGCAACATAAAGATAAATAGTTGGTTAAAGCATACTAAAAAAAGGAGGTCTAATTGTACCAGGACATGCTGTTGAAGAAAGAAAGTTTTGGTAATTGATTTGAATTAATTAATATATTTAGGTTATATCCAGTTGTAGTACCAAATCCTGAGACTACATATAAAATTTTAAATGCAAGAGGGATTGATGCTTATATGGGAGTAACATAATTAGATATTGTTGAAAGTCCTATTGGAAGTTCTTATCAATATCCTAATAAGACTTTATCTTATTTCAAGAATGTAAATATATATAAAAATTATTAGATATTATATTTACCTATTCATTAAAATGCTGATTTGAAATCAATTTAGACAATTTGCAAGGAAGTTTTAGAAGTAGTTGATATGTTAAAAAATAGAAACCCAAAATTGTGATTAATTTATTATTATTAATAATTAAAAGTTCAATTTATCAATTCAGTCTTTTTTATATCTATAAGAAATATTTATTAAAAAAAAGTCTTTAATATTTGTATTAAGGAAGAAAACAATAATTAATCTCCATTATCTGATTAGAAAACCCAATAAATTCATTTGCAATTTATTTAAAAAATCTTTTTTTAACACATCTAATTTACAGAATTGTAATGAATTTCGATGATGCTTCTTTATCTTCACTTCATACTTATAGAGTCAAGACTCGATAACAACTTAAAGGCATTCAGCATTCCATTAAAAAGTCCAAGAGAAAATACTGTCACATTTCTCCTGATAGAAAGAAATAATTAATTTCCCTTGTCCTTGATAAAAAGCTTAGAATCAAAGATGTATTCATTTATTCTTATTAATTTATATAGGCTGCTATCATTTGTAATTTAAATTACTCCACTGCAAAAACCATTCTCTACACTTTGAGACATCGACCACCCAAGTAAGCAGGATTCAAATAGTATTCAAGTAAATGCAAACCAAGACTAATGATGAAAACTCTAATCAAGGGAACACTCATTAATGAGTATGATTTTTATTCACATTTGAATTAAAGCTGAAGAACTTTCAATATCATCTTATTATATTAAAAAGGATGGAAATATATCCAAGTCATATCCTCAGAACTATTCAAAACCTTAAGAGAATTGTAAAATTTATAGTCTTATTCATTCAATTCTACACTAAAAATTGAACAGCAAACATACATGTAATTTACATTATTTTAAATGACTTATACTAAAATTTATTATCTGATTTCTAGATATTTTCCTTTTTGTTTCCTTTTTGCCAATCTCATTCATTTCTAAATTAAGTTATGCTAAAAATGATCTAAAAAAGATTTAAAATTATTAAGTCGGTTTTCAATGGACAAAATTATTGATCAATCCATGAAGACAAATTATTACATATATTGAAGTAAAGATATTGATAAAATAATATTTTACAACTCATTTACTATCATATTCTCGTATTTCATACATCTAAGACTATATGAGATAATTATATTTTAACAATTAGAATATTCAAAAAATTATTATTTAAATTCATTAACAATTAGATAATAAAATATATTTAATAAGTCCTTAACAACACAACAACAATGAATAACAATTAGATTTTATTACTTTTAGGACGCCTTTTATAAAGAAAATATATATATTCAAAAAAGCAATTAATGATAATTTCATAAGCTATGACATAAAATTGATATTACTTCTATTGTAATTGTTCCTTTGATTCTATTGAAAATCTATATAATAATATTAGTATTGTTTACTTCTCATTAATATACTCACAATGTAGTAGTAATTAACTATAGATTAACAATTTTTAATATTATTAGATAAATTAAATTTATATTCAACCAAAAGGATATATAATAAGAATAATAAGCCCTATATATCTAGAATTAGATGGAAAAAATTATGTTGAATAAAATCATAATACTCTTAATCAATTTTAATAAATTCTTAAAATAACAATTTTCCTTTAATTACAGATCAAATATAGGTTTGCAAAAGATAGAAGAGATACAAATTATCTATTTTTTTCATGTTTCCAAACCAAAAAGTTTATTAGTATTGATTATTATAACAACATTCAAACATTAATAATTAACCATAAATAAATACTTAAGACTTCCAACAAAAATTTAAAATATTGATAATATTTATTACTTTCTTAAATAATATTTTTTCTATCTTCTTTATACTAAATAATATTCAAATTGAAATCTATTTTTAAGTTTGGAAATCAAACTTTGTTTTTTTATTTAAATTTAAAAAGAAAATCATATTAAATTTTATAAACAATTAAATTCAAAATCTGATAATTTAATACAATATATATTTTACTAAAATGATACCTTTTCTATATAGTTCTTTAATAAATTTATCATATTGTGGGAATAGCTCTATTTATATATATATATATATAGATATTGTTAATTAAAAGTCAATTAATTCTTATTTATAGACAATAATTTATTAATAAATTACGTCAATATGTCATCTTTAAGAAGTCTTGTGCTCTTCTCTACATTGCTATTTCTCGTTTTTGGATAGACTTGCATTGATCACAGTGGAAATGCTATAGATTGGTGGTTTATCTTGAAAATGCCAACAGATCCTACTTTTAGTGCTAGAGGTAAATAAATTTCAACATTTAAGGAATGGACTATTTGTATTGTGATGCTAAGAATAATTGTGGAACTTTTGATTGGTAAACTGACCAATTAGATTATCTAACATCACCATTATAAAGAACTATAGCTTAGATTGATTTTCATAATGATAATGTAATGAGTGTCTTGTGGAGTGATTAACCTTGGAATAAGAATACAATCTCAGATAGAGCCCATTCAAAGGGTATTTTGAGTGCCAACATAAATGGTAACGCATTTCTGATCTCTCATTCAACACCTACATTCCCAATGCTTGATGACGCATACGAGTATATATCCAATTCAAATTATATTAGTTAAATTGTATTAGGTATGCCTTCTTCTGCTTAAGTCAATGGTCAACATTATATGTGTTTGTCTATTACAACTACAGAGGCAAATAGATTGGCAACAGAATATATCATAGCTGAAACATTAACTAATAGAGCAAATAGTCCTTCTGCATTTGCAACTGCTTTCCCTTAATTATATTAATTAAAAACCAATTCAAGAACCAAGACATACAAAACAGAATCTGGAACTGTGTTATCAGTAATTTATAATATATATATATAGGCTGCACTATAAGACTCAATTAAAATTTCCACCAAAGGAGGATTTACTCTTACAGCTTATTCAAAAAATGAAAATCTTGTTGAAGATTTCTATGCTGATGTTATAGCACCAGCTTTGGGAAAAGACTTAATAATGGAAACTTGGGGTAATGGAACTGGTGGTCTCTAAGCACCTGTATGTGATTAAGTGCCTAAATCATATTCCAATTTAGTCAGATAACATGGAGTATGCTAAATATATATTATATCAGGCCTTTTCATTTTCATATACTAAGGACCATTCAAAATATGGTATAACTGCAAGTTCGACCAACGTATGCTTTTGTGATTTGAATAGATAAACTACATAATAAAAAAGAGGAGGTGTTGTTTATTGCTTTTAACATAAAAGCTTATGGAGCATCATAAATTAATCATTTATAAGTAGACAAACATGCTGATTTAATTATAAAAATAAAATATTTTTTTAATAAAACACTATTTAATTTATTTTAATATTTTATAAAATGCTTTGCTGTTCAAATGCAAAAAAAATAAAATCATCACAATAATAAAATGCTATTAATTTACAAGTCCATTTAAATTAACAAGTATTTATGCTAATAATTCTAGGAAGAATCTCTTAATATAAATGATGAGGCTTGCACATATCATACTACAATATAAGTTCAGCAATTTAAAACTATATAGATATATAAAATGACATTAGACCATTAAACCATAAGGTATTGCATTAATAAATAAAATTTAGTAGATCCAATAGTAGTGGAAACAATGATCATGTTGCCTAATTTGTATTTGTTAAACCAATTAGAAAAACACCTTTTATTACTTTTAGAAAAAGAGGAACTGATTCTTCAACCAAATATCTATCAACTAAACAAGGATATACTCTACTTGTTACACATCTTTCGAATTGATCTCTTAACTTATTTTTCCTATTTTTGTTTTTTTAAATAAATTCTTAATATAAACCTATTTAATTTCCATAAATCAATATAAATAGATTGTGATATGATATTTTGACTAATTATTATTTCTGATAAAATTAAAATTACTAATTTGAATTTCTTAATGTCAAAACACATAACTGTAATAAATTTTTATTAAAAATTTGATAATTATTTCTTACAAATTCTTTCTACATATCTATTTTAATCTCTAAACTATGTTAAATTGTACAAAAATAGGTTCAAATTCTGATTATTTTTCAAAAATCAACATTTTATTTATATATATGTGCAAAACAATAATCAAACTGAATATATCTATCAAGATCATAATGTTTATCCATAATTTTCAAATGACTTTTAATTGAATAAATCTGATATCATATCTTTAATGAAATTAAGCTTTTGATATACTATGATTAAACAATCTATTATCCAAAAATAATTATTTTTTGACTATTATTATTTATTATCAAAAATTTATACTTTCAGTGAGATAAGGAAAATAGTTAATACTATAATTGAGATAAAGATAGATGTTGATTAGGATGATTGATTAATGAATTAAATATTGTAAAAAGGAGGCTCATTATAGAAGAAGATATTAAAATTTTATTGAAAATTAATTTAAATTAAGAACATATATCATTAAAAATAATTCATTAAATATTTCAATATATAATTTAGGTGGATTAAGTAATAAATTTTCAGAAGTTTTTCAATTTGACTTAAATTATTATATTATAAAAGATAAGTTGATCAATATTTTAAATTTTCTATAAATTTATTATATTAATTGTATATCTAAATTTCAGCTTAACAAAAATATTTACATTGTTACTAAAGAAATCTAAAATATACAAAACAATTCTTTATAAACAAATAATAATAGGAATTTTGAAGAAATTAGTAAATTTATTTTGTATATTAATGAAAGATTAGAAAAAATTTAATTATTATTAATTAGAGATGTCACATTTTATCAAACTTATATCAACAATTATCCAAAAGTAATGTTTTTTTGATGTTTTTTTCTGGATGCATTGAAAATATTTCTTTAAATGACTTTTTTTGGATTGGGCTTGATTGTAGATAAAGTTGTTGGGGAAATACGATTAAGGGCGAAATGTGAATATGGTTTATTTTCTAATGGAAGGAGTTTAAATTTAGGCTTTTTTCTTTTTTCTTCCAATAATTTGATTGATGGTATTGGAGAATTTCTAGTAATATTAATATTGGTGAAAGGAGACATATTATTTGTTATGGATCTTTGAAAATGTACTACATTATTTTAGTTTAGATATTTTGGATAGGCTTTAATTTTACTTTAACCTAATTATGATTTATCTACTAAACTTTAAAGGGTTCTTGGATTATACTTCAAAATATTTTTATAAGTTTTTTTTGTATTTAATGTTGTCAATTATTTAATATTTGCTTAATTTTCTTCATCTGTTTGTTCATCTTCTTCATCCTCTTCTTGTTGTAAAGTAGGTAATATATTTAGATTTTCTATAGATTAGTCTTCATTCTTTTTATCATCCTCTTAGAATTTATTCAATCTGAGATTAATGGTGAAGTCATCCTATGAACCAGTTTTTTTTATGAATCTGGCTTTGCCATCTTCTAATAATTCTAATCTAAATATTATTTGTGATTCAAAAGGAGCTGTAATCGGCAAATAGAATGTTTTTAATTTCTAAGAGAATGTCTACACTTTCAAATTTTTTTTATCAGTAAAGGGTTTCCGAGGGGATAATGAATTGTACCTATGAAATAGATTAGGGGATCTTTGAATAGGTTTTGAAGGGGTTTAGGTAATTTCATTAGATTAAAGACTTTATGGATTAGGTACACTAGCCTAATGATTGTAAAATACAGTATTGTGATGTCTATTTTGTCTTTTTTTTGGCTTATTTTCTAGCTTTTGCATGATGTCAATGATAGCTTTCTTTTGTATAAGATGTCTTTTATTCCTCATTGTCATACGTTTTCTTTACTATTATATTTCATTTTGTTCCTTAAGCGTAGTAATAATATGTTGATAAGGTTGAAATTAAGGAAATACTGTTGTGACATAAAGCATTTTTTTATTGTGTAATCCACAGTCTAAACATTCACAGGAGCGTTTCCTATTGAAGGTAAGAGAAGGATGGAGTGTGTATTATTAAGCTTGATTTTTGAATGAGGATCCAGAGAATCGATTTCGCATAATTATTAATTATAAAGATGAAATTAACAATTATATTTAATGCATTATAAAAATAATTACTTTTATAGCAAAAACATTTTTCTAAATCATTAAGAAGCTGATATTGAAGATGGCACAACAAGTGTAGTAAGTATGGCTGGCAAATTATTGGAATAAGAATTAACAAAGGAATATATCCCTTGAAAATTAGTTATGTTTATGATAGAGCTTTTGATGTTGCTCTAAGTATTCTCTAAATTAGAGAATCTGGATAAGACTGATAAAAATTGACATTAAAAAAATAATCACAAAGCCTTAATTTAATGGACTGCTATCAAATGTTGTATCCAAGAGAAAAGAGTATTTGAAAAATAGCTGTGACTGCAATTCTAGATTTTATAGATATTACAAAGAAAGAGTGTCATTATAGAATTTAAGTAACATCATACAAAAAAAGGTGGAAGTTTTAAAGATACAATTGTATCAATAAGAAAAATAATATTTTATTGACATGATAAAGTTTGTTAAAAATAGTGGTTCCAATAATGTTCTTTGTAAATGAGGATTTGATGGTAGAGTATATGCTGATATAGCTTATGCTCTCTAAGTTTTATATAAAATCCTTATATTTACCCCTTCAATACTAAATAGAATTTACATTATAAAAATAAGGAAAAGATAAATTATTTTTATTTTATTAATTTGATATTCAGCTTTAGAATTTTCATTTAGATAATTTGATTAACGTCAAAGTTTAGTAACAACTAAGAAAATATATTTTCATAATCAGAATTTTTAGTTTAATTTTTATAGTAAATTATTGAGCTAACTCAAGAATTCGGTACTAAATTTTTAATTTATCAGATAAAATTTAAAAGAATAGTTATTAATTAAGCTCGTTATTAAATCAAAAATAATAGAGAATTCTTTTTGAATAGAAAATAAAAAGGAATTTTATAAACATCTTAGATATTTTCAGTCTAAAAGTATGTAGTTAGATCATTTGCTGATACTTTAGAAGGAATTCCAAAATTATTTAGGTGATAATTGTAGTCTTTATCCAATCACTAGTGTACCATTAGCCAATTTAGGTAATTGGTAGAAAATAATCCTAAAATTGGAATTAATATTTCTACTAATTTAATTAAAAGGGAACATGTGACATGAAGGAGCAAAGAATATATAAAATATTGAGTTCAAAAAAACAATAACTTTATTTAGCCAATCAAATTCTTAAAAGGATATTAAAAATTAGATGATGTAATTTTTTGTGATGACTATTGAGTATTAATAATACAATATTCAATAATTTGGAATAATTTAATACATCTTTTAGATATCTAAAAATTCAAAAAACCTCATTAATTATATTCAATATTTTTTCTTGGATGGTGTTATTTTAGAAAGAACAAGATTATTTTCCATAATGACTTTGTCCATTTCATTTTTCCAATACTAAATAATACTGATAAAATACTTTGACTTCAGTTTACAAATCTTAATATTGTTTATTCCATTCATCTCTTAATCTTCTTTCCTTTTCTTCTTTTCTTTGAATCTACTTCTCCAACTATTATATTTTAGATAAAAGAGATTAGTTCTCATATTCTAATGATTTGCATCTCTCCAAATTATCATCCCAGTCTTACAATTTTAATTCTAAATCAATTAATTTTTATCTTAACTCCTAAAATTTAAAATATTAAAATACTTTCTCTTTAACAGAAGACTTTTTTTAATTTAATTTATTTTTCAAAATCTCTATTTCTTCTAAATACAATTCTTCTTTAGTTGCCATATCTTTTAATTTCTTTGAAAGTTCTTATGCAATTTTAGGTTCTGAAATTCTAGATTGTTGATTTATATTTTCCAATTATTACAATTAAAGTTCATACTTTTAACTTAATTCTAATTCTTTGTCTTTGATCATTTCTAAATAATATAAATAAAATACACTCATAATGTTATCTCAACTCTTCATGTTCAGTGTTATATTCCTATTAATATTGATATAATTTATTCAAAGCATCTCTTGCTATCTCACTTTATCCTTATAATTCTTCTAATAAATTTAATTCTGTCTATTTAAGTTGATGAATAGTCTCTTCATATGTTTATATTAGTTTTTCATATTGTTCTCTAAATTTAATAATTTGAATATTTACTTTGTACTATTGAAACAATGAATATATTATTAATTAGCTTAATCATCTTATAATTATTATCTTAGTTCTGAGATCTATTTTTCATATTCTTTCATTTTTTTGGTTAACTTATTTTCTTGATTTTTTAGATTTGTTTATGATTTCTTTTATGTTTAGCTTTTTGGTTTCCCTTAATTCTTTGGTTTTTACTAAGGTTAAGCATTTCCTGGTTTATTTAGAATAGGTCCTAAGTTTTGATATATTTCAGATTCTGAATTGGAAGTATCAATTTTCCTTCCTCTTGATTATCTCATAGAAATTATGAAATTAAATAATTATTTTATTAACAATTTATTTAAATACTATCTAATCCTATATTTATTTTGGATAATAAATAAATAAATTCAACTTCTCTTGCTAAATATAATGATCTGATAATTTGAATCATTTCTTATTTTGGCATTCTCCAAATTACATGAGAATTTATAATTTTTATCATATTCACTTTTATTTTTTTAATAGCCAATTAATTAAGAGTGAATATGAAATTTTGATTATTTTGTATATAAAAATCATATAATTATAGTTAGTGCTTTTACAATTTTTGTCCATGATTGCATTAATATTATTAGATGAGAAATAATTAAGAAGAAAGAATATAATAATACTGATAATAAATTTATTTTATTTTTAAGGAGAGCAACAAATAAAAATTTTGATTTATAATATATATCTATTATAATCAACCTTATTGAATTTTATAATTAAAATTAATAAATATAATAATAATAATAAATGTATTAATCTCTAATACTAAAAATCTATTTGATTATTTTTGATTTTCTATATAGATTAAGTCTGTGTGGTATAAAATAGAATAATAATTTTTCAGAAACAGCCATTAATTTTTAACTCTGATATCATTAATTATTTTATAATCTAAATTTAAAGTTTATGGGTTTCTTCATTTTATAAATTATCTTGTAATTTAAGATTTATATTTCTAACTCTTTTATTAGACCTTTTTTATTTCCATCTCTTATATGGGTATTTAAAGCCTTCAATTAAATAACAAATAGTAGATTTATTTTAATTTGTTGTAATGTGGATTAGTCTGTTAAATGATGATTGTAAATCATTCAATAATTAAGAAGTTGATAATTGTTAAAAAAGTGAAAATTGATTTTGTTTCTAAAGAAAGTTTTTTTTATTAAGACTATTTTTGAATAATTATTAAGATGTATAATTAATGATTTTGATTATGGGATTAAATAAAAAAATAACTACGCATGTTGTAATAATTAGAGATGATAGCATATAAAAAAAGAAACCTAGGATTGTTCCTACAAATATGTTGTTTAATTATGATTAGAAAGTATTAAACATATTCTTAAATTCAATCTGATATTTGGAAAGTTTGCTTTACCTATAATAATTATTAAATAAATGTTTACATAATAAAAATCAATCCTGTTTCTTCTATGTTTTTTGTACTTATTAATTCCTCTTCTTATTTATTATAAGTTTTTCTACATAAATATCCATAATCATTCCAAACAGTAGAATCACAATTACTTTATGTAGGTTTACCTTATGCTTGATTTAATATCTACTGATAATCTTGATAACCTAAATTAGTTATATTATAATCATATATATGTGAATATTCAGTAACGTTCTTAGAACTTAAGAGTATTCTACCTGTTGGATTTATGATAGTAAAGCTTACTTAATCATCAGAATAATTAAATTGGCTGAAATTTACATGAGAGGCTATTACTCCATCAAGTGAACCATCAATGTTTAATAGACTTTTTGTTTGAGCAATCATTAAGAGTTTCCATGTCCAATGAATATGAGGTTCACTATAATATGTTGAATTATTATTATTATTATTATTCAAAGCCAATTATTCTAAATGTTACTGATACCAAATTCTCTCTTAAGGATTGTAATCAGAACTTAAAAATGAGCCAGGCCAAACTGTAAAAAAATGAATATCATTTGATGATGCTATCATAATATCAAAATCTTAATCAACGATATGTACACTTTCTGTCAAAAATGCAGAGAGATCTTTTAGATTTTATAGGATTTTATTTGATTAAGTGTCTTTATATATCATATAACAAAATGAAGCACTGTAAGCATAATCATCCATTAATTTTAATTCATTTAGACATGAAGTTGGTTATTATAAATTGCTTTACATTATTTACTGAGTCATTTCATATAAAGTATTTACTTTCATAATTTGTTATTGACTTCTAAATAAAGTTTATTATACTCGATGAATATTATGAGACATCATTATTTTAGTCCATTTACCATATTATTTTTAAAATAAATGCTCTGATGCTTCCATATAAAAATCAGAAATATAGAACATAAATGAATAAGTTGAGATGGCTATTAAGCCAATCGTAAGAATTGAAATAGCGAATTAAATCATACAAATTTGAGTTCGCAAATGCCAATCTTTCCAAAATTTATTGCCCATAGTATTAAATTATTATAAAATTTCTTTAAAATAATTACTATTGTAATACAAAATCACTTTTAAGAAGACATTTTTTTATCTTGATTCTAAATTATGTTTATCCAAAGAATTAGAAAATAACAACACATTTTTTAATAACTGTTTAATTATTTTATGCATTTTGTTAATTAACTACAAAGACAGCTTTTTTAATTTAAAAAAATATAAAATTAAAAAAAAGTTATGCTAGTGCAAATATTCAATTTTTTAAAAACTACAATCATCCACTAGATTTTGCTATTAATTTTATGAAAGTATTTTGTATTGGTTATGATAAGGGAGTGGAATTTCATTTTTTATTATAACAATCATGATAATTTTCTTAAAGATGAGTTTTAACTTTCTTTCTTTTGAATCTTCTTTAAATCTTAATCCAATTTAGAATATCTAATAATTTATGTAATAATAAGATACTAAAAAACTTAGATGGGAATTCTTAATGAGCTATTATTGATATTTTCTTTAAGGACTTCTTTTTAGTAATTAAAATAAAGAATAGATCTTGAGGGTCAATGTGAATTTTATAATGAATCTAATTAATAAGCCATATGAATAAATTAGGCAATCAAATTTCTTGAATATACCCTCTAAAAAGATAATGCCTCCAGAATGTAGAAAGTATTTTACAAAGATAAGACTTTAAATAACTCACATCCTGTTTGCAACAAGTATTTATTTCAAAAGACCTATTAATTTTACAAAATGTTTTAATTATCCATCATTTTTATAATAACCTTTTCCATCTTACCAACTTTTATAATATTTGAAATATACATACCTTATTTTATCGGATGATATTTCTGAAAACTTCGCCATAATATAACCATCTTTTTCTAATATTTATTAAAATTATGATCATTATAATCCTATTTCCCTTACAAAATTAATTATATTAGTTAGTAGTTCGAATAGTGTATGAAATTCATAATTTTATATTTTCAGTAAACTCTTATTCATATCTTAAAATTATATATTGTTTAATTCTAGATTTGTCATTATCAATTCAATTATGCAATGAAATATTTAGATAATAAGAAAACTTAATATTTTTTATTTTAGCCTTATTTAAATTTTTTCTTAATTATTTTATTATCATTCAAGTCCAACAACCAAAAATATTTATACTTAATATTGATATCAATCTAAATGTTAGAATGATTTTACAATACCTAGATTTCATCTTTAATATTCACTATACCAACCTCTAACTCTTTATAAATCAAATATTTTATTTAAGTCATTAGTTGAAATTTCAACATGGACAATTCGGATTATTTGTAATATAACTTAAATCAGGTTTTTCTTAATGCAAGCAATGGTTAAAAGTAAGCCTTTTTAAACTTTTTAAAATAATTCTTGCGAAAACTTAATAAGGAATTCTCTTTCTCAAACATGAAAATTTCCTAAAATAAATTAAGTTTAGCTGCCTTTTTTAATGATATTTTGAGAATAAATGAGATGGCTTTATTCATTAATTATTTGTATTTTAAGAAAATTAATAATTCCAAAAAATGAAATTTTAAAGATTCGAATAACTAATATTTTTCAAAGATAACTATCAAAAAATTTAGTATTAGTATTAAATTATTTAAACAACAGCTTGAGGATTTTTAATTTTTATAATAATATAATTAATTCATATATAGGATTCATGATTAGTTTTCCTCTTATCATCTTATAATTAGTTATTTTATAATTTCAAATTCATTTTATTTCAATGAAATCTAACTAATCAATAGATTCTAATAATATAACACCTTTTGATAAATAAAAAACCATTTAATTGAATAAAAGTATTTAAAATAAAATTTTTATCCAAAAGAAAAATGAATATCTTAGAGTTATTAATATTTTCTTAAATAAATTGAATTATTATATAAAGAGTTAAATTTTAAAATAAACTTAAAAATTTCAATTTTATTATTCTGATATTTTTGTAGTTAATCCTTTAGCAGTAGATCTGGCAGCCATCTAATTTAATTTAGAATTAATACATTTTAAGATGCCATCATTACAGACTTTTAAGATGGACTTGTAGTCATTTTTCCAAAAGCATCTTATTGAAATTTTCTCTTTAATTCTTCAAGTTCTCTTTATTTAGTTGCTACCTCATCAAACTTCTTATTTAATTATTATTCCATATTGCCTAATTATCTATTTTTAGTTTCCAAATCATCATTTCTATTAATGAATTTATCAATATTTACAATCTTTAGATTTCCTTCTTTTATTTAATGACTAATTCACTATTTTATTAATCTCTTTGTTCAATCTCTTTCAATTAATTTAATGTTCTTTGTTATTCTCTTTTTAAATTTTCTAATTCTGTACTCATATTATCATTTTCTTTTTTCTTATTAACTAATTATGATTAAGTTTCTTATAAATTAGATTTATATTATGATAATTCACCTTATAAATGATAAATCTCTTTATTATTAGCTTATTATTAAGTTTCTAATTTATTAATAAGTTATTCTTAATCCATTGATTTATTTTTATATAATTCAGCTTCTTTTTTGACTTAATCATAATCAGACAATGGAACATTATTTTATTTAAATTATCTTTTCCATTAATCCATTTCTTAAATTTTAGCTTCTCTATCTTATCTAGTTTCTTCTAATTCATCATTTAATTCATTTACATCTTTAGTTAATTGTTAATTTTAAGCATATTATTCTTCTAGTTAGTTTTATAATTCTGCAATCTATGTTTCATTATTTTAAATTTGTTCTTCATTTTAAAGAATAGTTAATTGATTCTCTTCAATTAATTTATTACAATTATCTATTTACTCTTTTTATTTTCTGATTTATTCATTTGTAGTACTTGTTAATGATTTTAAATCTTTATCTAATTTATCTCTCTCTATAGTAAGTTTTTATATTTAACATTATTATTAATAATTTTGATCATCTAATTCTTGTATTCTTTATCTTTATTAAGACATCTTCTCAAAAATAATTTTGATTTATTATTCTAATTCATTTTTCTCATTAATAAATTACATCCTTTGGTTTTCAAGAATATCATCTCTTTCCCTAACATCACATGATAATCTATCCACTTCTACTTAATATTCTTTTAATTTTTATTATAAATCAGACATCTGATTCTTTTAAATTCTTAGAGTAGTTTAATTATAAGTTTTTTCTTTGTTTAATTAAACACTTAAATTTTCAGATAGAGTTGATCTTTATAATAATTCTTATCTTGTTTCTTCTAATTATGATAATAAGGTAGAATTTTATTCTTCAATTCCAGCAATTTTCACTAATAATGATTTAACATGTGATTCACTCATTAATTTTTCTTGTAACTATTTAAAACTTTAATTTTAATATTCATTTTCCATTCTTTCAATTTCTTAAGTTAAATCATCAATCTTTTATTCATTCATTTATAGAGCCTATTGAAATTCTTACTCTTTTTATCTCAATATCCCTTTACTTCTTTCCATCATCCTTTATTCAAAGTCACCTCTAGTTTATTTAAAATCATCTAATTAAGATTTATATAATTGTAATGCTTGTTCATTCTAAAGTAATCGTTGTTAAAGAATAATACATTATTCAGATGATTAGTTTGTATTTAATGATAAATCTTTTAGTTTTTTGTCTTTTTCAATTAAATCTTAACCTTGTTATTAATTAGTATGTAATAATCTTGTAATTTCTTTCTATTAAACTTAATTAATTGATTTCTATTCTTATAATTGTTTCCAAATATCTTGATTTTGTAATGTCAAATTTTGAATGGATTATTCATGTTATTAATATAATTTACTTGTTTACTCTTCTGCTTGTTAATCTTTACTTTATACTATATTGGTAATGTTTTATTCATATTGTTTTTCTAATCTTAAATATTTCTCTTTTGAAATATCTATATCAGTTGTTAATCTGCTTAGTTCTATTTGAAGTTATTCTACTTTTTTTAAAAGAAGCTACTCTTATAATTCTTTATCAGCTATCATTTACTTATCTATATAAGATTATTTTTGAAATGTTTCAATTTATTATTTTTATTCATTTACTTTAATTTAGAATTCTTATATTGATTATTTATAATCCAATATTTATTCCTAATACTATTTTTCCATATGTTCATTTTCTTTCATTCTTTCAGTCTACAATTTGCTAAATGTATCATATTATTGTTTTTGATCTTATAGTTTTGTATTCATTTCAATAATGTATTTATTCATCAATGACTGTTAAAGCTATTCATATTATTCTCTAAATTTAAACGTTTATATATTACTTTAGATTTTCAAGTGATGATTAATATTATTTATTTTATTAGGCTAACTTCTACTTATTCAATTCATTCTCTTAAAGCTTAAATTATAGATCACCCTTTAGTAATTCATTTTCTTTCAAAAGTCTCAGATATTCATTATCTTAGGTTTCCTTCATTTAATTCTGAAGATGCAGATTCTTATTTGCCTTTTCTAATTCTAAAAGGGTTTCATCCAATTAGGATTGCAATTCTAAAATTTTATAAAGATCTGCTACTTGCATTTATTTTATCCATTTATAATAGTTTCTCCTTATACTTTAGATCTTATAATTTGAGTGTCTATTCTGACTACATACGGGTTTTTGATAAAGGAGATACTGAAGGTCTATTTGGAGAATGGTCCATTCGGTTAAATTATATTAAAAAAAATAATTGTAATTTGGTTTTTTAAGAAAAATAAGTTGTTTGTTTGTTTTTTAAATATATGATATAAATTTGGATTTGAAATCATAATAGATAGAGAATAATTAATTCATTTTAGATGTAAACTTGGCTATAATCTTGGAAAATAAGATGATTTTTTTAATGGTTTGTAAATCATGATATCTTTACATAAATCTGATAACTTAATTTGTTTATTAGAAGAATTGTCTTATAGAAGTATTTCATGACAAGAGTGTTTACTTTTTCTATTAGCACCTTCTTCTATTAAGTAGGAACTGTGTCTAAGTCTAGTAGATTTTTAGACATCTTTTTTAAGATTGAGTTATTTTTAATTCAATTATTTAAAATACTCTTCCATTAAAGATTTAAAGGAATGCTCTTATTAATAAATTTTAGGAAATTTGTGAAAATGACATTCATGATTCACATCAATTCTTTTTCTTTATTCAATTGGTTAATGAATTTTCTTTTGTCTCAATTACACTAAAGATCTACTTTTATGAATTTAAATGGGAGAATTTATATCCCACGCATTTTGTATTTCTTTATCTTCTAAATTTAATAATTAAGTTATGGCATTCTACTCTAGATTATCCATCTATTTATTTTAATATTTATAAACTTTTTATCATATAAAATTATAATCAATATAAATTAACTAAAATAAGTAATCACATACTATTCAATAATTTTTATTCAAGTAATTTGATAGTCTCAATCTAAAAAAAGATTGTAATAATAAAATACATATTATTTAATTTATTACTCTTAACTTTGAATAATCTTACTTGTTTATTCTTCTACTAATAGTCTATTTTTTCTTTCTTCTGTCAATTATATTTACAATTTATTATCAATATGAATAGAGGGTTAATAAAAGTTGGAGGATGAATTAAATTCAAGTGATAAGATTTTTATTAATTTATCACAATTTTAGTTTAATTAATTTTGCCATTATTACATAATACTTTAGTTAATTTATGTTTGTTTGTTATGGGTCATTTGTTCACCAATTAATTTTAGACTTTTAAGAATTTTGTTAATTTAATCATCTTCAATACTTCTTATTCTAATACTCACATCTCCAAGATAAGAGCTAGTATCTTAATTTTTTGTTTTTTCTTACTGAATATTATTAGAAACATTGTTGCTTTCCAATCTTGATAATTGAGATAAAGTATTAAAATGATATTTAGTTTTAAATGGATTTGTTTTAATTGGAGAATTTGGAGTATCTGCTCTAAATATTTGAAATTCATAAGTTGTTTTTGATACCTTATGCTTTTTATTTTATGATTTTCCTTTGGTTGAAAGTAATTAAGAAATGATGGATTACTGATTAGAAAACATTCCTATAGATACTTTTGGAGTATTGAAAAAGTTAGATTTAGTCATTTTACTTTAGTTTTTATTGTTTAACATATTAATATTTATATTTTGTTGTCTTAATTTTTGTAAAATGTCATTAGTATTTGTTGATTTCTACATTCTCCCATTTAGAACATGGATATATATGTTTTATCTTTTCATATCTAAACTTCTCTATGATTTTACATGTGGTGGACTTCTCAACCTCTACTTCATATTCCTATCCTTTTGCTTAAACCTAATTTAAACCAATTTAAGCCTCAGAATAATACCTTTCTGCGATCAAATGAAAAGATTAGTGTACCAGATCTATTCTTAACTTTATGAGCTATAAGATCATAAAAGCTAAGTTTATGAGGTAAAATCATTCCATTGGCTACTATGATCAAGTCTTCTGGACTAAACTCTGTTAACTATTATTCCATAATAACAAACACATACAAATCCAAAATCTCTTATGATTTCTCTTCTGGCCATTTCCAAAAATTCTAAGATTGTCATCTTCTTTTTAATTCTTAAAGACTTAGAACAAGTTGATGCATCCCAATATTAAAATTAAATATCAATCAGAGAATCCTTTTATGATTCTACTTCCTTCTAATATTATTCTAAATCATATACATTAAACACATACCTGTCAATTATCTGGTCATCTCTTCAATTTTTCTTTCTCTATTCATATCAGGTAAATAAGTTGTATCTACATGTTCATTCTTCCCATAACTTTTTTATGGACTACCCTCATTATCTAAATCAAAAGACAGTAATGTAGTCTTCTTCTAATATTCTTCTTTTCGCTTTTATTTAAGTTCCAATTTTCTTTTATTTTCTTCCTCCTATTTTTGTTTCATATCCTGCATCACAAGATTATCAATATTCTCTCTCTTTCTCTTAAATTCCTCACGAGTAACAAGACCAACAGTCTTTTGTTTAAATTCATCTTCCAAAAAATCTTTATTTGATTAACCAAAACGTTCCTATTCACAAAGATTTCAATTCTTCTTACTTTGATATTTGTTGGTGCCTTTTTCAAAGACATCATCTCTTGGTCCTTTTTCAATTTTTCAATCTCATTAATGTCAATGTCTTTATACATTTAATATTTATATTTAATTCAGTGATTAATACAATATTAAATAAACAACCCAATTATATATAAATTAACATTGCTATCATAATAATTCACATGTATTTTTTAATACTACTTCAAATAGAACAAATATTTTTTATTTTTTTCTATTATTAATATTAAATAATATTTCCTATTATATTTTATTTTGAATTTAAGAAAATCGTCTGATTATATAATTGATTACATTTATTATATCTCAATCATAAATTATCTATTATATTATTTTTTTTTAAGGATTCTAATTTCTATAAAGAATCCATAAGAATTATATTTAATGAATGCATACTTTTTTCTATGTTATAATTTTCTTATTCATTAATTAAATGAACAATAATACTTAAGCTCAAATAGTAACAACATCATAAAATGCTCGACTTTTAGAATTAGTTTAGAATAGTAGAAAACTGGTTCATGAAGGATAAATCTAAATTTGTTATATGCCAGATGCTCGAATCTATTTTGTAATGATCAACACCTATTGTCAAACAATCTTTCCAAGCACTCCTTGGGTTATTCTTAAGTCTGATAAAGGATTTTCTCTTTTATATCCAAATGCCACTGCAGGTAAGAGTTTCTAGAATATTTAGGATTAAATGGAATTTTCATTTAGAAAGGACAAGAAGGAGATCTATTTTTAAATACACTTCAACAATTAGTGTAAATAATTCCTTTTGAAAATGCTATCCAAATTCCTTAATTCAAATAAAGCATCCAAATACATTGCAAAGATATAGATATTAATCCATTAGAAAATAGTACTACAGCAGTGGGTTACATTAAGGCTGGAGGAGAGTAAGTATTGTACCTGATATCTTATTAAGAGCTTTGAAAGAAGGCTTTAATTGGTTAGGAGATAAGATAGCTAAAGGAGTTGCAGCAGGAGGTGAATACATCAATTCAAAAGTTGAGAAAAAAGAAGATGTAGAAGTCAAACCTGAAACTAAAATTAAAGTAGAAACTGCTAAGTCTAAGTTTTCATAAACAGTTGATGTAACTGGAGCATATCTAAAATAATTATTCACTCCTGTTGTTTAAAAAGGGTCAGAAATAAAGTAAGATATTAATAAATAGATTGATAATTCAGATAGTTAAGGTAATCAAATAAATTTATATTATAATTAAAGGATTGAAGGAAGGTCGAGAAATATTTGTGGCTACTTGGGACGCAATGGGAACTGCTTTGACTGGTCTAGGATCTGCATTATCTAAGATTGGTGATTAGATAGGAACAGACACTAGAGCAATAGTAGAAAAGAAGTATGGATAGGATGTCTCTGAAACATATTTAGGTCCAAAACAATAAGATTAATAATAATAATAATAATAATAATAATAATGATTTGAACAATAAATTTATTATTTTCATTCTGCAGCTGCTTCCTATTTAGCTTTCCATTCTTTCTCTTATTATAAGGCATAATCAATAGTACGCTAATTTTATAAATATAATGTCTATACCTTCTTATTGTTATATTAGTATACCCAAAGCCATGGATAATAGCAAAGACCAAAAATCACAACAGAATCTAAATTGCTTATTGATTCATTTACTTGCAAAAATGTAAATTTACCAAGCCCAAGGATTGTCAGCTACATTTCTACCTAAAAATCTCCAAAAGGCTTTGACTTTGGGATCGCTATTCAAACGAGATACTACTTAGGGTTTTCTTACTACAAATAATTCTCATTTAATACCGAATGATGGCTTCACTGTTTATTAATAGGGTATAGTCTTGAACCATTGAGGAGTATAATCCTTAACATTATTATAGATGAGACGACCGTACACCATATCTAATTGATATTAATTTAATTTATATGATTGACATCTAAATAATAAAGGAAGGTATTGGAGACACTCCTAGATAATACGAAGAAGTTTTCTGTAATAATAAATATCTCAAATCTTAGTCTTTTTTATTGCTCACAATCATAAAGGAGAATTACTTACTGGATCATAACATACTGCTACTAAAACAATAATTGGAAGAGGATGGTTATAACCAGAAGTCGAAGAAGCTTTAAGTAAAATGAAATAAGGGGAAAGAAGTCTCATTAAGATTTATCATTCACCTGCCACAAAAGTATTATATATAACTATCCAAAAGGAATTTTATGATTAATATGAAATCGAGATTATAAGAATAGGGAGAAAGAAGAATAATCCATGGCATTTAGAAGGAGAGGAAGTATATGAGAAAGCTTTGGAATTAAAAGGATTAGGGAATGGAGATATTAAATAATAAAAATATCTAGAAGCTTAAAATAAATATTTGGAATCATTAAATTTAATAAAAACAGAGTATTGTGATAGAGAATTAGAATTATAAGGTTAATTGAGATCTAATTTATCTTTAACATATTTGAAAAATAAATAATTTGAATAATGTATCAAATAAGCATCAAATGTATTATAAGGATAACCAGAAAATGTTAAATTATTACATAGAAGAGCTGTGGCTTCAATTTAAATTGATGATTTTGATAGTGCTAAGTAAATAATATAATAATATAATTAGATGTGATTTAAAATTGGCAAATTAATTGGATCCATAGAATGAGGAAGTAATAAAAGAATTATAGAGTATTGGAGAGAAAGAGAAATAGATTAAGAAGAAATAGTAGGAGAGAGCAAAGAAAATGCTTTTTGGAGAATGAAACATTAATAATAATATGTTGATATTAATACTTTTTACAATATGTTAATCAGTTATCGTGAGTTTGGATAAAACTTGTTTATGTTCAGAAATCTTTTTAGAATATGATTGTACAGCATTTGGATGTAAATTTGAATAGAAATTATGTGCAAATTTGGTTTGTTCTGATGTTAAATCAAGAGTAGAATGTGATTCAAGATTTGATTGTTCATTTGATCATAAGACTTAAACTTGTTCTGTTTTTTCTTAATGCAATGCATATTATGTAGATGTAGAAGAGTAATGTTATAATAAAGGCAATTAAGTAATAGGATGTGTATCAAGTGGTAAAAAAAGTGAAGGTTATTATTAATGTACTAATTATTTGGCAAAACAAATAGAGTATGTTGTTTGTTCTGAATAACTTACTTCAGCAAGTTGTAATGGTGTATAATCAGATGGTTATAGATGTGTATGGAAGAGTATAAGTAATAAATGTGTGGCATTTTAATTGAATAATTGTGATGATGCATCTGACTTAAATGAACCTTTGTGTGATATAACTTATTGTGTATGGTTAAACAATGATTGTAAAGAGAAATAATGTAAGGATTTTACATCTTAAAGTTCATGCAAATACATTCCTCATTTAGATGGTAATTAATTTACTATATGTTCTTGGTCAGGTAATTAATGTATTGAATTGAACAGTGTTTCTTAACTTTAATAAAATAATTGTTCAATTCTAACATTAGGTACATACTTTTGGAATAATGTAAAAAATTAATGTATAGAATGTGAAGGATATAGTAAATTATTTTTAATGAGTTTGATTATATTAATCATATAATTCTGAATCAATTAAAATATATAATATAATATTTTAACAATAAATTAATGAAATAAATTACAGATAACGACAACTATTCAGTTGATGGTATTAATTGTAATTACTTATCATTAGGTTGGAATTTTGATGAATAGTCCAATTTCATAAAATACACAAAATTTGTTATTCCTTTCACTATCTTAATCAATATTTATCTTATTGTGATTACTTTTCTTTATAAGACTATTTATCCACCATACTTTTATGAGATATTACTTTACTCTTCTATCTATGGAATATCTTTATCGATATTCAATATATTTTGGAAATAAGAAAGTATTATGTATAAATTATAAACTTCTTAGAGGATTCAGTAATTAGATAATTATCATTTGTTTTAAATGGCTTAATGATAATAATGGCAATCTCTTTGATGATATTCTTTATTGCCTCATTTGAAGCTGATTACAATTATAAAATTGGTGAGAATTCCAGTTATATCAATTAAATTTAAGAATGGTAACATTTTACACTTTTATTTCGTTCAATACTCTTATCATTATTCCTACTTCTAATTTCATATTTTTATATTACTTATAGTCTATATCTTTGTTAAGATTAGTAAAATCTCATGATAGCTTTACACATTTACAATACTTTATTTTTTATAACTGGAATAGCTATCAATCACTATTCAAAACTTATTGGATTTTAATTAATATTATTATTATTATTAATATCAACAAGTATATTAGTTTATAGTGCTAATCTTAAAAAGATTAAAGTAGCTTATTTTACTATTGGAGCTATTTTATTATTTTATTTAATACTCAATCAATATTAACATTTTTCAAATGTAAGATAGGCAAAATAAAATAAAATATCAGTTTTAAATGATTGTTCAGCTCATTTAAGAAATCTACATATGGACTTTTTATTTGCCAATACTAATTGTTAAAAATATTAAGAAAATTTATAATGTAATGATGATTAAAAAGCCTTTATGTGGGAATTGGATACAAAAATACCCATTTCTTAAAGAGATACAAAATTAGGATGTTTGAATCTAAATTGTTGTGGAATAGTGGCTGATAGATCTAAATTTAAATTGAATGTCATTACTTTAGTTCATTAATTAATTGGTTTTGCTACATTAACACTTATTTTGTACATATCATAAAAACCTCCATTATTGAATACAGAAATAAAAATTTATGATTTCATTTTTGGAACTATTTAGTTATTTTTAATTATTATAACAATCTTTTTATTTAGTAAAGAAATTAATTAAGATATCAATAAATTTAATTCACTTTAAACTTCTAAATATATAGATATTCCAAAAGGATGTAGTTAAATGAAAAATTTCATTACTCTAAATTGTTAATTTATATATTGTGATAATATTGAATTAACAATTAAAACAGATTTTCCAATGAATTATTATAGATTAAGTAATTCTAAAGATTTTTATGTTGATGATTCAAATTTCACAGAATTAAAATTTATTGGTAAATTTGATGCCATCTAAAATTATATCTATTCAAATGTATTTAAATATTTATATTTAGATCTATATATGTGTTACTAGTAAAACAGTTAATATAGACTTTACAATTTAAAAATCTACTAGATTGCTTAAAGAAATTAGTTAAACTAATCTTATTTAGAATTAAGACATACTTAAAACACTCTAAGCAGTTAGATTTTGGAAATTAGAGTGTTAATTAAACATTAATTAAAATTACACTATAAAATTACTTAATCCAATCACTAATACTGAATATTTATAGATACAAAATTAGAATACTTTAAATTTTATATAAGAATAATCTTATATATTAATAATATAATCCAAAGGATATATTCCTTATGAATAAAACATTTTTATTAATAAGGATACATTATTAAACATAAATCTAATCAAATAATAGAAATAACTATCAATTATTTTATAAGGATCTAAATAATCTATGTTAGGTACAACATTTGCAACCAGTATTTATAAATAATATACAACTACAAAGTGGATTGGATCTAATAATTATATGCATCTAGAATATATTGATGATACAACTTAAATAATAAAAATAGATGAAATTGATTATCCTATTTTGGTATTTATTATAAATCCTAATTATGATGCATTATTAACTATTTATGATGAAGATCGTTTATTATATAAATCATACACTAATAAATAAATTAATACATAATAAGTTTTATGTTTATAAGGTAATACAATAAATTATTTAAAATCACAAACATCAAATAAATTATTGCCTAATAGTCTTATATGTTAATGATTACTATTTTAATAAATGTTAATAATATTAAACATATTATATTATATAATAAAATAATCCATTATATTATTTTACTATAATTAATAGATGATAATCTCTCCTTTTTTTGTATATAAATTTTTGTATAATGTGTAAATGTATTATTTATATTACAATATTTAATGAATTATTAATCATTAGATCAAAATTTTGTTGACAATCTGACACCAGTTTTATCAGACTAAGAAGAAGACACTTAAAATAATAAAACATAATAGCAAGCATTGTAATTGATTAATATTATAGAATAGATAATTTTTGTACATATCTCCTAATTTGTTTAATAAATTATGGCCTGAAATTAAGAAATAACTTTGTTTATTAAAGGTTAGTTAAAATAATTTAACAGCCTTTAATGTTTAATAAGTAATAGAGGAAATTTATTGTTTGCATTTCCCAAATGTATTATTTTTAATTATAGTTAGCCAAAACAAATAAAGAACAAAATTAATTTCAGAAATTTTTGTTAAGCTTTGGATGGATTTCCATAAAAAAAAGAATTCTTAGCTAAAATACCTTAGATAGTTGAATTAGCTTTAAAGATGGATTCAGAATTTACAGATTATTTAAGTATGCTTATAGAGAGAGTAGAATTAAAAAGGATATAAGTAGCAATATTATTGGCAAATATGTTTTTATGTGTTATGCATTTATAACCTGATTATAAATTATTGCCATCTGTTTTCATTATGGCAAAATTATTTAATATATCAAATGAGGATAATGGATAGAATAATAATAAGATTTAAAAAATAAGATGTTTAATTTATTATTTCCTTCATGTATTTTCACCTGAATTCAAATCATAAGAGAAGATTATATTCACAAGAAAAAAACACAATTTAACAATACATAATAATCCTTTATGTGAATTTATTTATTGTGAATATGGATAAATGGAGAATGTATAAGATTGTTATATAGTGGATTTTGCAAATAAGAAAATAGGAGGTGGAGTACTTAATTTAGGATGTGTACAAGAGGAAATATTATTTTTGACACATCCTGAAGCATTAGCATCATTATTAATAACTACTGAAATAAAGCCAGATGAATCAATTATAATAGAAAAAGTAAACAGACTTATTATGTATGATGGCTATAAAGATAAATTTGAATGTAAAGGAACAATTAAATAAATAAAAAGTACTAATTTTATTGTAAGATATTTAATTAAATATTATAGTGTATAGATGCAGGAGATTATTCTGGAAATTACCATTTATAATATAAAGACATCAAAAGAGAATTAATTAAATCTTATAGTGGATTTTATGGAATACCTCGCATATGTACTGGAAAATGGGGATGTGGAGTTTTTGGTGGAGAATGGTAATTAAAAGCTTTAATTTAATGGGTTGCTGCATCTTTAGGAGGATGCAAATAATTAGTGTTTATAAATGATGAATCATATGCATACAATTAAGCATTCAATTTGCTTAAAGGCTTAAATTCTAATTAATTATGGGAATATATACAAAAATATTGTTATAAAAAATCTTAAGAAGAATTAAACAATATCAATGCTATTGATTTTATATTGTCTTAATAAAAATTTTGAGTTTAATTTATATGTATATATATATATTATTAATTAATGTGACATAACTTATATGTTTATTTAGGTATATATTATTTTATAAATATGATCTATTTTTTATATAATAATTAAAATTTTTTGAAAATTCCATTTATTTCAATTAGAATTAATAATATTATTAATAAGTAAAACAAGAAATATTTAATCATTTTTATTTCAGTTTACTCAAACTTCCATTCTTTATTAAATCATAAATCTAATTCTTAAATGGTTGTTTAGTTTAAACTAATTTATTATAACTTAATAATATGCCAGTTATTAATGCCACTGAATCTGAAATTGCTAATGCTGATGCTTTACTTTAAAACTATCCTAATTGAAATTCTGAACATTATTACAAGAATATCTCTTATAATTAATTATTTATGTTTTAATCATCATTTCTTAAATCATTCTCTTTTAATTTAGTGATTTTTCTCCCTGATTCAATAAAATCCATAATACATTATTATTATTATTCAAATTTATTTTTATATAATATTGCTAATATTCTTTTGATTTCCTTCTGGTTTTTTATTAAATTGTAATCATATTTTTATGTCATCAAATTTGTTATTATTTCAAAAATATTTGGTATAATAGGAAATCCACTCTTCAATTTTTCTTATAAAAATCTCAAAGATTCTTCTCTTACTATATTAATTGAACGATTTTCATCAACCATTCCTTCAGAAAACATTGAAATCATAAAGTATACAAAAACATTAGTATATTCTCTTGAAGAAAAGGAATTGACATTTGAATTTTCCAAAAGATTCTTACAATTATCAAAATCAGCATGTTTAACAATAATACTTTGAAGATATTCATTTGCTTCTTAATCGAAATCTTACATTTATAATGCTTATGCATATTTCAAATGATATTTCTCAACATTATCATTTATATCAATTGCCTTTTAAAGTTAAACTATACATTATTCGAAATTCTATTTTCCATAAAACAATTATCCAAGTTCAAAAAATATCTCAGAATCTTAGTCATTTAATTTTATAGCCTATTATAAATCTTCAATGGCTTCATCAAATTCTTAAATCTATATTTTGATTTTTGCTATTGAATAAGAATTATCATATACCTCTTTATATATAAAATTTAGGATTATCATTTTATAATGATATTGCTTTGTCATATAATAATTTTGCTTCCTTTTAATTACCTAACTAATCTAATAATTATGCTTTTTCTGCATAATATAATGGATTATCTGGTTTCATTTTAATCAGTCGATCATACATATTTGTAGCAGGTTATATATTATTATTATCTCTATATGCATTAGCAATTTTTAAAATTAAATTATCATTTTTTGGTTTTAATTATAAAGCAGAATCAAAATTAGTTTTGGCAGAAAAGAATTGTTATCCTAATAAGTGACAATAGCCTATTGTTTAAATTATATTTGATACCTTTTTCATAATATAAATCTTATTTTTATTAAACATCTTTTGACTATTTTAAAATTATATCATAACATAATACAGCTTAATCAAAGTCTTTAATTTGAGTTAAACAAATGGCTATTACTTAATTAATTTATAATACCTTTGTTTTTAAGAGCTATTATGTTATTTTAATCATAACTTAAACTTTTATTAAAGTCATCAATTGCATTTTAATATTGTTTTTAATTCATAAAGGCCAATCCTCTATAGTAATAAATTGATTAATCTCCAAAACCTAATTGAATAATCTTATCACAACAATCACTCAATTAATAATAAAGTTATAAAGTTGAACTAATCTTTGTTATTATCTTTAATGTTTTTAAATCTAGAGGATTGTTATGAATAATCTAATTGAAATAAGTCATAGCTTTGTGTAATTGATTTTAATGATAAAGACACATACCCATTCCATAAAGAGAATCATAATTATTTTAATCATATTCTAAAACTTCTTCACAAAGTTTCATTGAATTATCATATTATTTTAATCCATAATATGCTTAACCTATAAATCATAAATTTCTAATTTACTTTTGCAATTTAAGATAACTGACTTGACTTTTGATATTTTCTAGTCTCCTAAATTATCTAAAAATTCAAAAAGTTAATCATATTTCTTTTGACGTAAATATACATTAGTAATAGCATTTATTGCGTCAGAATATTTTGGATCTTCTTTTAATGCCTGTTCATAATATTAGAGACTTTCATCAAACTTTTATTATTTTATTAGTAGATGACCTATTCTTAAATTAAATATTTACCATAGTTCAAAAGAGCTGCTTTGTCTTTACTTTTAATTTTCAGAGCATTTTAGAAATATGGTTCAGCAATTTCAAAATTATTTAATAACAAATTTATAAAGCCGATCCCAAAATTTCCTTCAAATGATTTTTCATTCAACTCAATCAATTAATGAAATATTATTAAAGCTTCCTCATACTTTCTCTCTAAAGTATAAATGTTTCCTAATATTTTATGATTATTAACGTTACCTATTTCTGCTAAAGCATTAGTGTGTTTTTTATCAATATCTGTAGCAGCTTTACAATAACAAAGTGCATTTGATAAGTCATTTAGGCCTAGATAAGCCAAACCTAAGTTTAAATAAAAAAAGACAAAAACCTTTTAAGTACTAGGCATCAGCTAGGTTTGGATTTTTCTCTATTATAATATCCAGAATGATAATCGCTTCTTAAAATTGTTATTTCTTCAGCAGACTAAAGGCTAATTGTAAAATATTTAAAATACCTTTGCTTAACTGAGTGTTATTTTTTAAAGTAAATATTTGAGGAGAACCATCATTTTACCCAATTTCTTAGAAAATAAAAAAACAATAATACAAGTTAATGATGATTAATTTTGTTCAATCTAATTAAGACTATTAGTTTTCTCTTTTGTAGCCCCACTTCCCATTAGTATTATTAAATTATTATTGATTAAACTTCAATCTGTAATCAAAATATATAGCCTTAATTATTAGAATAAAATGTATAGAATAAAATTCTTATTATTTTTAATGTCAAATACGTCAACTTAAGATTAATTATTATATTATTAACATTTTTAACATTTTCAATAAACTATTCAATATAAATCAAATAAATTAATAAAATCTAGTTAAAAAGGTTAAGATTACATTTATTTAAGTTAATACATATATCTTAAATCTAGAGAGGTATATCATATCTTATAAAATCCAATAATAATAAATTATTTAAGAACACTTCTATCTAAAAATTCTTTGATTCCTTATAAATTAAAATAGTCTTAATAATCCTTTAACATATTAATTTCAGAATATGTAATAAAAATTAAGATAGAAATCCAAAATGAATTTTTGAAAAAAGACTTACTATCAAGTTTATCTAAAATTTATTAAAGATTTAAATACATAATCCCATATAAGTTTGTTTTAAAAATAATACTAACTTATATAATCATGAAGATATTATCATCATATAATTGAACTTAAATATTTAAGTAGTATTTTCCAACCAATTAAATTATCTTAACAAATGAAAATATTAGGTACTACTAAAAAGATGGATTATTAATTAAAGATTCTATTTTAATATGTCTTATTATTTAGATATTTATATAGATATTTATGATGATTTAAAGTTTATAATATACTTTTTTTTAAATCAAATAGTATCATTTATTAATATAATGTCAAACCTATTAATTGAATATTAAATAATAACATAATAAATAGAAATGAAATCTAATACTATAATAATGTTAGTTGAATAAGGAGAAATACTTCAGAATAAATAATTAATATGTCAAAAAATAATAAATTAATAAATGTGGCTAAATACTTAAGAAGGTTCTTTTATAAAGTTCAGAATTTCATTGAATATAGAATGTTAGTGAATTAGAAACATATATTATTTGTTGGAGGGAATCAAAACCCATTGACACCCATGTTATATTAATAATTTTATTAAAACTGGCAAATTGGACATTTGGGTTTATAATATGAATTACCTATGAAACCTAATTTCTTAGTTAATTAGGAAGATGATTTATAGAAATTGGTTGAATAAGCCAAAACACATAGTAATCATTATGATGCAATCATTATTTTGGAAGACATTAATAAGTAGATGAATTTTATATGTATAATCTCTATAAAGTTGAAGTCAACAGAGCTTTAATAGCATCTCATTTAGCAACAAAAATACTTGCATCAAATGGGATGCTTTGTTATACTGTAGATTCAAAAAGTTATGTTGAATCAAAATTACCATCTCAATAGCCAACAGTAAAAGTAATGAAGGATTGTTAGATTGCACATTTATGCACTAATTTAGGTTAGAGAGATGATTTAGAAACTGATTCTCTTGGTGTTGGAGCTTTAATCGATGATAATAAATTACATGATATTGTTAAATATTTAAAACTATGGGCTGATGGAATTAAAAGACCAGCAAATGAAACATTTGCTCATTTTTAATATAGTACACATTCTACACCTATTGTTTATCCTGAGTTATTATGATGATAAATATATATATCATAAATATATGATGATTTAAATACAAAGAGCAGAGATGCCCTTGTAGCTCAGTTGGTTAGAGCGCGAGTCTCATAATCTCGAGGTCGTGGGATCGACCCCCACCAAAGGCATATATTTTTTATTATTCAATACAACACATCATAAGAGATGTATATATTTTTTAGGATTATTTATTTATTAATATAATAATAAATGTAAAAGGTTTTAAGGTTTCACTTTAGTGTCTTATCAAGACCTAAATTACACATTTATGATAAGGGTGGTAAACATACTCCTTCAGGAATCAGAGCAACTATTCATGGTGGTACTAGTTTCTCAGGTATATACATGGGTGGTATGCTTGGAAATATTGGATCAGAATTAATATTTCCTCATAATCATCAGTAAGAATTTACATAGATCAAATAGATACAATTATGAAGATCATGTTAGAGAATTAAAAACAACATCAGGACCAGGATAAAATTGGCTTTTACATGATATGAATTATGATAATAAAGAAATGATAGAATGGACTATGAAAAATTCAAATGTTGTTGTAAATTTACTTGGACCTAGAAAACATCTTAAAAATAGAAAAGATTTTGAGTGGATTAATATAACAGTCCCAAAAAGAATAGCTGAAGCATGTGCTAAAAATCCTGGAGTAATCAGATTAATTCATTTTTCTGCTTGTGGTGCAAATCCTCATGCAGAATCCCTAGATCTCTAAACAAAATATATTGGTGAATAAGAAGTATTATATTTTTACTATAAATATAGGTCCTTAATGCTTTTCCAAATGCTACAATTTTTAGACCAAGTGTAATGGTTGGAGATAACGATGATTTTGCTTATCATTGGCAAGTTTAAAAGAAATACTTTCATAACTTTAATATTGTTCCAGATAATTGTCAAGCCAAAAGATAACCTGTAAATTATTAATTTAGATAAGATAGATATTTGTCTAAGATGTAGCTTAAGCTATGTTGAATGCTTTGAAGATGCCTGAAACAATAGGTTAAACATATGAATTAGGAGGACCTCATGTTTATACATTGTTAGAATGTTATGAGATGTTCCATAATATTGTATAAAGACCACCTAAATTGGCTCATATTGATAAATAATTATTATTGAAAATAGGTAAAATATATATATCTATATTAATTTTTTAGCCTAATATATTCCCAATTGGAAATATTTCAATATTGATTATATATTGAAACATGGTGATGATATGATAGTCCAATAAGGATCAAAAACTATTGATGACTTATGTGTCAGACCTTTATCATTAACTTAAGCTCTTCAAAATATCTTCTGGGATATCTAAGCTCGTTATGGAGGTTCAAGTGAATTGTATGAAAGATGAATTTCATATTTAATAAGTTATCAAAAATAATCATAATAATATCATTAATATTTCTGTAGTATTTGCATGAGATCTAATTCTGTTACAGGTTTGGTGAGATAATCAATCATGCCAGCCTCTAGACATTTCTATTTCTCCTGAAAATCTGAATATCCACTACAACCAACAATCAACTATTTTGGATTAATTTACAAGATTTATTTTGTAGTCTATATTCCATTCATAACTGGCATTTCTACATCCATAAATATTAGTTTATAACCCTAACAAATCTTATTACATTTCTTTTCTTAGATTTTTATAAGAGAGTCTTTTCCAGATGAAACATATTCTACATCAAATTATTATATAGTTTAAGCATATTTGTTCTATAATCCAATTAAAATTCTTTTGAAAGCATATCCATTAAAGCAATCATCATCAACAATTAAATAATGACAACATTATGGAAATGCATCTATTACAATTTTTTAACATTCTTAATTGAATGTAGTAATTTCATCAACTTCCTAATATTGAGGTGTAATTTATGGGATTTTAAAACTTGGCACTTTTTTTTTGTTTGTAGGTACTTCCATCATTATATCGAAGTAAAAGAAAGAAAAATGATTATTTTGATCTTTGTTGGATTCTATATTCAATCCTGAACAACCAATATTTTAGGCTATTTAATTACTAATAACCAAACCCAATCCTACACCTTATTCATTTAATTTTTTGCTTTCTTCTGAATTTACTTTTGAAAATGCTTTAAATAAAACTTATTGTTCCTCTTAACTGATACCTATTCCATCATCTTTAACTCCAATTCTCAATTTTTAATTTGCTTAGAGATCAACAATTACTTGTATTCTTGTACAAGTAAATTTAAATGCATTGCTTAAAAGATTAACAATTATTTGTTTGATTCTATTTTTATCAGAGACAATAAATTTAGGAAGAGATAGATTATAATCACAAACCAATTGCAAATCTTTTATTTTAGCTTTTAAAGCAAACATTTTAATTGAATCAGCTATCAATTTTTCTAAATTAAAAGGTACTTTTTGTATTTTGAATTTTCCATTCTTTATTTAGGCTAAATCTAATAAATCATTAGATAAATTCAACATATATTTTGAATTATCTAAAGCTGCTTATAAATCTTCAGTAATCTCTACATTTTTTTATATTACTTTTTATTGTAAAGCACATTCAATCATTTAAATAATACACCCTAAAGGTTGTCTATATTCATGACTAACAAATGAAAGCATTTTAGATTTTTATATATCATATTCTCTTAAATATCTAATTTTTTAACGATGAGTTACATCTCTACATACTATTAAAATGGTTTTCTCTCTTTATAAAGTGAGTTTGAATTCCATCAATCTATCAGTATCTTATCTTGAATAAGCAAGATTTTGAGATATCTTTATTGCTTTTTAATTATCTAAAAAGGAAAAATCTACATGAGTATTTACAGTTATAGAATCTGGTCTTCTTGTTTTAATAATCTTTTCTAATAAATCTTTCATACTAATAGTTTAATATTTTTCATGTAATTAAATATCATTTAAAGGTTATTTTAAAGAGCAAAACATTAAGTCTCTCATTGGAAATAGAGATTTACATAGTTTTGAATTTGTGAGATTTCCTAGTTTTTACTGGGCAGAATCTCTTCTTGAATTAAAATCTTCAAAATAATCTTAACTTTATATATGTAAAGAAGATAGGTTTTCCAATATAAAGAGAATGTCTATATCTTAATCTTTTCCAAAAAGTATTCTTGTAGCATTATTCATATATGATATTTTATATGTATGAGTTTATTCATCTAAAACATTTAAAATTATCAAACCTTCAGAGAAGTATTCCAAAGAATTATATATTATTTCAGGATTGATGTAATATTATTAAATGTTGCTAAAATCATCATAACCTTTTCTAAAGCTATCTTTAGATTGATCTGAAGGTTGATCTATAATTGATAGTGCTCTTTTGGCCAAACCATCCATCTTGTTTGCAGTTCCAGTATCCATTGGTGCAGTTGTTATCTATTATATTCTCTATACTTTCTTCTTCTCCTTTATTCTTATATTATCTAGAATTGACATTAATAAACAAAGAATTAATTGTGGAGATTCAGCAGTGAAATTGCTTTGGAAATGAGTATATACTTGTTAAAATATACTTCCAATAAAAAGAGTGCCATAATATAGAGACTAAGGACTAATTAAATAATATTAGGATGGTCCTATTTAGCTAAATAAGTCCTTTGAGATGTACTAACAAAATATTAATTATGCATAGGTGGTAACATTGAGATTTACAATATTCATAATTATCAAACAAATCACGTCTATTTAGATACATAGTATAGTTCCAATAACTTTGATCTACGAATTTGTATATCGCAAAATAAACATAGTTATTAAAATAATGCTTGCAATAATCAAGCAAAGCAAATTACTAATTTCATTTCGTATTGTATAAAAATAGATTGAATAACAAAAGGTTAGGCAATGTAATGTCAAGCCTCTTAAGAATTATCTGTCTTTCATTAATAAATTCCTTATATTACAAATAAATTATTAATATTAAAAAGCCAAACATTTTCATCATATAATATTTATGATTTATCTAATATTTCATACTATTCTTTGGATTCCATAAAATTAGATGTAATAATTACATTTATTCAAACCTAAATGTATTTATTATCCAATTAATTAATTTTAATTAGATCTACTATTTAGAGGTATAATTATTTTAAATATAAATTATAAAATTAGTCAATCTTTTGGTGATATTTATAGATTATTGGAGATTTTTATCAATTTTTAGATTTATATCATCTATAAATATTTATTCTTATGATCATATATAAATAATACTTTTGATATCTTATTTTTTTGTTTAGGTTTATTAAATGTTTATAATTGTTATTATAATTATTATGATAATAATAATAGTTATATAAATTTATAGTAAAAATATTATTTTAAATCAGTTGATATTATGTTAAATCATCAATTCCAATTAGAATCTGAATGTTGATTAGGAATGAAATCAAATTTTTTCTATGATCCTGATTAAAAGAAGTTTGAATTTGAATTAGTTTTAAAAAGCTATTTTATATAATAGATTGTTTTACATCCATTTCTTTTTTGTAAATTTCATTTTATTATCTAAATTACTCAATTTAATCATTTTACAATTCTAATGTTTGTAAATGATGATTTATTTCATTGCTTTGTGTTTTAACTAATTAATTCAATCTATCTATTTCTCCTTATAAAACAATGATTCTATTTTCTAATCCAAGTTTTGTCTATGTTAATTATGAACATGCTAATTATAATTATTCTCTATCTTTTTTAATTAAATTCAATTCTTCACTTAATTATTATATTCTCTAATCAATCAATTCTTTATTCTCCATATCTAATCTATTTCTATTGATATTTAATGTATCAATATCTCGTTCACTATGATATTGTTATATATTGAATACAATAAAGATCTAAAGGAATTCATCTATTATGTCATTAAAGTCATATTCTTTTTATAATCTATTTGTAATTTATTAATTTCCTCATCTTTAACTCTAATTAAATCATTCAATCTATTAATTTCAGTTTATTGTCTATATTCATTCCTTCTTAAATCATTAACACAATTTTCTAATCTAATTTATTTATTGCGTAACTCATCTAATTCAATAAGTTAAGATGTATATTAATGCTTAAATCGATCAGACTCTTACAATTAATTTTCAAATGATTAATTCTATAATAATATAATATTATTATTACTCTCTATTTAATAATTTCAATTTATATTTCATAATCTTTTAATTTAAGTAAATTCTATTCAATTTCAGTATTCCTTCTTTTTAAATCATCTATCTCTCTTTATCTTGATTCTAATTACTCTTTAAGTCTTTTAACTTCACTATCTAATCCTGATGATGAAATTTATTGATAATTAAATTCCAAATAATTAATTTTCTATTAAAGTGAATCATTTTCTTATTATTTCAAAATATTTTATTATTGCAATCTTTCAATCTCTTTATTTTAATGTACATTAATTAATTCTAATTCATTAATACGTGTTGTTTAATTCATATGATTCAGATCCTATTTATGATGTTTTTATCTCCAAATTTCTACTTCTCTAATTGCATCATTCAATTCCTCTTATAATTTTTAAATCTAATCATCAAATTATTTGTTTCTCAATTCAGAGCTATTTTATAATAAGATCTTTATTATACTTTTATTTAATTTATGTGAAATTCTAATTGTAAATTCTATCACATTCTGCTTTCTATTTATCTATTTATTATTATAATTAATTTTCAATATTTTAATACTTCTATTTTAATTACTCATGTTCATTAAATAATTGATTATATTTAACATCCTTCTCATTAATATGAATTTATTATTGTTATATCTTTTACATTTGCTACTCATTTTATTTGAGTCTTAGTATCAATTCCTATATATAAATTAAAATATATTATTACATTTTTTTCCAACTCTGCCTATTAAGATTGATTAAAATAATAATCGCATTATTCTTTTAACAATCTAAGGTTTGGGTCATTAACTGACTTAAGTCTTTCTATTTCTTATTATTGTTATCTAATTTTTTCATTGAGCTGTTAAAATTAATCATTTCTTTATTCTTATTCAATTTTCTGTCTGCATATAAAAGATTCTTATTCCACTTATTTTATCTTCCTTTAAAACTCTTGATCATATTATTATTATTAAGGTGTCTAGAAACTTGGTACTGAAGTATAATGATTAAGAGGCACTTCAACTACTTCATATATTTTAGGTTTCAGAATTGTTTTCATCCCAAGAGATGGTTGAATATTGCCCATTACTTGGAATCTGGACACTGGAGATACTGATTTATTGTGAGGTCCTTATATTATCTAATGTCTTATTGGACTTGCATTATTATACATTATTTTAATGATAATAATTTTTTATGTATGCATTTCTCTATCTATAGGAGGATCTACACTAATGTTAACTCATTTATTCTTTTTTGATAACCTTAAAGTATTTGCCTAAAGAATAGTTGCATGTCTCTCAATATCAGATTGTTTTTATGCTTTCGGATTGCTCTTATATGTTGAGCCAACTTTTGATGGTTATGATGTCACTAGGTGAGTTAATCAATATTATTTAGATGCACTATCTAAGGAGCCTTAACTTAATTTGCAACTATTTGTGCTTTTGTTTGGAGTACATCAATATCATATTTCCTTTATGTCTCAATCACAAGAGGATAAAGGGAATTGATTTATTTTGAAAGATATGAAAAATTGATAATTGGGATAGGTAGCTCTCGAATACTTATATATAGGTTTTGCTGTTCCTTTATTAATGGCTACAATTCCTTTGTTTTTTCAATCATATGCACCTACACCTGCAAAAGTACCTGCTACTTGTTCAATTAGTTCAAATGATGAAACTAAAACAATTGAAAAGAATAGAAGCTTAAGTTTATATCTAAATCTTACTTTATTCTACATACCATTACTATCCTCAGTATTAATATCTGTCTATTTCTTATTGAGAACATATTTTAAGACAAAAAGAATAAAGAGTTAATACGAACTATTAAATAAACAAATAAACATTTAATTGATGTTTGCTCGTAATTTAATACTCTATCCATTGGCATTATTTATTTGTTGGTTGCCATCTCAAATAGTGTTTTTAATATTTGTATTCAATAATAATTGGATTGAATAAATTCAACAAGACTACTTTATTCATCAAACTGGACCTTATTAATACATAAGACTCGTATAATATGGAGCTAGTTTCTTGTAAGGATTCTTGAATAGTCTTGTGTACTGGTTCAATAGTTATCAAATGAGAAAGAGATTGACTTCCTTAGAGAGGGTACACTTAGATTACTAAAAAACTAAAACCTTTTTCTCAAACAACAATGATTAAAGTGAAAACAGAAGCAGTTAATTATCTAATAGTTTCGAAAATCTTTAAGATATTTGATATTTTTTATTTTTATTTATATTTTTCATACTCCTTAAAACATATTAGTCATTTGAATATTTCAATCAAATAGAAAAACTAATGTAAATTATATAGTATTACTATTGAAAAAGTGCAGAAAATAGTTCAATAATAAAGGAATTTAAGTAGTTTCATTACTAAAGAATCTTTGTTTTGAACCTTTGATTTTATTTATTAGACTATCAAGAAATTTAAAAGAAAATTGAATAAATATGTTAAAATAAGAAACTGCATTACTGCATTATGTATTTCATTTAATAAATTAGATAACATGACTGATTAATAGTCAAAATTGAAATCTTCCTAAATTCTTTTCATATATTGCTATTTTATATAGTTCGTTAGATGCAAAGAAATTAGAAAATAATGAAATGCAAAAATGAATTTGAGTGAGGGTATAAATAATTGATATGTAAATAAAATACAGTATTTTAGATTATTTAGGAACTTATATAATTCTCTATGTATATTATAAAACTTAGAGTTGATGTTACAAGATTCTTAATTTATAAAGAAAAAATTCATTTTTTACGGAGATTAAATCTTTTTTATTCAAGTAATATATAATCTTTAGAAACATTTTTTAGATTTTAAGTAAGAGAAATTTACACAGAATATAATTTATTTTTCAAAAGGAATAAATAAAAATTTAGAAATTTAAGAATAAATATTAAAATAAATATGAAATTTATATTAATAAAGTTCTAGCTATAATTATATACTATTAAGCCTATTTTTTTATAGGCTTAATAGAATTATTTTCTTTAAATTCCAAATATGAATGTCAATTTGAATATATGAAATTACATCCAAAGTATATTATAAGGCTATTTTTTAAAAAGAGAATTAGATTGCTAATATAAAATTACAGAAAATTAATACAATTAGTAATTTAAGAATTAAAAATAAAGATTCACATTACAAAAGTGAGGATTTTGTAATAAACGAAAAATATGAAGTTCATTAATTTTATTAACTGACATAATGTTTAAGAATAAGAATTTACCATAACAACCATTAATATGTTAAAAGAATTCAAAGAAATTGCTTGCTTTGCTAGAATTAGATAGATAGGATCAATATTTCAATTATATTTAAATAATGTCTAATGCTTTGTTATTTTAAATCAATTAGAATAATAAGAAGGGAAAATGTAATCAATTCAAAAAATGATAAATTAGATTATTTGGCTTGGATTTATTTAGTGAAACTTCTATTCAAGCTGTTCTTACAATTTAAACAGTTTAAATTGATTTAATAATCCTATTGTTATATTAATTAGTTCTAGAAGAATAGAATTTAAGGATATATCAATTATTAACAATATAAATTTGAGAAAAGAATGAAATTTTCAATTCATTAGACATAATTCAAGAGTATTCTGATTTTCATAGAGAAGATTTATTAGATTTGTCAAATGTATTAGATTATTGAATATATATTAGATAATTAAAGTGAATATTGTCACATATTTAGAATTATTTTAGATTTATGGCAAATGATGCTTATTATTTAGAATTATTAGATAATTATCCAGAGTAATCAAACTACATGAACTATTTGAATGATTTACACAAAAATGTATTAATCAATCAAATTTATTCTGCATGATTATGAGTATTTAGAATAATACATTTGAGTGATTTAGTTTATATGAAACCAAATTTAATGTTTTTTAATTATATGGTAATATTATAGTTGAGATGTGTAAAAAGTTTAATAAGCATCAAATCTTTAAAAGAGTTTTCTTGATGATGATTTTATGCTTCAAATGGCTTGTTTTTTGTTAAATTTTAGAAGTATAAATGTATGGAACAGACTCTTTTTTGAGAAACATAAACCTAAATTATATGTAAAATATATACCCTAAAGTTCGAAAAGCCTTTAAGAATTCATCATTTTTAGTGAATTATAGTATGTGAGTGAGGTTACAGAGTTTGTTTTTGACAGTTTGCATCAAATCAAGAAATTCTTATCCTTTAGTTTCTCCCAACAATTTATATATAATGAATTGTTATCTTAAGGTGTAGGCAATTAGAGCTTTAGTGAAATTTTTATGGAGATTAGTTGAGTCCAATACTTCATGAATTTTAGTATTTGTTGATGCTTTCTTTTTCTTGATTACTATTTCTTTCTTGGAATTCTTTTTAATTTCTATACTCTTTTCACCCTTTTCTATTTCTAATTCTTCTGTATCATAATTCAATTATTAACTATTAGTAGGTTGATTGTCTGGTAATGAAGTCAATATAGGCTCAATGTGATGTTCTTATTGATTTAAAGTCTAGATTGGAAAATAATAGACTGGACAAACAACTTAAGGCTAATAGAATGGATAGTAGTAATAAGGTTATTAAGAATACAACATTTTTAGGTTAATATTAACATATGTGATTGAACAATATAATTTGAATACCACGCTAACAATGGATTTTGCGTTTATTTTTTTATAATTAATAAAATTATCATCAAATTAAGCCCATTACTAAATGATAAATTTTATGAATTATATGAGAAAAATAAACAGATATAAAATATCATAATAATAATTAAATGATAAAATCTCTAAAATTAACATAATAAAATTTATATGGAAATATTCATACAAGAATAATTACAATCTTATTTGATTTCTTTCATAATAAATAAGGATAAAAAATTAATTGATATGTTATTAAATGATGTAAAAAGATTAATGATTATTGATGAATTCAATCCATATTTCATTCAGCAACTTCATTAGCTCCCTCTCCTTCTTTTACTCCTTCTGCTTAACGTGCCTCTTCTGCTAATTTTGCTTCTTCTGCTAATCTAGCTTCTTCTGCTAATCTTGCTTCTTCTCTTGCTTATTCTTCTTCAATTCTTTTTCTTTCTTCTTCATCTCTTCTTTCTTATAACACTCTCGCAGCTTCATCATAATCTTCTTTTGTTATATCTACTTTATTTATTCTCACCAAATGAAAATAAAACATTAAAATTTCTTATTTAAAATTATCTGCACCCATTTCATCTACTATTGGATTGGCTAACATATTAAGAGTTGTTATGGTTCTAATTTTGGCAATTTTCTTAAAATCATCAAATTTAGATAATTAATTCTCTCTGAGATTAAGATAATATAATTATGGAAATTCAATAACAGGAGTTTTAATTTTTGTAATTTTATTTGCTCTTACATTTAATTTTAATAAAGATGGTAGATTATTTAATGATCTAAAATCTTTAAGTTCATTTCCTTATAAATAAAGTTCCTATAAAGATTATAAATAAATAAAATACTTTTAATTATGGCATATTTGCTAATCCATCTGTTGATTTTAATTTATTTTTACCTAATTCAAGAATTTCAATATTTTAATGTCCTTCAAATTCATTTGCAATAGTAATTTCATTTTCTATTAAATTCAATCTTCTCAATCTCTTTAATGATAGTGTTACAAGAGATTTAATTTTATTTGTAGAGAGATTTAAATATTACAAATATGGAAATGCTTCAGGATCTTAAAAATATGAAAGTGTATTAATCTCATTTTTTGAAGCATTTAATGAAACTAAATATCTAAATGATAAAATAATTATATATACTTTAAAGGTAATAAATTAGTAATATCTACAATTCTATTTTATGAAATATCAATATATCTTAGATTCAAATGATTAATCTAAAATAATCTCTCAATGTCTTTTTCTGCAAGATTTAATTTCACATATGCATAAACAGTTTGAGTTTTATTCAATCCTGAAATTCCTTATAAAACTAATTCATTAAATTTTGCAGTGTCTTCTTTTAATTTAGCTTCATATTCTTCTCTAGCAATTCTTTCTTATTCTGCTCTTTCTTCTCTTTCTTTTCTTTCCTGTTCCTCTCTTTCTTCCCTCTCTTTTCTTTCTTATTCTTCTCTCTCTAATCGTAACCGTCTAGTTTCTTCATCTTCTTCAGGAGGCTTTTCAGGCTCTTCTTCTTATGGTTATTCAGGATCTCTGTCTTAAACTTCATTCTATTCTGGTGAAGGCTCTAAATCATTTTATTATTCTTGATTATCATCATTTGGTTATTCAATTTATTCTTCACTCATATAAATAATTAATTATTATTTGTATTCAAAGATTAAGTAAATTTAGAAGATATCTTATATATATATATATATTAATTAAATCATCTAATTTCACACATGGAAAATAGTGAGGATATATTATTTGAAACCTAACTAGGAAATATTTTCCAAAATTTAAGTGTCTCATCTCCAGATCCTGTCAGAATAGTTGATTCATCTATAAATAACTATAAAATTTAATACCTGGACTTGCTGACAAATAAAGAACTCTTTCAGAATGACCTTCTAATTAATTAACTCTTTTCATAGTAGGATATTACCATAAACATACTAAATTCTTTTCATAACCATGTGTAGAAACTAATTCATTAACAATTTTTGAAAATCTTAATTTACAAACCTGTGAATCACAATTTATACTAGTAATTTATTAATTTGTTAATGAACTATGAATTTTTATTGTTTTATCTTAATTTCCACCTCCAGTAGCTAATATACCACATGAATTAGGATTCCAAGCTAAAGCTCTTATAGCAGCTTTATGAGATTTGATTTCCCAAGAAATATATTAATTATTATTATTATTATTACTATTACCTCCTCTCATTTACCAAACAAATACTTTATTATCATTACCACCTGATGCTAATTATAATTCATTTCCATCAAAAGTGACACCACATACTTCTTAAGTATGTCCTAATAATTAAAATATTTAATAATTTGGAACTCTGACATCACATATATTGATTGTTTTATCCTTACTACCATAAGCAAAAATATTGGGATTGGCCCAACTAATAGTACTAATTCTTTTATTAGATAGATTCATAGAACCATTGAATGAATTTTTATTATAATCCCAGAGTTTTAAAGAACCATCACAACATCCAATTGCTAATATTTATCCATTTGTATTCCATTACAAAGATGTATAATATGCAGATAATTCATTATTGTTAATGGGTTCTGCTAATTAAAATACTTTTGAATTGTCAACATTATATAAATACACACATCTTTATAAACCAACTGCAATAAGATTATTTTTTCCCCAATGAAGTGTGTCTTAATAGAAATCATCTTCTAATCCAGGTGCATCTAATACTTTGATTGGTAGAGTATCTATTTTTCTTTTAGGTGTTTCTAATTATTTAGAAGATTGAACTTTGTCGTGTTTTTATTTATTGAAATTCAAAATACTCACATGTTTATTTTCATCAATTTCTAAGACATTTTCACTTAAAAGTTCTTCATATTAATTCTCTTCTTCAATTTCAAATGGCTATATTTGTTTATTAAATAAATTTCTTGAAACATTTAATGGTATATATCTATCACTATATGGAGATGCTTGAATACAATGATCAGGAGTGTTTTATTTATGATTGCTTTTTAATAAAGATTTAGGTGTTTTCCAAGGATTGACATTTTTTGGAGAATAAAAATCGTTATTTTTAGGTGATTGTATAGTAGTAGATTAATTAGTTTTATTTTACTTTTTGTCTTTAGTTGGTGTTGTTAATTAATACTTTTTGGGAGTGACATTCTATTATTATTGCGGTATCTATTCTTATTACATTTGAATTTAAATAATAATAATTTATTAACAATAAATTGCCACACTAAAATTGAGCTTAAAAAAACAATAATATTAATCATAATGAATCAATTCTCATTTTAATCTATTCTATAACCTTTTCATCATATAATTCATCATCCCTAAAGTTTCTATAATCATTCTATAAATATTATTAATATATTAAATACTTCAAAAGCATTTCTAAATTGATTAATTAATTAACTGGTTTATTATTAATCTTACTTAAGTTTTTTGAGTGCATCAAATAAAATTAAAATCTATTATATTAATTATAATTTATAAGTGTGAATTTGTTCTATTTGTAATTTCTAATAAAGAGGATTATTTAAAATAAGAATATGATCCTTATAATGTGTTACATATATCCTAACCAAATCAATTTCTTTTATATCATGACTCAATAAAATTTCAAAAAATAACCATGTAGTCAATTGAGTAACTTATTATTCCTGACATACTTTAGTATTAATTAATTCAATAGTTTCAGTCATTTTCTATAATTGAATGTATTTCTAATTATTAATTAAATTCTCAAAAAGTAATTTCATCTAAAATTTCTAATATTATATAAATACTTATCGTTTAAATACATCAGTTGGCCATTCATAAGATTCTTCAAAAGCACTAAAAATAAAATTGATCCATAACTATTCAACATTCTAATTAGTGCATAATTATATTCCTTCAGAATATTCCAAGTAATCCAAACATAATAATTAACCAAAATAAATATTATTATCTTCAAAGAATTGTAGAATAATTTTGCAATCCAAAATTTCTATAAGAATTTTCCTCTTTTCTGTATGATAACCTAAGTTAATTATATATATATATATACTTTGATTTTCACCTTCATTAGATAGAACAAAATCATACATAATATCTTACAAAAACAATTATTTACTTAAATTTTATGCTTATTTTTCAATTTCATTAATATCAATACCTTAAGCATTCTTTTAGAAAGTTCTAATGAATTCTTATGCCTTGTTAACATATCTTAATCTCTTTTTTATGGGTAATTTAATTTGAATATCCTCTAAATTCATTTCTGGACATTAAGTTAATGAAAATTGTGCTAATTTTAACAAGATTTATATCAATTATGGATATACTTCATGATTACCTTTAACAGCTTTTGCTAAGAATTATTTCTTTTACATTTATAATTTCTCTAAATCATTACTACATTATAAATCCATTTCTTAATTATAATCAATATATTAAATGAATTCTTTTAGCTAATGTTTTAATATACTATTAGCTATTGCTTCAGTTGGTTTAATTAATTAAAATTAATTTAATAATTGAAGTGATTCAATTAAAATTTCTTTAGTTTATGCTTTAGTTAATCCTTTTGGAGGATTTAAATAGTATTTAATTAGATTATTAAATTAATCAATTAAATCCATTATGCAATTACAATATTCATCACTAGATTAATCTTTTTCTTATTATTAACATTTTTATGCTAAATATTACACATAGAATTTAAAAGTAGCAAAAGGATACATATAATTTTTAAAGCATTATGTTAAATAAGAATGTTCAATGAGTATAGCTACTTCTTCTATTAATTTCAATGCTTCTAATAATTAGTCTTATAATTCAGGTTATAAATCCTTATAATATAGAAAGATCTCTCGTTTATCAAGTACTTTATCAATAGTAATTTAAGGAGTTTTGGATAATTTTAAGATTCTCTTAATTTTCTCATTAATTTATTCATTTGGATTAAGTTTAATCAAATCTATTAAGTAGTATAATATTTTTACTTTTTTGTGCAGCAAATGTTAGAATTTCATCAAATAGATTTTAGACTAAGCTGATTTTGAAATCTGCAATAGTAAAGAAATCAGGAAAATGATGATTCATATATTAAGCAGTTTCTCTAAACTTTGTTTTATCACTTTTAATAATATGTATCATTAATTATTTTAATGTTAAATTACCTATAGTTTCACCACAAAGAACACTTTGGATTGACAATTCAAATAGTTAAGGTTTATTTAAATAACTGTTTATTATATTTCTGATTCCTTATAATTCACCAAAGAAGTAAATCAAAAATTATAATAATTATTTGATTTTCTTACAAAAAGAATAGAGTACTTTCATTTAATTCTATAAATAGATATAATTATTTTTACATATTCTACATCAACATTAACTGTAACAGCTAATGATTAATCTGAATAATTGGTACTTCTTGAAATATCTAATCTAGTACTTTATTCAAAAGTTTCATAAATGTATTTACTAAATCCATTTTTATAATTTTGAAATTAATTTTATTCTTCAACTTATAAATCATTTCTTTAACTTTTAATTTATTAAAAATAATTAGGTTCATTTTCAAATAATTTAATTAATTTTTCAATCTATTTAAATACAGTTTGTAATTATTAAATTGAATAACTTTCAATAGGTTTATTACATTCTAAATTATACACTTTTTCATTTATGAATTTCTTGGTTGTAAGTGGAGCAAGTATTTTCCAAATTAAAGATGTAGTACTTGATACTTTTTTAGATTTTTAATTTCTATCTTCATTAATTAATGAACGTTTAATTAAAGCAAAATATGCTTTGAGTGCTTTCTCTTTAATAATAACTCCTTTGCGTACATATACTTAACCAGTAACCCAATTTGGAATCTTTTCATTGTCATCAAAAAACTTTTGAATATTTTCTGAATAATGTATTCTTTAATATGCTTTCTATAAATCTAATTAATATTAATGTTAAAGTTCAACATTAATATAAAAATTCTATTCTTCTTGAATAATGATTTATAAGATTTAAGCACAACTTTCCTCAATTCCAAATGCTCTAACCAATTTTTCAATTGGAAAATCTGCATCCACTTAATCAATGAAATCATAATGTGTTACTTTGATAGCTGTAAAGAAACAATCTATTGGTCTCATTCTAACAATGAATTCAACTGTATGATCAGCAATACAAATGTAATGTTCAGGAAGATTATAGAGTTAAGATTCATTTATATCAAAATGATTGAATAATCTATTAACAGTCATTTTACCTATATTATAGATATTTTTTGGAATGTCATGACTATTTTAACAATGAAGTTCAATTTTTTCTATTGCTTCTTTTGATGTATCTCTATATATAGAATATTAGATCTAATTATATGAATTATATTTAGTTATTTATTGTTCTAAATTTCTTAAATATTAAATATGAGCCATATCAAGAAATTATGCAATAATATAATTATCTAAATGAAACAATGATAATTATTCTTCTTTATAGACTGATTTCAAAATTTAACTTTGTTGAATTGTTAACATCTCTTTTTATTTATATTATATTCTGCTCTCATCTAAACATACTCCATATGGAATTATTGTATCTATTTTCATATAAGGATTTTTGATTTAGATTATTTAGAATTCTGCTTTCAATTTAATATATTGTTATTAAGTAATATTTGAATTTGAACTTCTTTATTTAAATTGATTTATTTCATTGATTGTTCTATCTTATAATTCAAATAATAAATGTAGTTGTAATTAGTCTTTAGTTGTAATAATTAATACAATCTTATTTGTTTAGTATTGTCTTTCAAAAAAAGCATGATAAAATTATAGATTATGATAATCAAATTAATTTTTGAATTCTAAATTAGAATTATATAGATAAGATTATTTAATTGTGATTATTTCTTAAAAGAGTTCTCCTTGTAATCCAATATCATATATTGTAATAAATGTATCTTCAACATTCTCATTTTTATCTAATTTCTCAAATAAACCATAACATATATTAAATTCTTCTTATAATTCCAATTAAATTAATCCTTATTATGATGACCAAGGAGTCAAATCTTTGAAAATTCGATTGAATTATCTTTTTATTTTCTCTTTTAATTAAATAGTATAATTTTAAGCTGTATCAATAGATTTACATGTAAGAGTACCTGAACTACCTCCATAGATTAAATTATCTTAATAAAACATGATTTAATTTATTATTTCTCCATTAACATTGAACCCTTATTTTAGCAATTAAAAATTATCTAAATCTGCTGTAAAAGTATATAAATATATATAGAATTCTGAGGCTATTGCCATAGTCCATATATCATCTACTTATTAAAATCCAACGGCTGTAATATACTCTAGATTATTAATCTATTGTTCTTTGAATCTGAATGGAAATTTGTACTTCTTATCATCCTACAATTAATTAGAAATATTTACAGTATTGTAATAGTAATTTAGATCATCTTACAATGGGGAATAGAAATAGAATAGCATTGTTTTTTAATTCACCACAAAGTAAAGAAAGCCATCTTAAATGCCACTTAAAGAATAATTATCATTTATTCTTATCTGTTCATGATGAAAATTAACAAAATGTCCTCTATATAATGGAATTGCTAAGTGTATTATGAATATATACATAAATTATTTGGGAGATGAACAGTTTATTGATTTCCAAAAAGTGTGTTAATAGGATTGAAAGATATTGAAGATTTCTTACTCTTTAAATCCTAGAAAAGTACTTATTGTGTTTAAGTCTTTGGTTTTGCATGTAACATATTTATTTTAATTAAATATAATCAGGAATGATGAGTTTTACATGGCGCCTTTTCATAATCTAATATGTTTCGCATCAAATATGAGACAGTTGGACACTCATCCACTTAAATATCATAATTATTCTTACTTGAATCATACATGTCACTTTATATACTGAATCTTTTAGTTTATGATTTACTTGCTTCACCATCACTAGCTTCTTTTATTTCTATTATAGTTTTTAGAGTTGGTAATCCTTAACGTTAATTATGAGGTTTAGCTTTTTATTTAGCATTAACAAACCATTAATGTGTTAAAGCATCTGACAAAGAACAATTAGATAATAATTTTTTGATTAAATCTAATTGACTTGATGAAAAAACATGTACATATTATGAATCTGGACTTTTCATCTCTAAATAAAATATTAATATTAAACATGTTAAGACTTCTATGGTTTCATCTATCAATTCATATTTTATTACTAATTCCTTCATATACTTTTAAAACAATTTATAAGGGTCACTTTTCCTCTATTATTATTAATGTGCATACTTTCAAATCTTGATTAATTTTTGTATAAAATGTAATAATATAAAGTAGAACTCCTAATTGATATAGATCAGAATGTATTCCTGGTATTTAATTTTCTTCAAAACCACTCCAATAATATTTATTTAGATTGACCCATTTCAAATATTCACTTATATCATCTCCTTATTTAAATGCCTATCAATTATATTTATCCATTTACATTGTATATAAATCCAATTACTGCAATTTCTAAAGATTGACTTTCTCTATTGATTAATATGTTTAATGCATTGATATTCCCATGATATGCCTAATGCTCATTCAAATATCGTAATAAAAGTAAGATCTAGTAAATCAACTAAACTATATGTATTCGATCATACTGTTGCTACTTATACTTCCATGAATTATATATTCTCAAGTAAGAAATTAAAGACTGGTTCTCCCTCAAACCTTTCAGTGATCATGACATAATTATTGGTATCTTCATAAATCCTCCTGATTTTGAGAATCGAATGATTTTTGCTCTCATGTAATAATCCAAAAGTTTCTTCAAGGTATGGTTATTGTTTGTTTATAATATAGGCAGAAAACTATTATCGATTCTTTAGATATTTACATTTTTCTTACTTTCTTTTTAATGATAGAGTAGAAATCTTAGAATAATTATTCTTATAACCGATATTTGACTAGTAAGTTTTTCATTATGCAAAATTGCTTAATCTAATTATACCAATGTTTCTGAATATCAAAATTACTAAAGAATAGCATAATATCATTCCCAAGTAGAAGAAGATAACATTTTTTATTATTGTGAATCAATTATTTCCTCTTTATCTAATATTATGAAAGTTGAATGTAATGAGTATCTATTTTAAGAACATTTGGATATAAAGTGCATTATTCTTTAATTATTACCCCATCAAACATTACAGTTAAACTCTAATTTAGAAGTATTTATGTAAGTCTGGGCTGATGATTCCATTCTTTTTGATGCTAACTCGTGATTAAACTGGAAGCCAAATTTTTAAATTCATTATAGTCGAAGCTATCTTCTCTACGATGTCCAAATTCATTGGTATTAATTTTTTAAGGTCTGGATATGAAATTCTGCATTTTAATTAATATTTATTTTTTTGTGGCAATCAAATAAAAAAATAATTGAAATTGTAATCTAAGATCGCATTTGTTGTAGAGTATTATACAATGTTAACTACTATTCCAAATTCAAATTTCATTAAATATCATTAATATTAATACATTAAGTAATCAACTATTGGATTATTAGTTCATTAAACAATAGAATTAATGGGATATAGTATAATTAAAATCAGATTTAAAGTTAAAAGATGTACTTCTTCATTTTAATTATATAACACATATTTTTTAAGAAAAGAGAAGTTAGTAATTATAAAATTTATTGAAAGTTCTTTTTAAAATGAATTATTTATATATATATAGTATATAGATATGATGATTATAGTAATGATTAAATTTGAAGTTGTTATATAAAATAAATTATAAAAAATTAGAAATCTCACATTATATTTAAGAAAATGAGAAGCGAATATATTAAACAATAAAAAATATTAAACAATAAAAATTAGAGAATAAATTAATTTCTTGCTTTATTTTCAGAATTGTGATGATCATTTATATAAATTTTATTAAAAGATATGAATAAATAACGTAAGACACAATTGGAAGAGTTATAGGAGAAGGAAAGTAGCTTTGGTAGAGTGTTCAAAGTAGCTGGTCCATGTAAATTGTTTTCTTTAATTTAATAGTGGTTGTTGCAGAGAAGATGGCTGGTGCTAAGATGTTTGAGTTAGTGAAAGTAGGTTGGGATAAGCTTGTTGGTGAAATCATTAAATTAGAAGGAGATAATGCATCAATTCAATGTTATGAAGATACATGTACTTCTTATAAGTAAATATGATTAGCTGGTTTGACTGTGGGTGATCCTGTGATGAGAACAAAATCCCCTTTATCAGTTGAATTAGGACCAGGTATTTATTAAATAAATATCTAGGTATTTTAACATAAATTTTTGATGGAATTCAAAGACCATTATAAGTCATTGCAGATTAATCAGCTTCCATTTTTGTGCCTAGAGGTGTTGATATTCCAGCTTTGGATCAAGATAGAGTTTGGGAATTCAAACCATCTTCATTAATTAAAGTAGGTTCAATGATCTCAGGAGGTGATATCTATGGATCAGTCTTTGAAAACAACCTTTTTGATGAACATAAGATCTTGACAGCACCTAGAGTGTAAGGTAGAGTCACTTATATTGCACCTGAGGGCAATTACACATTAAAAGATAAAGTTATTGAAGTAGAATTGGATGGAAAGAAACATTAATATGGAATGAGTCATTTCTGGCCTGTCAGATAACCTAGACCTATTATTGAGAAATTGTAAGGTAATACACCACTCCTTACTGGATAAAGAGTACTTGATGCACTCTATCCATCAGTATTAGGAGGTACTTGCTGTATTCCAGGAGCTTTCGGATGTGGCAAAACTTGTATCTCTTAGGCACTCTCTAAATATTCAAATTCTGAATGTATCATTTACGTTGGATGTGGAGAAAGAGGAAATGAGATGGCTGAAGTGTTAAGTGAATTTCCAGAATTAACTATTTAAATGAAAGGTAAGGAAGAAAACATTATGTAACGTACTTGTTTGGTTGCTAATACTTCTAATATGCCAGTCGCTGCTAGAGAAGCTTCTATTTATACTGGAATTACATTAGCTGAATATTTTAGAGATATGGGTTTTAATGTATCTATGATGGCTGATTCTACATCAAGATGGGCAGAAGCCTTGAGAGAAATCTCTGGTAGATTGGCAGAAATGCCTGCAGATTAAGGTTATCCTGCTTATTTGGCATCAAAATTAGCTCAATTCTATGAAAGAGCTGGAAGAGTTAGATGCAGAGGTTCACCTGATAGAGAAGGATCTATTACTATTGTTGGTGCTGTGTCACCTCCAGGAGGAGTAATTTATAATATGTTATTATCTTTAGGATTTCACAGATCCTGTTACTACTGCAACTCTCACAATTGTTTAAGTCTTTTGGGGATTAGATAAGAAATTAGCTTAAAGAAAGCATTTTCCATCTGTAAATTGGACCATTTCAAATTCAAATTATGAAAAAATATTAGAACCATATTTTAATTCTTTTGATCCTGAGTTTACTCATTTAAGAGTTATGTTCAAATAAATCTTACATGAAGAATCTGAATTGAATGAAATTGTATAACTAGTAGGAAGAGACTCACTTTCAGAAGATTAAAAGTTATCTTTGGAAGTAATTCTAAAGAAATATTATAATAGATTGCCAAAATTATAAGAGAAGATTTCTTACAATAAGATGCCTTTAGTAAATATGATTATAATTGTCCACTTTACAAAACAATTGGTATGATGAGATGTATAGTTTCCTTTTTCGAATGTGGTAAAAAGGCTATCCTTGAATCTTCAGGAGATGCCAAAATTACTTGGAATATCATATTGAATTAAACTAAACCATAATTTGTCAAACTTTCATAAATGAAATTTGAGGTAAAATGTTTATTATATATATTTTAGGATCCAAAATAACCAAAATAAGAATTAATGAATTATTTCACTAAATTTGTTGATGAAATTAAATCAGCTTTTAGAAATTTAACAGATAAATGAGTATTATTAATATGACATAAACAAATTAGTATTCAATTCTTATATATATATATATCATTATTTTAATAAGATTTTCTAATATACAAAATCTATTGATATATTAATATATATATATAATATAAATCATCATAAAAAAACTAAAAAAATTAGATTGAAATTTTAAAGATTAATTATTTATATTAATTCATCACTATATTTTTGACATTCTTATATAATAAAAAGTTTCTATTATAAAAAATATATAAAAATGTTTTGAAATGAATTAAATATGTGACATTAAATCAGATTTTTCAATTATACCCAAATGAATAACTGGAATAAAAACAAAAACAATAACTATCAACAGTTTAATAGCTGTTATCTTAATCTACTATTTTTGGTTTTGAATACATTCATATAAATTTGTAAAGTTTTTGTTAACTTAATTTATAAAGTCAATCTATAACCATTTACATGTTTAGTATAACTATTTAAAATACAATTAATTTCACACTTCATCAAATCTAACCTTCTTTTAATTCTGATTAAAATTAGCCTTATTGCGAAATAAACTATATTTTGTTTCCTTTTTCAATATAGTCTTTTTAGATCCAAGTGAAATGATTTCACATGAATCCCTCAATACAGGTTTATCTTTAACAGCATTTTCAGTTAATTGAATTGAATCGACTCTATCCATATCTCCTGTTAGTTCCTAAATTTCTAAGCTACTTGCAGCTATTCGATTATACTCTTTTACAGTATCATCTATCATTAAAGATCCATAATTATTGAAAGATTGTATTCTCTCATTTTCCTTATTTTAATTTGTACTGCTTTAACCACTATTTTTATTTAAAATTGATTCTTTCTTCTTGAATCTTATATTTTATTGTTCTTATAGTTCAAATTTTTCTTCACTTTAAGCTTAGCAACAACTTGAACCCATTAGTTTTAATTTTAATATAAATTATATTTCCCTATATATAATTTCAAATGTATTTAGGCTTTTGCTTCAACATTCTACAAGTTAGAACCAACTTAATATTAAACAAAATTTCATATTGCTCATATTTTGAGAAGAAATTATTTATAAAAAAATATGTACTAAAATCTAAAAAATTAACTTAATGTAATATAAAAACTCTAAAATAAATTAATAAGTGAGGAAAAAACTCAGCATATGTATACTTTAATAAAATTAATAAAATACCCTTAAAATATTGTATTTAAATAGTGCTCTTCTGAATAAGAATGTTTAATATCACCTATTATGAAAAAGGATGACATTAGATTCATGATTATCAAAAATGTTATTTTCAAATTTCATTCGGGGGGAAATACTAATTCTACCTTATTTCTCATTTCTACATACCTATTTAATTTGTTTCTTAATTTTTCTTGGAGTTGTCTTAAAAACTAAAAAATTTTCCAAAAAATTATACTTTATACAATCCATCTAATTAAAATAATTACATAAATTATGCATGAATTAAAATATTATCTTACAATAAATTATATACAATTTCTATTTGAAATATATAATATATTTACTGTGCAATTTCATAATCTATAAATTGACTTTGTAATTAATTGGGTATGATCTATTTGATAAGAAATTAGGAATTTATCGGAAGGTAGAAAAATGCCTTTGACTAGAAAAAAAATTGTTTGTTATTATAAATGCCTATTATATTCTAATAATTATTAAGTAAATCTATTAATGTTGATTTTTTGTAATTTAGAAGAAAATAAATATAAGGAATTAGTTATACTAAATAAAAACATTTATATCATAAAATTAATTTGATGAATCTTCTTATTTTAGAATTTACATACAAAAAAAATAGATTTCCATTCAATTTAATATAAATCTTGGGAGTTAAAAAAAATTTAATTAATTAAATTAATTATAATTCATTTACAAAAAATTATTCTTTGCACCATTCACCTTATTTTATCAATGCATCCTTTTTTTATCAAGGTTTTGCAAAAACTTTAGATTGATAGTTGGATATGTCAATCATCTTCTTTATATATATTAATATTTATAATGATGAATAAAAAAGAGAGATCATTTTATCATACATATATCTTATTAAACCAAATTTTAATTCTTACTGCAGTATTACAAACTTTAAAAAATAAATACAATATTTTATTTATTAAAAGTAAATATTTTATTCTTTTAGTTTATATTCTACATTTATACCATTAATAAATTGCTGCCCATTTTCTAGGATCTAACAGAATATTCATTCTATTTAAGTATTACCTATCGATTTTACTATTGATAATTGTCATCATCAAATACCCTCTATGAATTGTAAATAAAATCCAAAGCTTTAAGACTTAGGTTCTAATGTATACTCTCTCAAATCAAGTCATTTTTTTAAATTAAAATTATAATAAAAAATTTAACGGGATGAATTCTGTTTTTGAAAGTTTGGTTTAATTCTTAATATTCCTGAATGAGGATCTTTATAATTGGTTAAAGCTATAAGAAATTACTATATATTTTAATAATTAAATAAAGTAATATTAGTTTTGAGATTAAAAAATAAGAGTGTGATTCATAAAAGAATTGGTAAGGAAAATTAAAGAAAAGAGATGAAAAATATTTTATAAATGTAAATAATCATTGTAATCATTAATAAATTCGATTCATTCATTTAGAATCATTTTTGATAACTTTCTTAATTCTTGCATATATTAATCTGTAGATGAATAGCTTTATCCTTTTAAAGCTCTTGCTAAATCTTATATTTTTTCTACAGCCACTATTTCATTAAGAGTTTTTTTTGGTATATTCAAACTTAAATATATTAATTCATTTTATATACCTAGAATTAACATTACCTATATTAATATTTGATCTTTGAAAAGATAATCTACCAGGGGAATGCTTAGAGTATTATTTAATTTTTATTGGAGATTATTATTATGAATTTTTTTATGCATTAGGTGATTAACTATTTCTGAAATTGGATTGAAGAGGATTCCATTATTATTCCTTTGCTTTTTGAAGGACAGTTTTTTAATTGTCAAATTTAGAAGTAAACTTTTCTCTAACATCCTTTCTAAAGATATTTAAATCTGCATATTTTTGATTATTCAAAATGAAAGACCCTTAATGCATATTAATATATATTAATATATTAACAGATAAATATAATTTTTATTCTATAGTAATAATACATAATTTTGATTATTATGCATAGACAAAGTATTTAATAATTAATAAAATAATTGTACAAGTAAACCAAACTAGAAATATAAGAATAAATTATTTCTTATAAATTAAATGAAAAAAGTTAGGTTCATTTGAATTAATAAGACTTCTTGAATTATTAAGCTGATTTGAAATAAATAATAGTTTAACCTAAATTATAAATGTATTTTACTGGGAATAATAGAAATTCGTTTTTATTAATTTCTTAAATGAAAATAGCTCTGGTACTTTTTGTTTTAACCTTAGCATCTTCAACATCAATTTCACCATACACTAAATTAAACTATTCTAAATAAAGATCAATGACTGCTGTTTTTGCTGAGGTTGAGTCTAAATTATAAACAAATTCTCCATTAGATGCTGTCTTAAATGTTTTAAAATAATTCAAAGAGGCAGTTAATGAAGAATAAGTGAATCATGATCAAATATATGATATAGAATATAATGAATGTGATTCAGAATTTGAATTTAGAAATAAAGAAGTTGAAGATGCTTCTAATGTAGTTAGAGATTCAACAGCCTAGTTGAATATTTGTAAAACTTCAAAAATTAGAACCACTAATTAATAAGAAGTTAATTAATAATAGTTATTCACATATCAAGAACATTTAACATTAATCCTTACAACAGCTGAAAATGAGTAAGCTTATTTCAAAAAAAGAGGAAGAGATTATGAAGACTCTCTTCATGCTATAGATGAAGCTCTTGATATATTATCAGGTATTGTTAATGGAAGAAAAAGTTTTGTTGAATTAAGTAGTATAAGCAAATAATTGTTATAGACATCATTCAATATTTAAAAAACTATCAATTATGCTCCAATCTTCTATGCTTTTTCATAATTAGCTTCACAACAAGATTCATTTGATCAAAGTTAAATTGAGCGAGTTGAATAACTATTATTATAATTGAGAGAAAATATACATGATACTTATAATTAATTCACCATTTCAAATGCTGCCTCTGTTGCTGCTTTTAATAATTAAAAAGATAGAATTAACATAATATTAAATAGACTATCTAATTAAGATGAAAAATTATAAGATAAATTAGATCATTTAAATTAATGCATTGGAAATTAATCAGCTATAGTTTAAGTTGCATCAACAAAGGTAGAGAGAAATCAATAACTATGGGATTAAGCAGTCAATTTATGCAATACTTTCTAAGCTGAATATTATACTGCCACTAGATCAAGAAGATCTGAGATTTCATTGATAGATGAATTAGAAGAGTAGGTCAGGTAAAGATTTTAGCAAGTCGAGGAATAAAAACCAAGAAGAATGTTAAGATATGTTAAACTTAAATATTGATTAATATTCATATATATCATTGTTAAAAATGGTTGAAAAAGGTCTATTCTATTATATAAGAATTTATTTATTTGCAGAATATTCATTTTTTTTCTATATTATATATTGTAGAAGTAGTGGTTCAGAAACACTCTTTTGAAAATAAATAATTATAGAAAATAAAACATTGTATATAAAATGGCTGATACATAAACTCCTCAAGACATTAGTTAAGTGATTCCTATTAATCCTTAAATTTAAGTACCCAATGTGGTATAGAATCAATTATAGATACCTAACCAAATACCATAGTTGTAATAGCCTCAATAATAAACATTTGTTGTATATGCCCCTTAGATGTATTAACCAAGACCATAATTTAATCTAAATCAAGTTCAACCAATTTAGTACCCTTAATTTCAACATCCTCAACACTTAATTCCACCTTAATAATAATTATACTTACAATATCAATAATAACCTCAAATTATGTAGCCATTACTTCCAATCCAAAAGTAAGAAGAAGTATTAAAGCATGATTCCTTAAGATTGGCTGGAAAATTGGAAAAAAGGTTCTTTAACTTATAAGTTCTTTCCTTTTTCCTCCTTTTTTAAGCCTTTCCTTTAATTTTGTGTTGTAGTTCTTATCGCAATGGTTTTATTGAATTTTAGTATGACTTATATGGTAGTTTCAAAGTTCCATTTTACATCTTCACAGTGATCATGGGACTTTCACTTTTGTACTCATTCACAGCTTCAAAGAAATTAAAAAATAATTAAACTAGCACAATATTGTGTATTGTTTATGGATTAGCATATGGTTTTTTTATATAGGCTTTGTATTCTTCTACCTATTATAAATTTTCATATTATCAAAGTAGTAACTATAACTACTATTTGGAATCAAATGGTGGTGATGTTATTGTTATAATAGTGTTCAGCTTTATCAATTTAGAAGTTTTATCACTATTTTCATATGCAATGCAAGAATTAGATCAATTAAGTTTTAAAAGTAAATGTATAATTCTTACAATTAGATTCCTTCTGGTATATCATTATACCATCAATTACTTATGGTGGAATACTATTTTCTCTTTATGACAAATACGTTATATTATGTGGAATCATATGTGCATCAATCGGATTTGGGTTTTATTTATAATTAATTTTGTCTAGAATGATTCATTCACCAAAGGTATTCTTGAATTTCATTATAATTATAGTTTAATTTGAGATCTGATGATGGCAAATATGCAGCTGTTTTATTAAGTTTCTTAATTTTAGTACCATTCTTTGATATCGGTTTGAATAAAAGTGATGAAATGGTTTAATAATCATAAAGCCAGAACTCTTAGTAAAATAATGCACAATGAGGAAAATCATAACACAATATTAATAATTTATATCACTTTCATGAGATCCAATATTATTAATATATTTATCTAATGGCATCTCAACCAACATAAGAAACCTTTGTTCCTGTCTTTGTATCTTAAGAAGAATATAACCAAATTCTCTAGTAGCCTTCTTACTTGCACCAATAATTATTACAAGAACTATATCAAAAGAAATAAACTTAAGTTTAGTTACAACCAAACTAGTAAATGTACCCTCCATTACAATTGCAACAATAGATTCTTAATCAATCATAAAACTCAAATACATCTATTACTATACCAAAAATACCTACTTTTCCTAACCAATATTCTTAAGTATAAGCTTAGGGATACCCATATCCTAATCAACAAATATAATAATAGTAATTATAATAGAATCAAAATTAAATGTAAAATTAGAATTTATTATTGAAATAATAAAAATAGCCTTTGAAACATACTTAAATTAAAAAAGCTGGAACCTTAGCACGTAGATATTTTTATGAATGGTCAACTTATTTATTTATGATTGAGATATGTATTTCACTATTTTTTAACTTCATTTCTGCTTTAATTAGTATATAATTGGTAACAAGTAACTATTAATGGAATGCTGGATTATGGATAATTTTAACTTTATTCATAATATTGAATTTATTTGTTTTAACTAATTCGGTATACATTACTCATGTAATAATTATTAAATAAATTTAGGGTAATAATCAATAGATATTTTATTGGATACATGTTATTCTATATACATTACTTATGTAAGGTATTTAAACAGCTGTTTCTGGAAGTGCTAGAATATTTTCATGGGATACCAACTATTTCTTTTACTTTTATTTATTGATATGTGTTGAATTCATTTCAGTGAGATTTGCATTTAAATAAAAAGGAATAAAGAAAAATATCAAAGAATATATAAATTATATAATATTCCCACCAATAATAGCATACATTTTAGAATTTGTATGTCAATATTATCGCTTTTTCTATCTTGCTTTATTTTTGTGGCTCTTAGTAGTTATGCTTATAGGAGTTGGATACATTTTACTTGTTAAAAAAGTAGTTGAAAAAGGATATGTAATTATAAAATTCTATTTTTTTAGAACAACTTTAAAACTAACCATATTTTTGCAATGGCCATAAGTTTTCCTATTTTAATGATTAGTCCATTTTATGATGAGGAATAATGAATAAATCAATATATATATATATATATAATATTCTAATTAGTAATCAATAAAATAGTTTAATAAAAAATATATTTTATCAAATTGTACTTCTGTAATAATCAATAATGGATTATAATTGTCTTATATCAACAGGTTTTTCTAGATAAAATTTCATTCCAACTTATTAACATTTTGGAAATTCTATATCTTTTTGATAACCTGAACAAGCAACAATTATAGGTGGTTTTATATTATTTTCTTCACAATAAGAGAATATAAGTTTAGATGCATTGATACCATTGATTCCAAGCATTTCTAAATCCATAAATATTAATCCGTACATATTTGAATTACATTAATTACATTTTTCTTTAAGCTTTACTTTTTCTATGGCTTTGTATCCATTAATTGAATAATCAATTTAATTTATTCCTCTAGATAAAATATTAAGGAATACATTCTTATCAATAGCATCTACAATGTATCAATATTAAATTAAGTATCATCTACAATTAATACCTTTGAACAACACTCAACATTAGAATTCATTTATTTTTTTGGTTAAGTAACTATAATCTAAATCTCTTTAGAACTTTCACCATCTTCATATAGATTCTCCATCATTTCACTATCTCTCAAAGTTGATTACTTCTTATTTACTGATTTTATTATTTCTGATTCATAACTCTAAATATTATCAAGATGTATTGTAAATGAAAAACTAGAACCTTTATGATAAATAGACTCAAATCTCAAGCCATCACCCAATTATTATGCAATTTTATTACTTATAACTAATCCTAATCCCACTCCTTAAGCATTTAATTTTTTACTTTCCTCAGAATTTATTTTTCCAAAAGCTTTCATTAACATTTCTTTATCCTACTCTTATACTCCTATTCCAGAATCAGATATACTAATTTCAATTACTAACTCATCCATTAATTCTACTCTTAATAGAATCTATCCTTCTTAAGTAAATTTGAATGCATTTCCTATTAGATTTATCAATACTTATTTAATTCTATTTTAGTCTTATTCTATAATATCTGGACAACTAGAATCATACTATAACATTAATTTTAATTATTTTTTCTCAGCTTATAGATTAAACATTTATAAACATTCTTGACATAACATTTTTAAGTTAAATCTTTCCTTTTTTAACTAAAATTTATTTGCTTAAATTTATGCCAAATCTAATAAATCATTACATAAATTCAATAGATATCTTGAGTTATCTATTGAATTTTAAATATATAAATTATTTTATTCTTTAGCAACATGTTCTAACATTGTTATCATACAACCTAAAGGTGCTCTAAATTCATGAGATACAAATGAAATCATTTTTGATTTTTAGTTATAATGACTTTATAATTATTTAATATATTTCTTGTAACTTAAATCTCTACAAATTAATGTCATAACCTTCCTTACTTAAGAGTTCAAGTAAACACTCACTTCTAAAATAGGAGATTATTAAGACTATTGATATTTAATACATTACTTAAGTAAGATGCTTTGATTGTTAAACATAGAATAGATAACTTTCTTTATTTTATTTTTACCAAATTTTATCAAGCATTTATAATAATGTCATTTCTTTGAATCCTTGCTAAGGAATGTATTGGCTTTGTTATTTTGAATTAAATGATAATGATTCACTATATTGTTTTAAGGAATTTTACATGTCAATTCCTATACTTTTAATGGATTGTATTGATCTCTTTGGTTCCATCCTTTCAATCCTACAGTAATTTGAATATGCTATTTAAATCTAATTTTCATCAGATATCTAAAACATTTATTTTGCAGATCTATTTATAAATGTTGGTGGTTTTTCATAACCTTATTCATAAAGTATTACTCCTTCCCTAATTTAATTAAAACACATATTCTTTGTATAATTATCTTAAAATAGTTCACATTAACTCATCTCTTTCCATCTATATCTTTCTGAATTTGAAATAAGCTCTATTAATTTTGGAGATGACTACAAATTTTATTATTTAAAGACATCATAATTCAATATTGTTAATATAATATAGACAATAGCATAATGTATAGTACTCCATATAACTTATTAATCCAAATAATCGTACTATCTAAGTATACAATAAAGTCCAATAAATAGTATATTAATAGATAAGATCCAGAATTCAATTTAGTTCTTAAACATTAAGTAAGCATAAAATAATGAATGTGCAAAACTAAATTAAGGTATCTGAATTTCTATATGTAAAGTATATGTCACTAATATTTATATCATTATTATCCATTTTTTTTCTAATGTCTAATTGTAATAGATAATAATTATAGTAAATATTACCAATGCAAGTATTGTAAGATTCTTATAAGTAAAAGAATCAACAATTTATTATATTAGTTGACCCAATAATAAAAAACAATTAATAAATAAGGCATGTGATATTTTAATATTCATTATATTAATGTCACTACAGGCATGTACTACATCGTTTTTACCCAACCTCTGATATCATTTATTCCACCAAAACTATAAGTTCCAGTTACTGCTCCAGTAAAAACATTATTAAACTCATTTTTTCCAACATACTCTATGTCATATGTATTCCAATCTTTTATTGCAAAATAATCAAAACTCACTTCATCCTAATTTCCACCTAATACTACAATTAGATCTCTTTTTTAAACAGAATCTAATTAAATATTTTATATAATAATCTACCAGCCACATCAACTTATTTCAAAACAAAAATTTAAGCTCCTGCTCTTGGAACACTTAATTTTGTTTTTTATTTTATATTTTCAATTGACCCTTTCTCAACATCCATTATAGCAATTTTATCAGTAACTTTCTCACCATTAGAACCTCCAAAAATTAATATATGTTTTTATGAAATTGGTAAACAAGATGAACCCAAATGATTTGTTACATTCAAACCTTATCTATATTTAAAATCTTTCCATTTTCTTGTTGTTAAATCAAAACATTCTACCTTATTGCTATGAAGTATTTTCTAATAATTATTTAATTATTATTTATACTGTTTCTTCATTCTCAATTGTTAATCCACCATATACATATACCTTATTATTTAAAACAAATCCTGAAAATCCAGCTCTAGGTTAAATCATTGATTCCACTACTTCCCATTATTATTCTCCATTCTAATTTACAGGTCCTTTCTCATCATAAATTTCACATTAATTTAATATACCCCATCCTTCTTCTTAACTTATTATGACTTGTCCTCCAACTACCATATATAAATATTAATTTGTAGTTCCTGGTTTTAATAGTTCAAAAACTTTGTGATTGTGTCTTGCAAAATTCATTTGAGGTATTACAGATACTTTCTCTCCCTCTATTTCATTACCATCCTCATCCTCTCTTGTTAATCCTTATCTCCATAATTCATATTTAATTCTATGTCCTTCCATATGATCATGAAGCTAAATTCTAAAACAAAAGGCACTGCTAGAAATTGAATTATTATTATTATCTTAATAAGCACCACCTGTAACTAGAAATTCTGCTCCATTCTACTTTTTTAGGTATGAAGAAAAGTAAGGAACACAAGGTGGTTAATCTTTGCTTATGAAAGCCCATCCAGCTAAAACATTTAATATATATTTATATTACGTTTAACATCACCAGAAGCAAAATTAAATCCTATTGATGGATAAAATTATTCTTCTTATTTTTCTTAATCCACAAAAGGAGGATGGATTACAGTAGTGAATGTAAAATTATTTTATTCCTGCTTCATTTTTAATTTTAATTTATATATAAATTGCAAATCATCAATGTACGTTATTACTAAAGATATGTAAGATAATTATTCATATTAATTCATACAAATATCTATATATAGAGTATTTCATATTTTATTATTTAATTAAATTCATGTCTTAAAATTAGATATGGACAATTCAAAATGTATTTTTGATATCTTATTTAAAGCAAAACAAAAATTTTGCAAATATATATACACATATAATATTATATAATAAATCTTACATTAATCCATAAAAAACAAAAATTATGTTAAATAATATTTTGTTGTAAAGTAGAAGAAAAGAAGAAAGTCAAGCACAAAGAAATTCTGAGTCTTCTGTTCAAGAGAATTCAACAATGCAGACAACTAATTTATAATAAACCTCTAATCTTAATTTAACTACATAAGAGGCTGTCTCTCGTAATACTTTTGCTTAGTTAGATTAAATTTACTAGCCCTTGTTACAATCTAATTTATAATTATCTAGTCTAAATGATATACAAAAACAGAGATTTCTTATTTAAATTACAGGAATATGGGTGTTTTAGGAAGCTATACAAATAATTATGTCGGTCATTACTATTTTAGATTTTAACTACGATAATTTGTTTTATAATTTTGACAAGGAAAAATATAGAGCATCATTATATCTCTTTTTCTTAATATCTGCTTTACAATTATTGCTAATCAGATTCTATAAACCATTTAGATGTGTACATATATAATATTATTACTAAGAAACATAATGCATTTTTTATATTCTTGATTTTCACAATCTCTTATGCTTTATGGATTAGTGGTCTCATAACTGCAGAACATTCAGATATATGGAATATAGAAAGCTCTGTATAAATTGGTTTTGCCATTTTTATTGGTATTATATGCAATTTTCTCACCTTGATCACTATACAATTTCATTTTTCTTTGACCAAATAATAGATATCATTTTTTAGTAAAAAAATAACTTAATATTTATAGGAACAATCAAGTATGTTTTTATTCCTCCTTTTATTTATGCCTTTATATTTTAAATATTCAATCCTTTTGATTATACAGCAGTACTCATTTTATGGATGTCGACTGAATTATGGGCATTTACTTTTGGAGGCTTATATCTATATAGTGTAATATAAATAATAAATGGTAAAGTAAAGATAGATAAATTAATTTTAGTTTAATCTCAATCAAGATTAAACAATCTCTGCAGCACTTTTAGCATTTATTAACATGTTTTTTCCATTTGGACATTTTTGATATCATTATATTATATTATGTTTACATTTCTAAGTACAAATAAAAATTAAATTATTATTTAAAATAAAATAAAATTATTCATTTTCAAAAGTGTCTTCTTTTTTGACTTCTTTTTATTTATATTTTAAAATCTATACATTAATTACCTCTTTATCCAAAAATATATATTTAATTTGCAAGAGTATTATTAGAGATATATTCTAAAAGTGTTTTGATAAGTGCTACAATATATAAATTCTAAGTAATAATTATTTTTTATAACTTTTTTTGAATTTTATTTTATTTAAATAACTCATTATGATTTGTTATAAATCAAAAAAAAGAAACATCCAAATAATGTAAAATATAAAGAATTATATTTAAAAAAACATGATTTTGAGTACAACGATTTATTATAAGAATTTAGATATAAATAATATATCAAAAGTGACAAATGCTTATCTATGTTTTAATAATGGTCTCACTTATTGATAAGTCTATTAAGATTTTAGTGATCAAAAACAGTTTAAATTGATGATCCAAAAATTTAGAATTTATTGAAATTTTATTGAATTATATTAATTTTCTAATGTTATTTTCAAAATATTATCAATAATATTTTTGTAATTTAGTAATCAATTCAAAATCAAAAAATTCAACAGCAAGATTTTAAAGCAAATTATAAAATATTTGAAATTAAAAAACATAAATATAAATAATCTACTTATTAATAATTTCTTTTTGACTAATATGTTATTAATAAAGGATATTATGAATTAGAAGCTAAATTAATATGAATTATATATAATTTAATTTAGCCACACAAATGTTACTATTAATTAAGATTAATTTTCTTTTTCAATATATTATACAACTTATTTTTATTTTATGAAATAGATTCACTTTTATTTATCGTATAATATCTTTAGACTGTGGATAAATTATGTATATGCTATTATAAATATAGTTTTTGCATCTAAATCAAATCTATAATAAATTAATAAAATAGATAATTCATATATCATCATTTCTTTTATTTAGTCATATGAAAATATTTCAATGAAAATTTTATCTCATATTATTAATTATTCTTTTAATGGTGCTAGAAGCTTAATTATTAATTAAGAATAGATCATCGAATATTGTCATTCCTCCTCCTAATATCAAAAGTATTTGAATATATCTATTATTAGAATATGCTGATAAGACTGCTGAATATGTGGCAAAAAATGGAGCGACATTTGAAGATCTTGTTATGTAAAAAGAATTAAGCAATCCAAATTTTTGTTTTTTAAGAAGAGATGATCCTTATAGACCATATTATGAGAATAAAATTACAGAATTTGCAAGAGGGTTAGTGGGTATGAGTTCATTTCTAATTATAATTATAGCACCAATATAGGAAGAAGAAGATTAGAAAACAAAGCCTGCCCCTAAAAATGAATAACCTAAGAAAGTAGTTAAGGCTCCACCTAATGATTAATATACAGTTGAATAACCAAGAAATTTATCTGCTTTAGATTTAGATATTATTAAGCATACAGCTATTTTTATTGCTAAGAATGGTAAGAAGTTTTTGGTTGCCTTGACAGAAAGAGAAAAAATGAATCCATAGTATGATTTTTTAAAACCTACTCATGATTTATTTCAATTCTTTTCAAATTTAGTTGATGCTTATACAAAATGTTTACAACCAAAAAAGGAAGAAATTGATAGATTATTGACATATGTTTAAGATAGATAAGTAATATATTAAAGATGTCAAGAAAAATATGAGTATGACATATATTTGAAAGAAGAAAAAGATAGAAAATAATAACAGGATGAAGATGAGAAATGTAATATTATTATAATAATAATATAGAATAAATGGCTATGATTGATTGGAATGATTTTACTATATGTGAGACTATTGATTTTGCAGAAGATGATAGAATAGATAAGGTTTATGAAAAGGGAATATAAAGATTTGATAAAATGGACTTCAAAGGTGCTGATTAAACATAATTTTGTAATATGGTTGTCTATTTTTAGAGTAATAGCAAAACTTAGTATAGACAGGACAAGTTGTATCTAGAATTATTAATAATCCATAATAACCAAAAGAAAAATAAATCATTACTTTAAATTCAACTTTATAAAAAGCAGGTTAATAAGGTGATAGTAGTGCTCCAATTATTTCAAATTATTAAAGACCTACAACATAAAATGAATTAGTCTTAATAAAATGTGAAATTTGTGGAAAGAATTTTCCAAAAAATTAAATTAATGAACACATTCAATTAGAATTATAAGATCCTCGTTATAGTGAAATTAAGAAGGAAATTAATGAAAGAAGCAAAACAACAACATTGCAACCAGGCAATATGATTGCTGAACATCTATCTTAATTAAAAAAGAAAAGACCAGATATCTTTGAAGAAGATCATAGAAAGCCACCACCACCTCCACCACCTTAATAGAGACCATAACCTCCAAGACCAGCTCCTCCTCCCCCACCTCCTCCTCCAAAATGAATATTATTAATAATTTTACATAATAAAAATAATTGCTTCTTCATATAGGTTGCTGTTATATTTATTTATATAATTTTTGTAACAATAATAACTAATCTTTAAAATAAAAAATGGACCAATCCTAAAAAAAGAAAGTTTGTGGATTCTTATAGAACTAGATTGCTCGATAATTAAAACTGTAATACAAAGGTTGCAAAATATTATAAACTTTTGCATTTATAATAATTATTTATAATATTATATATTCATTTGTATCAAATCTTCTTATAATAATTTTTTAATATTAATCCTTATATTTAAATAATATTTTATTAGTATTAATAGTCATCAAATTTTATAAATAATTAAATAGATTAGCTTAATATGAATAGAGTAAAAATTAATTAATTAATAACTTAAATATCAGAAAAGTAGTGAAATCATAGTAAGTTAATCATAAGAATAACAATAACATTTAAAATAATGATAATATCAAATATTAATATGATAATATTCTATAATGAGTATTTTTTGTTGCTTTGTTTCATATTAGAAAGGCTTTTTAGCAGATTATTTAATTAAATTAGGATCAAAAGGTTTCTTAGGTGTAGATGGTCTGACCAGCCTTGAATTCATATATATGTCGTTAAAAAAATATTTAAAATAAAAATGGAAAGTGTGAATTTTGCAGGAGATAATCCTTAACCACGTTTTGGTCACACTATTTGTGTTATAGCCCCTAATAAAATAGCATTATTTGGAGGTATAAATTAAATAAAGATCTTAAAGGTGCTGTTGGAGATACTGGAAGGTATGTAATCACAGGAGATGTCTATATTGGAGATATAATTTAAAAAAAATGGAAGAGAATTGAAGCCAGTGGAAATGTACCTACAAATAGAGCAGCACATCAAGCATTGGCTATTGAATTAAACCAAATGATTATATTCGGAGGAGCAGTTGGAGGTGGTGGATTAGCAGATGATAATTTATATGTATTTGAATTAAGAGATGATACAGGAACTTGGGTTACGGTACCTGTGATTGGAACAACACCAGGAAGGAGATATGGTCATACTATGGTGTTAATAAAACCTTACTTGATAGTTTTTGGTGGGAATACAGGTCAAGAGCCTGTAAATGATGTTTGGAGTTTTAATTTAGAGAAATCTCCTTATTCATGGCAAAGATTAGAATGCTCTTCAGAATAACCTGTTGTAAGAGTATATCATTCTGCTGCATTGTGTTCAACAGGTTCAGCAAATGGAATGATGGTTACTTTTGGAGGTCGTACAAATGATCAAAGTGCTTTGAATGATACATGGGGTTTAAGAAGACATCGAGATGGTAGATGGGATTGGGTCAGAGCTCCATATAGATCATAAACTGAATAACCAGCTTAACGATATTAACATTCGACCTTATTTTTAGGAACATTAATGTTAGTTATAGGAGGTAGATCAAATAATGTAGGTGAGACTTTGCCTTTTGAAATTTATGATACTGAAACATCTGATTGGTACAAATTTTAACCAATTCAGAGATTTAGACACTCTTCATGGTTGGTGGAATAATTTTTATATCTTCATGGAGGATTTGATTCAGATCAACCTAATATTCCAACTGAGGGAATTTTAAAAATTGATTTAAGTAAGAGATTTGCTTAAACACCTCAACTCTTAAAGTAAATGAATACAATTAAAGCTGATTAATCATTTACATAATCTTTTAATCCTAAAACTTCTCAAACTTTATCATAAACCTAAGATTAATTTAAAAAAACAAATTAATCAGCATTAGCTCAATAAAAAAGTAATTTTTACATTAAGATTAGATTAAAATTCATAATAGTAGGTTAGAGTATCAAGTGCAATTAATAAAAATATTAGATTGGCTAATTAGGCATTAGTGGCTATGACTTATGGTCCTGAAGAAGATATAACAAATTAAGTAAAGAAAGTACCAATAGATAAATTATAAGATGAACATAAAAAATTAGGGCCAGGATTTTAGGATCCAAATTCTTAAAACAAATCTCAATTTCTAGATTAATTGTGTCAACCATTCATGTAGAATCTATTAATACCTAAAGATTATTAATAAATTCCTCCAAATTCTAATTTATTAACAGGAATTAAAAAGGAAATGATTATTAAATTATGTGATGAAGTTTAAAGAGTTTTAGAAAAAGAACCAAACTTATTAAGATTAAGAAGACCAATTAAAATATATGGAAATTTAAATGGTCAATATTTAGATTTAATGAGATTTTTTGATCATTTTAAAGCTCCATATGATAATCTATATAATGGTGATATTGATTCTTAAGATTATTTATTTTTGGGAGATTATGTAGATAGAGGATCTAGATCTTTAGAAATAATTTTACTTTTATTTACATTAAAAATTAAATATTCAGATCAAATACATTTACTTAGAGGACATCATGAAGATCCTATAGTTAATAAAATTTTTGGATTTGCTGATGAATGTTTTATCAAATTTGCAGAAGATATCATGGATCCAAATAGTATTTACTAAAGAATAAACAGAGTTTTTTAATATATGCCATTAGCTGCAGTTATTGAAGACAAAATATTTTGTGTTCATGGTGGGATTGGTTAAACAATGAGAACTTTAGATGAGATTGAATTAATTTAAAAACCTTTAGAAATAGTTCATGATCCTAAGACTGTATTTTTTAATATTTATTTAAGTATTAATAAAAAATAGCATTGGAACTACTTTGGTCTGATCCATGTTTATAAGAGGAAGAATTAGAAAATTAACCTAATCCAGAAAGAGATATATTTTAAAATAAATAAATTTTCAGATTTGGAACAAATAGAATTAATAGATTTTTATAAGAGAATTCCTTAAATATGATAATAAGATCACATGAACCAACAATGGAAGGATTTGAAAGGTAAAATAATAATGTAATAACTATTTTCTCTTGTCCAGATTATTGTGGAAATCAACCTTTATGTAAAGGATGTAAAAATATTATTCATATTTTTAAAGCTATATTAACAATTTCTAAAAGAGGAGAAATTATTCCAAAAGTAATATTACCTGCTACTCCAATTTAAGAGTAAAGATGGATGGATTTGGAAGAACCCATTTAAAGAAAAAAAGGATTTGCTAAGTACTTAGTTATTGACAACAATGAAGCTTTCTTAAGAAAACGTCCATCTACTCCTCCTAGATAGAAAAGACCTTTTTCTTAAAAATAATTCAAATGATTTAAATTAATGATTTTGCCATCTTCAATATCCCAAAATATTAATTAAGATATTTGGATTTTTGAAATTAAATTCATAAATAGATTTAAATATTCATTAAAATAGCTTGAGAATAACATAAGTTGAATAGAATTTTTTATATTAGGTTTGATTAATATTATTCAATTGTAAAAGAAATCTTTATATGATCTCAGCTATTCATCCTCTTAAGCTAAGGATAAAAATTTAACTTTAGTTGGTTTATTCTCTGGAATCAATTATTATTTAATTTCTTTCATTTTTTCCTCTATATTAAATATAAAATAATTACATTTTCTTCTTTCAAAATCTTCTTCAAATTTTCTTAAAGAATCTTCAGAAGCTTCATAAACAACTTTAGTTGAATGAGATTGACCCTTTAATTGAATTAATTACACCTATTCTTATTCTCTTGTTTCTTTATCTGTAGTTTCATTGTTTTTAATTTAAGTTTCTTCTTTCTTTTTCTGAACTTTCTAAGTATAAGTATCTTATGAAAAACTCTACATATAACCATCAAGCTTTTATGTAATTTTCTTCTCCTTTTATTTCACTTGAATAATTTCATCAATTTTAGGAATATCATCTATTAAAGGACTTTAATATCCAGTTTATTTAGACAATTCTGGATCCTCCTATATTTTATTATCAATTTTAACTTCATTCACCTATTGATCTTATGATTATTCTTTTTAATTTTCAATTTATGGAAATATAATTTCTAATTCCTTTTCTTTAACTCTATCAGCTAATTTTAATGCTTTTTTTAAAGATCTCACATGAGATTCTTTTTATTACAATTGCATATCTATTTCTTCATTATTCAAAAATTAAGTTTCTTTATTTTTAAGATTTTCATTTATTTTACTATTTTATTCATTTGATGATTTACTAATATTATTTTAAACTGATTCTTTTTATTTTTTTACAATATTCTTTTATTTCTACTCTTTTTAATTAGTTGGAACTTTGTTAATTAGTTCTTTAATTGTTTATTATTATATTTAAGGTTTCTTTTTTAAAACATCTTAAAGCAAAGTTAATTATAATTCAAAATCAACAGATGATTATTATTATTTTTTATCTTTTTAACTCCAAAAGTATTCATCATCATCATCTTCTTCTTCACTTAAATTATCATCACTCAATTCTTCTATTATATCATCATCATTTATTTCTTCTTAAAATTCTTAGAATTCCTCTTCAGATTATGATTCTGACACTTCTTATTCATCTAATTAATTCAATTACTCTATTATTGGATTTTCAGTAAATTATTCTCTATTCTTTGATGGTTCTTCCTCTTTTTTATATTAGTCTTTATCAAAAAAGGTTTTCTTTAGATAATTACAATTTTTACCAAATCAGTTAATGTTTCTCCAATTTTCTACTTTCTTTGTTCACTATTTTATTAAACCTCAATAAATAATATTTTAAAAATACTTGTTATAAATGACAATGATCTTATTTATCCTTAACTGCTTACTCTTCCACTAAATTTTGGAATGTCTGCATCATCATCTAATTTAAGATTACTTCCAACAATCAAACACATGCCTATAGCTGTTTATTATATATCATTTGTATTGATTGATAACTTTGCTATATTGATATTCTAATCTATAGTAATATTAACAAATCCATTATGATGATAACCAACAAGAAAAGCTATAGCTTCTACTTTTTATTAAAATTAAGGATATCTAAATATAGCTTATTAGGTAGCTCTGAAATTCGAACAGTTTATATAAACCTCTTCATCTGTAGTTGCTAAATATCTGTAAGTTGCATTCAAAGTGACAGCACTAAAAAATTGGATGATGAAATCATGCTAGGTTATATTTTTCACTTTTGCAAATAGAGCTGTTGTTGAGGTATGTTCTACCAAAGCTAAAGCCACTTTAGGAATTTTTACGAATGGAGTATCAAATCGAACTAGCTATGATTTAATAGTATAATACTTGATTATAAATTTGTGATCCTTTGGCTTCCTCAAATTAAATAACTCCTATTTCTAACTCTCTTGTTACATTTGCATTTTAAGAAAGGCAAATGAAAATAAGTGTTATAATGATGAATGTTTTCATATAATTAAAATAAAAACGAATTTCTTAAACATAATATATTTATTATTTCTCTATTGATTAGCAAGTCTTTTTGACTGAACTCATTGTTTTTTATTGAACTAAAAAAATGACTTATTTAGAATGAATTTCTAAATAAGTCATTTTAAAAATGCTAATATTCTTTATTTAAGATAAATATGATAAAAATGGGTAAATCATGTGATTCTCAAATTTAATGAAATTAAATAAATCTAAATTTTATTCTTCTTAACTAATTTCATTTTATTATTGGAATAGAAAACAAGTATATATTTAATCTGTTTCGAGATTATATTATGTAAATAAATTTAAATCTTATCTCTAGTTTGTTTATGGATATTACATATACCTAAAATAGAGAATTTGTTAATTTGCACAATTATAATATTTATATCTGTAAAGACTTAAATATTTTAAGTGGTTAAAAATAAGGATTTTTATTTATATTTATAATTTTAAATTAATTTAAATAAAAATAAATAAATAATTCATAAAATAAAATAAGTATTATCGAAATACAACATAACAAACTAAGAAAATAAAATGATTAAAACTTAGATAACTTTTAATGTATATAAATTCCTTTTTTTTATTATTCTCGTCATGATTTAATTTTTGGAAAATGAAATAATTTTCAAACGCTTTTTATACTAAATAATCTTTACTCTAAGATATAGTTAAAGATTATTTTTAATTGATTTGATAATTACATTCAAACAAAACAAATTTAAACTTTATAAATTTATCTAAAGATTATTTTAATTTTATCAAGAATTAGTGTAAATTTATAGCTACTTATTTTTTGGTAAAGAGTATATATACTCTTTCTTTCAGAGAATAAAGAATATTTAAATTATTAGTTATTCTTTTTTTTATCTTAAAAGATTTATAATATATATTTTATCTAATATATTAAGAAATTTGAGTTTCATCTTGTATTTCTATTTAGATTATAAATAATTATTATTATTTTCAAAATACTAGATCAAAAAAGATCTATATTTATAATCTTAAAGAACACTTTTAAAATCTTTCTAATTTAATTATCTGTTAATCTTATTGATAAATAATTTAAAAATTCTCCATCACATTAATTATTTATAAATTAAGAATGGTAATTTTTTAATTTCTTTTTTTATTGTGATATGTTTATATTAATATATGTTAATACTTCCAAAAGAATTACTATGATATATTGAAATAACAAATTTATTAATAAATTAAAATAAATGGGAGCTTAATGTTGCACTTTGCCAACTAAATTAACTGTTGATGAAATAGACATAGATAGTCAAAATTTAAGAGGAAGTTATCACACTCAATCTAAAAAATCTATTATAAAGAAAGATTAAAAAAGTGATGAGGAAATATTTAATAATCAAAAAGAAAAATATGAGGATTTTTAGATTCTTGGCTCTGCATCTTTAGATTTAAGATAGAATTAAGATTAAGTTGTTTGTTCTAATAAATTATTTCAGAAAGAAGAAAGCCAAATAGAATCAAGTATTTTAGATCTATCGAAGTAGCTATCCAAAAAAGTAAATTTCAGAGGAAAATAACAAATTCTTCAGTTGGCTCTTTAAAATTAGGAGCAGAAGTGTTCATCAATCTTAAAGCAGGTAGCATTCATAAATATTATGATACTGGAGAAATCTTAGGGTAAGGAGCTTATGGAAAGGTTTGGAAAGTGACGCATAAAAATACTGGTAAAAGTAGAATTGATTGATTTCAGGCATGATAAGAGCGATGAAAGAATTGAAAAAAAAATCAATAATAGTAGAAGAGTAACAAAGATTATTTGCAGAAATGAATATTTTAAAGAATTTGGATCATCCTCATATAGTTAAATTATATGAGTTATATTAAGATTAAAATAACTATTATCTAATAACTGAATATTTATCAGGAGGTGAATTGTTTGATAGAATAAAAGAATTTAATTATTTTAGTGAAAGAAAGGCAGCTGAATTAATGAGGTAAATCTTATCAGCAGTTGTTTATTGTCATTAGAGAAGTATAGTTCATAGAGATCTAAAACCAGAAAATGTTTTATTTGTTAATGATACTTAATTATCTCCCATAAAGATTATAGATTTTGGAACATCTAGAAAATATGAATAAAATTAAAAAATGACTAAAAAATTAGGAACAGTATTATATATTACTAATATATTAGGCATATTATATAGCTCCTGAAGTATTAAAGTAAGAATATAATGAAAAATGTGATGTTTGGTCATGTGGAATCATTTTATACATACTTTTATGTGGATATCCTCCATTTACAGGTAAAAATGAAGATGAAATAATGTAGAAAGTATGTGAAGGAGACTTAATTTTTGAGTGTAATATTTGATTATCGACATTAGATTAGAAGAAGATTGGGAAATGATATCCACTGAAGTTAAGGATCTAGTAAGAAATATGTTATAAGTTGACCCAAACAAAAGATATTCTGCATTAGAAGCATTATCAGATCCATGGATTAAAAAGAATTAATCTAGTACTAAAGTAAATAAATCTGCATTACATAATTTGTAAAAATTTTAAGTACATTTTTAAATAAAATCAATTTAGGCATAATCTGTTTTTACTTAAGCTGTTCTTTCATACATTGCTTGTTAAATGACATCTTAATAAGAATAAGATGAATTAGCTAAATCTTTCTAATTCTTAGATAAAAATGGTGATGGAATTTTATCAAGGGAGGAATTAATAGAAGGTTACATTTCAGTTTTTAAAAATAAACAATAAGCAATTTAAGAAGTTGATAAAATTTTATCAATTGTCGATATAAATTAAAGTGGATAGGTAGATTTTTCTGGTAACTTTTATCATATTATTATTATCAGAATTTTTGATGGCAGCTATGAATTAAGAAAAATTAGTGTCTTTGGATAAAGTTAAAGCTGCCTTCAAAATTTTTGATGCAAATGAAGATGGGAAGATATCAAAAAAGGAACTTGAAATGATGATTGGAACAATAGAGGATGATATTTGGTAATAAATTCTTATAGAATGTGGAGCATAAGGTGAAATAACAGAAAAATAATTTATAAACATTCTTTTGCATTAAAAGTATTGATTTTTTTACTTATAATTAATTTTGTCAATAATTTGACAATAATAGAAATTCATTGTTAAAATAATCAAAATATTAAGCATGCTGAACAAAATTCTCTGTCTTCAGTTGAATTTCTATGTTTTAGATCTTCTCCTTATATATAAATAATATCATCAAATGGTTCTATGATTTATTAAATGGAATTGTTTTTTAATTACATTTATTCTCTATATTAATCTTCTACTTTCTTTTATCTTTCTAATAATCCTTCCATCAATTAAATTCTTTATTCACAAGGCATTTGTAACTAAAATCTTAATTTTAGATATAGATTACCTTAATTCTATAGGATTTGGACCATCATATAAAGCATCTTAAGATTCATCTCTATAATCTAATGTTAATATACAAGGTTTAATTAATTCTTTTGAATATGTTTTTAAATCAAATGATACAAGAACTTCATCTAAACCCATATCTATTTTGCTTAAAATTTCAAATTTATCTCCTCCATCTATTCTTTTACCAAGAATAGTAAAATGTAAAGTATTACTTTCTGGTAATATTGGAAATGAACATGTTAAATCATCTCCATATGAATAAATTGATTTTTATTCTTATTAATTCATAGCTACTTTATATTTGATTTTATAATATCTAAATATCTCTGTTTTAAGACTTTTATGTCTAGTATAACTTATTGAAAGTCTATTTGGTTAATCAAACTTGATTTATTAATATTCTTTTAGAATTTATATTTACTATTGTAAAGTTTGAATGGAGTCAGTTATGATTCTTAAATTAAGTTTAAAATCCATAATTATTAAATGAAAGAACATAATAGCTTGTAAACATTCATTTACAAAATCATGAAATGTAATCTCTTCATATAATTTATGTTCTCTAATATCTTGTTTTGATGGTTTTTCTCCTTTCATAACTAAATACTTATTGGAAAGAACTTGCCTTTAAGATCTAATATCAGAAAATATACCATAAAAAACTATCTTCTGGAATTTTGTTAATAAACTCTTAGTTCATATATTCATTTAATGGATATCCAACTGATTATTCCAATAATGTTAATTTATTATTCATCTTCTCTTCTTCTTATTTGATAATTGATTTTCTTAACTCTTCCATTAAAATATCTATAGAACAGAAAACGATATAATTATTAATAATATATCAAAATATTAATAATCAACACACACTATCAAATACAACTTTATCAGGATCAACTTATTTTGCTAAAGGATTTAATTCATAAATAGTATTTGCAAGTTATTTTGATTAAAATGTTCTTATTCCTTTCAATCCAATATATGATATTCTGATTGGATCATTTATTGTTGATTTTATGTATAAAATAAGATTATTAACATTTTCAAATTTTGATACTTTTACAGCATTACCAAATAAGCCATCTAAGTTTGGACTTAATATAAATTACTATATTATTAATTATATTAATACTTCTACACAAGGTGTCTCTATAAGTCCAAAATCAACATTTGAAATATTAATATAAGCTTTCATTAAATTTGGAGCTGATCCTTCATTTAAACTTACAATATTTATTTATCTGATCCTTACAGTCTCATTAAAAGGAATTATAACAATAATTTCTGAATCTAAATCAGATTATACATAATGATCCTAAATTATGGAATATGATATTTTACTTTCTTTGTCTTATCTATTTCTGGTCTAATGATCTATTTGATGTTTTATGCAGTTTCATTCAAACAATCAACTTTATCAATTTCTATTTGACCATATAAATCATCTGCATCTTCATTAAACATATATTCAGCACATCCACAATTTGGACCATGTTAATGCTGCATTTTAATTAAATTATAAATTTAATATGTATTATATATATTTATTTTAGTTATANATAATAGCTTGTAAACATTCATTTACAAAATCATGAAATGTAATCTCTTCATATAATTTATGTTCTCTAATATCTTGTTTTGATGGTTTTTCTCCTTTCATAACTAAATACTTATTGGAAAGAACTTGCCTTTAAGATCTAATATCAGAAAATATACCATAAAAAACTATCTTCTGGAATTTTGTTAATAAACTCTTAGTTCATATATTCATTTAATGGATATCCAACTGATTATTCCAATAATGTTAATTTATTATTCATCTTCTCTTCTTCTTATTTGATAATTGATTTTCTTAACTCTTCCATTAAAATATCTATAGAACAGAAAACGATATAATTATTAATAATATATCAAAATATTAATAATCAACACACACTATCAAATACAACTTTATCAGGATCAACTTATTTTGCTAAAGGATTTAATTCATAAATAGTATTTGCAAGTTATTTTGATTAAAATGTTCTTATTCCTTTCAATCCAATATATGATATTCTGATTGGATCATTTATTGTTGATTTTATGTATAAAATAAGATTATTAACATTTTCAAATTTTGATACTTTTACAGCATTACCAAATAAGCCATCTAAGTTTGGACTTAATATAAATTACTATATTATTAATTATATTAATACTTCTACACAAGGTGTCTCTATAAGTCCAAAATCAACATTTGAAATATTAATATAAGCTTTCATTAAATTTGGAGCTGATCCTTCATTTAAACTTACAATATTTATTTATCTGATCCTTACAGTCTCATTAAAAGGAATTATAACAATAATTTCTGAATCTAAATCAGATTATACATAATGATCCTAAATTATGGAATATGATATTTTACTTTCTTTGTCTTATCTATTTCTGGTCTAATGATCTATTTGATGTTTTATGCAGTTTCATTCAAACAATCAACTTTATCAATTTCTATTTGACCATATAAATCATCTGCATCTTCATTAAACATATATTCAGCACATCCACAATTTGGACCATGTTAATGCTGCATTTTAATTAAATTATAAATTTAATATGTATTATATATATTTATTTTAGTTATAATAGCCTCCAATTTTATTTTATTTATTTAAATAATCAATTAAAGACTAATACTTCATTACTTTTCTAATACACAATAATATAAAATTATATATCATTATTGGGGTCACCCAAGGTGCTGTCTCCTTCGATCCCTGGTTTACTAATAGCGTTCTATAGTAACCAGGGACGAGTGCTGACCATGATGATCAAAGAAATCAGAATAAAACAAAGAGGGTAAAAATTCGTACCTAGGACACCCCTCTAGAGACCCGGTCGAGGCAAGTCCTTCCGAGGAAGATGTGCATCTAATATTTTTAATAATATAAATTAAAGTGAAACTGTTTTGATACAAAAGTATTTGATTTCTAATCTTTGGTATGTTTTTCAATGATCTTCTGTGACTTAGACTAACAACTTTTGTATTATAATAAAACTATATATTTTTTGTCTGCTTTTTATTATTTAAATATAAGACGTTGGGATCAAAATAAAGAAGAAACATAATTAAAAAAATATGAATAATAATTGTGGATATAAATATCTCAATTTAAGATCAAGCTTAATCCAACTATCATTCCTATTATTTGAATGCTATAACTTTCCCCACCAAAATAATCTTAAAAATGTTCGAATTCTGGATTTGATGTAAATTATGTGCAAGCTGTGCATTTGTTATTGTCCAATGACCATTTGTAATTAAGCATGGTTTTAATCATACATGATAAAAGATCAAGTTATTCTATTTCTGATGCTGTAGATTCTTAACAAGCAGTACCAGTCCAAGTACATGGTATCACATTTAATCCTGGAATATCTAATTACACATAACACTCATCTGAAGTAGTAAAATCTGCACAACTTTTTGGTTGACATGCTTTTGTACCATCATTGTAAGTACAATATAAGTTACAATATTCCTTTACATCTGAATAATCTGAACAATCATCAGAGACTATATCATACTATGAACATACGGAATCATTATTGAAATAACACATATTTCCATTACCATCAGATTAATTACATGTTTCTTTGGTTGAAAATGATGAACAATCAAGACTTTGAGGATCTTTGCAAGTATCACTTGAATCTATCATAGTACAAGTGAATGGACTACAATCTTCAATAGTAGCAGAAGCACATGAAAAATTTGTGCATTTGTCATTTGCCCACATACAATCAAAACCGTAAACTTTTTCATCACAATCCTCTTCTGATATTTCACTACAAGTATAGGAGTGGGTTTCACATTTGTTTGATGCAGTATGCCAAGAGCATTTATATCCAGACTTTGGTCCTGTGCATGTATCAGCTGATTCTAAGTATTTACAATCCATATCCACGCAAGCATTTCCACTCCAAGCACAATAATCAAAGGATGCGCATAAAGTTTATCCATATTCACTGCAAGCACATCTTTAAAGAAGACTAAACTAAACACAGTTGCTCAAAGTTATTAAGCCGACGATTAAAAAGATTCTCATTTTTGTATTTTATTATTGTTAATTTAAATTACTTTTCATTGGTTTATAAAATACAAAATCGAATCTTTTTTTTGTTAATATAATTTTTTAAATATAAATTGCAATTTGTTCTAGTAATATTTATAAAATATTTCCTTTAACAATTTGAAACCGTTTCATAATTATTTTTGAGGGGTTTGTTTATTTTAAGAGCAATTCAAATTGAATTTCTTTATTTTTATTATTGTTTTATCATACTCCAATTAGTATTAAATATTTTAACAACATATATGCTTAAATTCTTACTAAAATATGAATAATTTACTCAATAGAAGCAGTTTTAAACTTTACAACATAACATTATTTAAATTACATCGATTATATTTTCAATAAATATGTCATATTAATTGCCCTGATTTTTCTTAATTATTAAAATACTAATCGATTTATAAAATAAAATAGAATTTCTTCTATATATAACATTCATCAATAATAATATTAATCATCTGTTTTAAATTATTCATTTTATTTATTTAATATAAAATAATATAGTTATATATATAAATATATGATCTATTCAATCTTTTTTAAAATGTTTTTTTAATAGTCGAATGTCATATGGAGTTGTGATTGTTTAAAGACTAAGTCATAACTAATTAATATTTAAATCATTTTAGAAAAATGAAGATCATCTACAAAATTTATTGATTATTAGCATTTTATAAATATTTCTTTGATTAAAAGGATAAGAAGAAATATATTCTTGTACTATAAAGTTTTAATTTTTAATGAATAACTTGATTAATTTTTAATTAATAACTCATTATTTATATGATTTATGTTAATTAAATGGGATGAATTTTATATGAATCTCTCTTATTTTAATTTTTAAATATAATTTATTATCATATTTAGAGATTATAAATTTACTTATATGAATTAATCACGTATTCTAAATTATTGATTATCTATATTTCAAATTGATCTATTTTTTTGATTAATTCTTTAAATTTGAATAGAATTTTAGATATATTATGTATATTTTGAATGAAAGATTAAAGGTTGCAGCAATGAGTTTAAGTTTAAATGTTTAATTTTATTAAAATAATATAAAATATAATGTAGAAATACCTTTAAAACTATGTTATAAATTAAATATATATATTATTTGATTATTATTTCTAATATTATTTTTATGTGTATTTTTTCATGGTTAAAATTACTCATAAGTTCTACTTCCTCTTGTTTAACCCATAGAAGATGTTGTAGTAGTTCCACCTGTCCTAGTTACTACTTTTGATGTTGATACAACAACTTCCTATTAAAATTAAGATTATTAATATACCTTCTTTTAACTTTTTCTAAGTGCTTCTAATTCAGCTTGACACATGGTTAATTGTTCTTAACATTCATTATAATCATGATTGACTTTAATAAATTTCTATTTCCAAACTTCCACTTCAGATGATAAATATGTCACTTTTTCTTGGATAACTGTTTGTCCTTAAGATTCCAATTGTTCATATCTAAGTCTCCAATCTTCAAGATCTCCATCTTTGATTTTATTAGAATAAACTAATCTTTCAATTTCTGATGACAACATAGCAATTTTAGTCTTATTTAATAGAGTATGTAAATACTTCATAATCTCTTAATTTAATAAGTAATTCATTATTTTCTTTTCTTAATTTACCATTTTCTTCCTACAATCTTCTAATTTGATCTTCAAGATCTTTAATTTGGCTTTCAAATCTGATTCTTAAATTGAAAAATTCTCTTTCTTTAGAAGCTAAGTCTTCAGTTTAAGAACTTCTCAATTAAATTTCACCTCTCATGGATTATAATTGCATTTATAATTAATCATTTTCTGATCTTAATTATCTTAATTGAGCCTCTAAGAAATCTACTTTAGAGTTATCTACTACAACTTTTTCTTTTTCAACTACTTTTTCAACAACTTAGACTTCCTTTCTTTTTTCTAATTCAGCAATTAAAGATTAGAGATATTCACATTCCAATCTCCAAGGAGCTTCAATTTCCTCTTTTGAAACAACAATAACATTCATGCATAGTGATTAAGCAGCTACACAATTCTATTGAACAGAATAATTGCCTTAATATCCAACTTATGGAATTGCAGCCATATTTGAAATATAACTTTATCCCCCAACGAATCCTTATGTTTAAGTTCTTAAGATTTATTAAGATTACATTCTTGGAATCTTTGTTGCACTTCTTTACTCTACTTCAACAGTGGTTGTCTTAAAATAACAAATCATTTTACTTAGACCTTTGGTGTTTCTCTAGTGATTACTTATTCAACTCTATCTTAAGTGATACTTCTGACATTATCTTTTGTGCCTGATGTATATTGTCTTTATGAAGATTATGTAACATATTATCTACTTTAGAAATCACTCATGTGAATGTAAATAAATTTTATTTATGAAACAAAAAAATTAGTATTTTAGGTTTATAGTACTTTAATCATATAAAAATGTAGTTGTATTAGATTAAGAAAATGTAAAAATCAAATCTATATACTTATAAGACATACATTAATATAAAATAATATTAATAATATTTATATATATAATATAAAATATGTCTTTGGCTTTGGCAGGAGTGGTACCTCCATTATATGAAAGAAATTAAGAGGCTACAATTTATATTGGTAATTTAGATCAAAAAGTCACTGATGATATAGTATGGGAATTATTCATTCAATGTGGACCTGTAGTTAATGTTCATATTCCAAAAGATAAAATTTCTGGAGAACATTAAGGTTATGGTTTTGTGGAATTTAAGAGTGAAGAAGATGCAGATTATGCCATTAAGATCATGCATATGATAAAATTGTATGGAAAACCCATTAAGGTCAATAAAGCATCACAAGATAAAAGGACTTAAGAAGTTGGTGCCAATTTGTTTATAGGAAATCTAGACACTGAAATTGATGAAAAAACACTTTATGAAACATTCTCTGCTTTTGGTCATATCTTATCCACAAAAGTAATAAATAATCAATTTATTATAGATTATGAGGAATCCTGAAACAGGAGTATCTAAAGGCTATGGTTTTGTGAGTTATGATAATTTTGAATCTAGTGATGGTGCTTTGACAGCCATGAATGGATAATTTTTAGGAACCAAAATTATTCGAGTTGAATATGCATTTAAAAAGGATGCTAAAGGAGAAAGACATGGAAGTTAGGCTGAGAGATTGTTAGCTGCTAATAGACCTTTAGCATAAAAAGCACTTTTAGGCTTTGTTGGATATATGCCAACAGAATTGAGAATTCCTTTACCTCCTCCTCCTTCCATATAAATTCAACCTTTGCAAGAAGGATACAAACCTTTCCCATAACAACTCCCTGTTCCACCTCCACCTCCTCCTGGGATCCCAAAATGATTTTAAACATACATAATATATTTAGTTATTCAATTATTTTTCAATTATTTATTTTTTGCTTTTCTATAACTTAGGCATATTATTTTGTTCTTTATTAAGAGTCAACAAGATAGAAATGCAATTCTTCTATATTTTATTCATATTCTGTTAATGTTCTTGTATTCAGAATTTCAAATTTCGGTTTGGGAACTGTAGTCATTTCTGTAGATAAGGATTGCTTTGTTTATTATCCATTTTACTCCATTTATTGTAATAAGTCACCTAAGAAATTTATTCTATTTAATCTCTCTTCTTTGCTTTTACTATCAATTTTATTTAATTCATTACTTTCCATTTACAATCAAATTCTATCTTTTCTATTAAGAAGTTGATTGTGCACTAGATGTTATTTCTGCTGCATGATAATTCTTCAATCTAAATGAAGGACTTCTTCTAATCTAAGTAGACAAAAACAATTATTAGTAATTCTAGACACACTCAAATTAACTAATACCTATGCAATTGGCCCAGCCTGTTGTTAAAACTATCATTCAAAACAAATCTCATCATACTTCTAATTGCTGCAATTCACCTTAACTAGGTGTTCTGTTAGGACTTTATTATGTGGAGCATCTTTATTGACTAGAAGAATTTAATCTCATTCCTTGAGAACTCTTAGCTCTATTAGGGTCAATCACCCTTTGTCTTCTTCTAGAATTATTCAAATATGGTGTATATCTGATAGGGCAAATGTTCATTTTTATTTAATTAAAATATTATATATGTACTTTATACAACCTTTTTTTAATCTAAAATGATTATTATAATTGAATTCTTCCTAATTGTATTATTTAATTTCTTATCAAACTTAAGAGCATTTTGTCAATTTAATTTCAATTAATCTATTTAAATTAATTTCTACCTCCTTACTAAATATATAAACAATCATTAACTTAATCTATCTATTATTAATAGACAATCTTGCCATTTTCAATTTCTTAAATAATTATATAAATTACTTACATTTAATTATTATTAATCTAATCACAAAATATGGTGAAATAGCAACCTCTTATAAAAATTATCTAAATTCTATGCCTAACTTACTCAATCATTATAAAACCATGTATGTATACTCTCCCATTTTATCAAATTTAAGTCCTAACTTTTATATTTAAATCCTCATTCTATCATAATTTTTTTGAATTAAACATATTTTCACAGTAGGCTATATTACTTTGATACTTTCAGGTTTTATTACTAAAAGTTAGTTGCATAATCATAAAACTAGTTTTGATTATGCATCTAACTTTTAGTTAAGGATTTCTTATTAGATAATAATAATAAATAACAATTACAAAAATCTCATGAAATTTATGGGTTATTTTAATTTTTTTAGAAATATTTTATTATATTTATTTCAAAAATAGATATTTGAGTTTTTGATTATTTTAGGATCCTCTTGGAATCCCAGAAAGATAAATTATCTTCAATATTTTAATTTCGAAGCCTAATCATGAAATTTAATTTAATTCTTTATTATATTCAAACAATTTAATAATAAATGAGATTGCTAAAATTACTCTCTTGAATTTTCAATTAACAAAAAAAGTACAATAATTTTACTTCTTGTTCAATTAAAATACAATTAATTATTAAATAATTTTAATAAAAACAGATTATTTTTATCAAAACAATCTGAAATTTAAAACAAAATTATTAATTAAATTAGCAAATGCTACTTCCTAACTCATACTCATTAAAATATTGTTATTTAAAATTCTTGTTAGAGCAGATTCTATTATTATCCATAATCATCAACCTTAATACTGAATTTAATATTCCAATCTTATTTCATTAAGCAATAAACTTATAAACCATTATGATTTTTTTCTTAAGGCTTTCCTAAAGAACCCTTGGGGAGAAAAAAATCCCACTCTCCTTTACCCCTAAGCAGGGTTGTTCTTTTCTAATACTTAAAATACCACATAAAATTCGTTTATTGATTTCACCTAATATGGCAACAAGATCCCTAATCAAATCCTACAAAAAACTTCTTTTTTATTATAGCCATGGCAAGAAATTTGAACCATAGATAAATTGCCTATATGGATATATGATCCAAAAGAATAAGACTATAGCTATTTTCGAACCAATTGTTTTAATGCTGACTTTACAGATATCTATAATTTTCTTATCTTTATTTTCTCAAGATTCAGCATTGAAATAAAGTCTTTTTAAATAAAGACTTAAATTTTGGATTTGAGAATAAATTCATTTTTGCTGCAATTTATACTAGTATAATTTCTTTTATAAAGTTTTTTAGATATTCTAAACAATAACTGATAAATCGAAATATTAGTATATAAATTTGAAATTTTACTACTCTTTTTCATTGTTCCTTTCTGTGTATAAAAAATTAGGATAATATTTAATGGATATCATAAAGTAATCATTTATGAAAATAAACCTGTAGGAACTGAATTGATTACTTAATAGCTTATGCATGAACATAAGTTGGAGAATTTCATAAAAAATTCATTTATTTTTATGAAAAATATTTTAGAATCACTTGTCTTACATGATTAAAAAGTAGGATCCATTTTTTGTTTGATTTTTAATAATTCTTTAATGAAAATTAAGATTTCTATATATAATCCTTTTATTTGTTTAAATAATTCATTACTCCAATAGCTTAAAATCAATCCAATAAGACTTATTGTCTTAGTGGTATTTTATTTTATCTAATACTCAGCTCTATTATGAATAAATCTAAATCAAAAAGGGTAACTAGATAAGATTGTTTTTAGGTTATGCACTAAATCATTTTCTAAATTAAATCTTAAATTAGTTTATATTGAAAAATAACTACAATTTATAATTGATAATTCAAAAGTTTGGAAATTTTTTTGTAAAATCAAATTTTATAAGATATATTGAACAATTATTTTTAATTATATCTATAATTTCTCAATTCTCAACTGATGAAAATAGAACGCTTACGTTATTTATACACCTAATTTATCTCTTCATCTAATAAATTATATTAATAATTATAATATTTTATAATTACTGATTAAGGTTATATAATTTTAATTGATAATTAAGTAATATAACCTTGATAAATTATAATTATATGCTAAAGTGTATATCTCATACTTAATTTTATCGAATTTTTACATGATATATTATAATAAAATTTTTGTATTTTAGAGTCTGTATTAGTTGCAAGTAGAAGAATATTTGGACTCAACAAATTCCAAAAAACATCAAAAAAGCAATCTTATAATAAAAACATGATAATGTTTATTATGTTACTAATAAAATTTATTAATTTTGTTTATTAAAAAGTGATTCAATACTGTTAAACAAGTTAAAATAAATAATATTGATGTTTTAAGAGATTGTGATAGATTTTGAATAGATTTAAATATGAATATAATTAGTTTATTGAGTTAAAACTAGTATAATATTTTTATAAAAAATTATATAATATTTTTTATTTAATATTAATTTAATTTAAAATATTATTCAATAATTAAATAAGAAATCTATTTTTTTAAATTTTATATTTGCAAAATCAACTTTAATATAGTGGTAGAAAGTCTAGGTTTGAAATAGGCCAAATGGATTTACTCACATGAATTATTGTGAAACGATGCACTTTTGATTCAGTTTTTAAAGAAATAGTATAATAATGAAAAAGCTGTAATGTACTTTTAAATATTTCTATGTATCATCATATCAGAAATTAAATTCCATATTATTTCAATATATACATTTTATTATATATTATTTATAAAATTTGACCTAAGGTCTTTTTTAAAAGTTGAGAAAGTCTATGAAATTGACATACACAACCTAAATTGATACTAAAAGAAAGTAAATCTAAAAAAATAAATGACAATCACTTGATTTCATTAAAACAATTGAATTGCTTCAATTAAATGTATATTATTTGCATTAGTTTGTATAATAATAAGATTTGTTTTTTATATCGAAATGAAACTATATGGTATTAAATAAGAGGAACGAACAAACCAAGCACCAGCCAGCATTCCAAGAACACTTCCTTTCTGTACAAATTATAAGTATCTTATATTAGTTTAGACAAACGAAAATTTGATATCAATTTAAAAATAGTGGGTTGTTATTCATAAATTCATGAGAGCCCTAAACAAGTTATAATAAGCTTAAAACAAAATACAAAATTAACCAAAGTACCCTTTTGTGTTATAACTCTCTATGAATGAATTCATGGTACAAAGTAGAGTTATCTAAGGTTCATTTGGGGGCTAACAAGGTAGAATTAAGAATGTCTAATGAGATATCCTTCTATCCCAATTATCAGCCTGTTTAATACTGTTGTCCTACTCCGGTCAGATCACCTACTCCAACAATTAAACTTCCTATACACAAGAAGAGGGAAGTGAATGTCTTACAAGACTAGAAGGATACGAAGAACATTCCTAAGAATTATTGCAAGAGCATTATAACTTTTGCATGTAAGAATCAAAATCTTTGTCTTGAAATTCTTAAAGACTAGTTGAAGGTGATAAAATTCTTGGAAAAGATTACTGTTTACAAAAAATAACTACTTAATATAAGGATATTTAGTAGCCTTTTACAACACTCAGAAGATCCTGAAGAGGAAGAGTTTAGAAAGGCATTTAGAATAATAAGGTAAATTCAAATAGTATATAAAATAGTCGGATATTTATCAAGAAATATGCTATTAACTATATTTTTAACTCAAAGATTGTATAGCATAATTGGCATATGAGATATAGATAATAAATATATAAAGGAGTAAAAAACCCAAATAATTTTTCACACATTAAAAACTTATGAAAAAAATTTGATTGAATCCATTTGATTATAAATTATGATTAATGAATAACTAATACATCAATTTAATGAAAAATTTCTATTTTAATATTCCATTATGAATCAACTTGATAGAACAATGAACATGAGACTTCATGAAATTTGATGACATAAATAATTGATAAAAACCAATATATTATTTGAATAATTTTAAGATTAATTATAAGATTTAAGAAATTTTAATAAAAATAGTGAAAGAATCTAATGTAGAAGGATAGAATACTTATAATATAAATATAATCTAAAATAATAATTAAAATTTCAATAACATTAATAATCAATTATAATAATTAAAGTCATATATTTAATCTGTATGAATTCTAATCAAAATAAATTAATAAGAATATATAATTTAAATAAATATAAAAAATATATATATACTATTCTAAATGAATCATATCGATGCAACACATCCTCACATTCTTTCAATTCATTAAAACATATTTCATTCTGCTTAATTAGATTTGATTTCAATTTTATAATTTCCTCTCTTTATTCTAAAGTATAGAATTTTTATTATAGATAATTATAATCATCATCAAATAAACTAAGTCTTAGTTAAATTTATTAGACTTCTAGAGTAATTTCGAATGATTTTTCCATGCAATTAGTTAGACTCTACTTACAATTACGTATATCTTCATAAATTTAATATGAAGGAGTCACCAATTTTTATGTGGATAAAATTGAATTAGTAATTTGACGAACATGACAAAGAAGAGTTCCAAATTTATCATGTTGATTATATGATTAAACAATATGCATACGAAAATGAGGATTATTTGTATCTGTACTACATACAATATATGACACCAAGGGTTAATTTTTTGGAAGTAGAGTCTAGAGATTCATCTTTTTCCATTTAAACAATTTCTTAGAATTATCTTTTAATCTAGGAAAACTAATATTATTTAAAGTAGATGATCTTAAAAAATATAGATAACCATCTAAAATCTATATTTTATAAGTACTTTTTGGTTTTTAATAAATTTCTTCAGGATGAAAATCAAAAATAGGGATTTTATGATCAAATACATTCAAAAGAATATCTTGATATTCATATCCTAATTATTTAAATAAGTATTACAATTCAACCAAAAATAATGATGAGGAGATAAAACAATCTATGTATTATCTATATTTAATTAAGAAACAAAGAATTCATGAAAATTGTTTTCTATTTTAAATTATCAATTTTTAAAAAATAATTCATTTAAATATTTGATTGTCTCTTAAGGATTATTAACTTATTATCCAATTGTTCTTTCATGAATGTAGATTTCATGATCATTTCCACCTTCAAATGTCTTGTCTCCAAAAAAATATACTTTTTCAAATTCATCTAAGAATTGCAAACAATAAGTTTTATCCCATCCTTTTGGAAATACATCAAAACTAATCTATCCTCCAATTGAATATTTAAAATTTAATTCCTTGAATTCATTTTCCAATTTCTCAATCAATTACTTTCTAATTTGATGTTAATGATCATATTATTCAAAATCATCTCGTTCTTATTATGAACAATTTCGACCTATTGGTGAAATATTAATCATTCCATTTCTATATTCTATGAATGTACCTCTTTTTATTGGTAATTGTATCTATGATAATTGTAACAGAGTAAAATTTATGAATTGTTACAAATGATTTTCACCAACAAATTTATTCAAAGACTATGTATGGAAATGCTCTCCATTTTTAAATGAATGTAAACCATTCTCAGTAAACACAAAATCAACCATCTCAAATACTAATCAAACTTATTTTTATAATTACCATCTTATCCTACCTGATCTTTAATTTTTTGATAATCTGATCCTCCAACTATACCAACATAATGTAATTTACAAAGTTACTTAAGAGTATCAACCATATTCTATTCAATCTTATTCCTAGACTTTGTAAGAGTACCATCAACATCAAATAAAATTATCAATTATTTACTTCTAGCTATCATATAGAGTAATATTATTTTATTTTAGTGTTTATGTAATTAAATGAATTATTTTGTTATCTACGTGTTCTATTGAGAAAGAACATGTTAAATATATACATATATAGTATTATATATTTCCTTTTTTATCAAGTATTTCTATATATATAAATAAAGTTAATATCTAAAAATTCATTAATAGAAATTAGTTTCTAAATGAAAGGTTTAAATTATAAAAGCACATAAACTTATAGTTACTAAAAATCAAATGAAGAAATGAAAAGAATATTAGAATGTGATGGATATTAGAATCTCAAATTAAATGAGTATTAAAAGATTATTGAATATACAATTGATAATTCAATGTAAATCAAATTAAGTTTATTACTTTATTTATAAGTAACCACATTTATATATTATATAGGAAATTGAATTTATACGATTAAGTATTGCTTAAAATATTCAATTATGTTTAGATATTTTAATGAAATACAAATAACTCAAAGAATTAAATATTTAACATAATTATTTAAATTCTGATAGAATTATATTAAATATAACAGATAGATAATCATAAATTACAATATTACCACAAAAACTTAATTATACAATACATTTTGTAGGATATGATTGTCCTTTTTATGAAAGACCTGATTATATTAATACATTCAAAAATGATGATTAATCTATTAAAGAAATCATTATTAACATTTTGTAATTCAATAAAAGGG